ATGCTCTTGACATTACGCTTCGCGGCGTTGCAGAAAGAGAATGGGGTCTCGGATGATGATTTCTTGGATGATGATTTCGAGAGTGATTCTGTCGATATCGACGACGGAAATAGCGCCTTGAAGGGCAATGACCTAGGAAGGCTCTCCGACATCGACTCCCAGGCAGATGTCACTATGAAAAACATGGACAACGAGGATAATGCAGGGGACACTATGGATCTTGATGATGACGTCGTCGTGGATGATATCCCAATCCCCGACACGGACCTTGATCTCGAGGATGTCCCAAGACAATGCGATCGCCTCGCAGCTGAGAATGACACTTTCCTAAAAAGGATCATCGAATCTGGAGCCTACCAGTTTTCGCGAGAACTCGGTGATATGCCTCGAGCTAAAAGCTTATCGTCATCTAAGTCGAGCTCCTTGCGGAGGCTTAAAGTAGTAACAGAGGGTACCCAGAATATCCAGTAAGCCTCCCATCGCCCCTAACTGTGTGTCGTACAGTATCTCATTATCTTAGCATAATCCTCGTACCGGGAGTAGGGACCCTTGCTTGTGATTCCTGGTCCTTCTGCAATCAGGCTTGGACCGATGCGCTCGCACAACTGGACATTGGGATTACCATGCATTCTTACGATTATGATGCGTCCCTGAGCGACCACTTTTCCTGGCAGCATCTCCTAGATGAGGGAGCTGAGCTTCTAAGCAAGCTTCGAGCCTTTCTAGATAGCCAAAAGGTAGCCCTCACTTTTCTTCGTTCTGTCCAGTCACTAATGATATTAAGGAATCGCAAACTATACTGTTCATTTGTCATGGCCTTGGCGGTGCTATCGCAAAAGAGGTGCGATGACCCAATTCTCAGTTAATAGCCACGAAGCGTGCAATATGCTGATGTCTAAAGGCTCTCTATCTCTCTAGAACAGCAGACAGCCAGTACCCCGACCTCTTGAACGTTGTGGCCGGCATTGTGTTCCTTGGTACTCCGCACCGCCTCGAAGGAGGCGATGAGGAACTTGGTGATCGATTCACCCGCATTCTAAAGCTTGACATCAACAATGGCACGGCATTAAGTAGTAAATCCCTTAGACGACTAAAAAGGGAGTTCCGCTTGATTCTCGGCATCGCGGATCGTTTCAATTTGGCGAATCTACGTTTGAATATATTATCGATCTTCGAAGAGAGAGATACTCCGATCAGGGACACCAGGGCTTTGAAACCTAGGACAAGGAAGTCAATTGTTCGAGCCCAAATTTACTTCACGTTCAAAGAATTTGATGCGAGCTAACTCTACGCCTCCTACTAGATCGTTGACGAGCCTTTATGTTCAATAAAAACGTCTTCAGAATATAGATACGGCGTGCCGCTCGACCACATTCAACTTCCTTCTATGAGTGAGGAACATGGGGCATCAATCTTGCAGATACGGCACTGGTTGGTGTCAGTCATTCAACTTGGACTCCACGGTACGATATTTGCTCTTGGCATCATTGATCTGGCTTACTGAACGAATATAGGCGATCCTTGGACGCTCTCTTACGTTAATACCAAATCAAGCCCAGGACATAAATCTCACGTGGCTCTCCTGGAGTTCTTTTCTGTGGAACAACGTGACCCCAAAATACCTTGTTTCATGATGGACACATATGTGAGGAACAAAGACTTCTACGGAAGACAGGATGTTCTAAGCAAACTTGATGATCGCCTTCTCCCTTCAAAAGATACGCTGCCATCTTCGCAGTCCGATCAAATACGCGTGGGAATATTGTGCGGCATGCCTGGTTTAGGGAAAACAGAAATCGCTTTGGAATACGCATTTACTCGAAAAAAGAACTTCGATGCGGTTTTTTGGATCCGAGCCGATGATGTATCCAAACTTGAATCGGACTTCGCCCAGATCGCTATCAAATTAGAAATCCAGGACTCCAGAGAGCCAGACGACAAGATCAACAATAGAGCGCTCGCAATTGAATGGCTTCGCAACCCGTTCAAGACAGACTGCGGTACTGGGAATCAATTACGAGCTTCCTGGCTGGTTGTGTTCGACAATGCCGACGATCCTGATATCCTGAAGCCATATCATGAAATCGCTAGTAGCGGAGCAGTCTTGATCACCAGCCGGAGCCCCCTCGCGAGAACAGCCCTCTCGCAACATGCGATCTCTGTCGATGTTCAACCGTTTAATCTAGAAGATTCTGGATTGTTTGTTCAAAAATTTACAGGGATCCAGGGCCGGCTTGAAGAAGCAAGACAGGTCGGTGACCGACTAGGTGGGCTGCCACTTGCGCTCGCCCAGATGGCTGGCATAATTAGGCTCGACCTTTTAACATATACTGAGTTCATGAGACTTTACGATGCTGGAGAAATCCACAAGATGGAGGTTCAACAACTGCAGTTGCCAGCTTGTAGTAACTTGTCAACAGTCTTAGAGAAGCTGTCAGATGCTGCCCGTGCAGTTTTGGAAGTTTCATCGTTTTTGGATCCAGACAGTATCCAGGAGAGGATCTTGATGAAACATACTACTATTATAGATATGCCCTCGTATCCTGAGGATGAAGTTGCCTTTTTTAATGCTCGGAAGCAACTGATCGGGTCTTCTATTTTTCGTCATAACCAGGACACGGCTGAGTATTGGATGCATCGTGTTACGCGAGATGGTGTGCGTGTCCAAATCGAACCCGAGCGGCAACGAAGGGTATTTTTAAACGCGGTCACCAAGGTCGCAGCGGCCTGGCCGGTTAGAGAAGTTGAAAGTCATGATGTCAACCTATGGGAGGAATCTAGAGCACTCTACCCGCATGTCATCAGCCTGGAGAACGCATATAAGAAACACTTCAAGCATAAAGAATATGTTGACAGTGACTTCGAGTTTGCTAGACTTCTCAATCGCGCTGGATGGTGAGTTACCGCGGTCCTTCTGGTACTTTCTGTACATAACGATTCTTGTGGAATACTAACTCATATGAAGGTACCAACACGAACGCGGCGAATCGCCTATCATAAAGCCTTTATTGGAATTGGCCCTAGAGCTTTGCAATCGTAGTAAAGAAATCGATCACCAAGACTTGGAATCCGACATTCGGCACACACTTGGTGCAGTCGCCAGCGGGACAAATGACGCAGCCAGCAGCATGGACCATAATAAAAAGGTCCTTGAGATACGCTTAAAGATAGCAGAGAAGCTGGGAGCAGTGGACGAGAAACTCGCAAGCGCTTATAACCAGATGGGTATATCATGGATGATGGCTGGCGAATACACAAAGGGGGGAAGAATCTTTTGCGACGTCTGCACGGGAGTACGAGAAAATCCCGGACTACAGCAAAGACAAGCGTTCTTTGGCCCTTGTGAACCTTGGGACGACGAAGTGGCTTCAGGGGGACTTGACACAGGCGTCTAAAGTGCTAGAAATGGGCCTCGCAGATCGAGTAGAAAAATATGGAGACATGGACATCCATTGTTTCAGGTAAGGTATCTACTTTAGTTTTACTCTGCTTTTTGTTGACCCTTGGCTAACGCTCCAACCCTTGCTGGCAGGACCGGTCGCTTTCTCCACGCACTTGGAAACGTGCGGTTCTCTCAGGGTCGAATCAAGGAGAGTGAAGATTTCCATCGACGGGCCCTTCAGCAATACCAGTCAACCATCCGCAACCGCCATCATCGAACTGCAGATGTCTGCCACAAAATGGCCCAGCATTGCCTTCGCAACGGGCTTCTTGACGACGCCATCGGATTCATCGATCAGGCCCTCAAGAATTGGAGCGTCGACTCAGCAACATATGCTCGGGAGATATCGCGGACTTCATACCTCAAGTCTAAGGTGCTTTCAGAAGCTAGGCAGGAGGATGAGGCAAGAAAATTGCTAGGGGAGGCAGCATCCATGCGGCACAAGATCACGGGGGTGGAGAGAGACGGCAAGGACCTGCGGGAGGAAGACTTCGACGAACTTGTCACATTCTGGTCCAGATAGAATATAAGCCACCAATGCCTATTCAATTCAATCCAATTCAATTCAGTTCAATTCAATTCAAAATTCTTTTAACCTAATACAGCCTAGCTAGTGAGCGCCGCGGCTATGTAGGCGTTCCCTCCATCGGGAACCAGAACCATCCTAATGCCTACTACCAGTATTCAAGTTCTCGATAAAGCTGTAGTCTTTAGATGGCATTTATCCCTGTTTCCATTCCTCTCATGTACTCCCAGTAGACATCGAATTAGTATCTGCTATTCATTGAGGGAGCCTCAAGCGGCGCTCGTATCTTTTCGGTTACCAGTATATAGCTCCTTTGCTGAGGATGTCATATACATATGACCATAGGGTGTGGAGAACATGGCTTCCCGTCCGCTTAGCCGCACTTAAGCCACATACTAAATGTGGTCAATATGTAACCAAAGAGCCCTAGATCTTAAATTAGCCAAATCTTGGCGTGGACCATCCTGACACGCTCACAAGCATGGCCAATCTTGCTTTTACCTGGAAATCTGCAGGTCAAAAAATACAAGCCCTCGATCAACTCTGAGACTGCCTAGCTAGGCAAAATCAAATACTAGGGTCCAATCACCATCAGACCTTATCCAATTCTGGGACTTTGCTAGAATGGGAAACAAGGAATTTGAATATCAATACCTAGATGAGCCATGTACTTAATTGATAACTTAAAACCCACGCCGAAGCAGTTCACTCCGTACGTTATTTTACAGAAGCGCAACGTCTGAGGGAAGGGTTTTTGAAATAGTGTATAGAGAGATTCAGGATAGATTTCAAATGGCAGACTTTGTTCTTGCGAAGGTTTGTTTGAATCAAACCTAAGCTAGAGATCTCAAGAAGGATTTTCGGGATGGATTGGGGATTCATCTCCATGCATGGTTAAATTGACTTGTTAGGGTAAAACATTATTAGTACGTAGTGGCTCTAGGCATGCTCCACAGATGCCATTTCTCTTAAGACTGCTCGGATTTACCTTGCTGTCTATCATTGGAGAAACGAACCGAGTAAGACCAGTAACGATGATAATAACTTTAACACTCTGGATCAGGCCTGCTCCCCTTTTGGGCCTAGTGCGAATTTTGCAGCCTATCTGCGAGGCCTCGCCTACTGTTTTCATCTCTTCTCCACACTTAGTATCGCGTATTCAATGCACTTGTTTTGCAAATAGGCCTCTATTACATAAAGACGATCTTACAGTCTCAAAAAGCATTGCGGTAATATAAACTAAATTTTGAAATCTTGACCTAACTTACACCACGAACGGAAGTTGCTAGCGACAAATGAGGAATCAGGCACATTTTTTGTAATTATAATCAGGTTACTTGATGCATCTCCTCCACCAATCGCAACATTTTCATGGGCTGAGATAGGTATGCGGATGCCAATCTCGCGAATTCTTTTTACGTCGGTACGGAACGACATCTGCTTAGCTTGCCAGGGCTGGAGGTCTCTATCTGCAGAACTAAATGGAATTAACACGTCTTCTAATATTGCTGGTAACGTATGGCTTCAAGTATAGAAATAGCAGTTACATCAGACACTGATCGTATAATACGTTCATGTTGTCTACACGTTGGACCCCTTTTGTCCTCATTCACACCGTATTTCATTATCAGCATAATGCGTGAATTTCTCGATGAGCTCTTCCATGCCAAATATGCTTGTTTCTGCAAAGATTAGCAGACTATCGTTTCCTTCTGCTTCGCAATCCTTTTGACTATCTGCAGGTAAGCAAGTAGCCAGAGAAACATCGGTGTGAAGCTCGAGTTCCGGCTCATCCTGCCACTTTCTTTTTCGTTTGATACAATTGGAACGAGGCTTTTCAATGGAGTGTGCATCGAAAAATTAGCGTCTAAGACCCATAGAGTCATTATAATCCTTCTCCCGGCAGCATGGATGCGGACAGATGAACGTAGTTGAAGCTTTCAAGGCGTCACAATGATTGTCAATGTGATTAAGAAGTGTTGACTTGACCAGTCATTGCTGGAACCTCTCATCCGGTTCTTTCCCTTCATCTTCCAAGCAAAATGGGCAAAATCCAGGCGCAACAAGGGTATAGCGGAATGTTAAAATACCACATCGAGGGTGCAGTTCTTTCAGATGCGTTTGACAATGGCTCTTCCATTTTCCTTCATCACGGCAAATATCTGCACAAAGATAGCAAAATTGAACAAAATTAGGCTGTATCCGCCGGTGTGCACGCTTTCCATTGCCATAGCTGTAAGGACTCGGTAGACATCGCCATAACCCATTTTGGGTTGAACATGCCGACCCAAAACCCAACCCACTGGGTTTTGGGTTATAGGGTAGATAACCCAACCCAACCCAAAACCCAGTGGGTTATGAATGGGTAACCCATTTCAACCCATCTCAACCCATTCGTGTATAAAACAGACGTCTTGGCGTTCATAAAACAGATTACTAAGTGGTATAAAATTATATCAGATACAGACGTACACTTAGTGTATTGGTAATTAATTAGTTTACAACATCTTAATATTTATCGTACACTTCTACAAATTATTCGCAAGTATTCAAGTTCATGTTACTCATTACATTCCGATAAACTGTTCCTACTTCACACTAACAAAGTCACCTGCATACTCCCCCTTAACACTAGTCTCGAAGCTCAAGAAGCTCCTCACCATCCACCATAGACATAGCGTCATCTTCGCTATGAATCTCCTCTTCACTATCCCCAAGGGTGGCCGCTGTCATCGGTAGCCCATTCTCCTTCCGGTAAAAGAAGGAGTTGCTTCCATAAGCAGCAATCTCCATACGCTTCATCTGCTCAAACGCCAGAACAAACCGCCGACATGCGTCTCTCCGCCAGATCCGGATCATTTCAGTTGCCTGGGTAGAGTCGTGACCAAAGAGGATATCTAGATCCTCGATGACCGCAAGATTTGTCCACCGCTGCCGGCCAACTAGGCAAGCTGAGATCTCTGACATCGGGTGGAAATGGGTTGCCGCAGGAAAAGGGTATGCTATCTTACCATATTTGGCAGAGGTGTATCCGGACGGGGTCTTGGGAGCCGGCATTAGGTCGCGATGGGCATCAGCAAGCTCTTCCCAGGTACCGGATTCTGGGGTATCAAGTGTCGAACCATCAGCACGAACCCGAACATACCAAGCCAGAAAGGTTGCACGATTGTCAGTGGCTGGACCTGTTGAGCCGTGGGGGATAGTTGGCAGGCTAAGCCGAGCATCGCCTGCCTGGCAAACCTATTGAAATATAATAGTTAGTAGGCAGATTCAAAGATACTTTGTAAGTTTAACATACCTGCTTGGTCCAATTGGTCTGATACCTCTGAGCATCGTCTGCTGTCCACATAGTAGCATCGATACCTTGGACCAACCCGTTCTTAGGCTCTTTGCCTGCTGCAATCCGGCGAGCTTTGACATCTGTCCACCAGGTACCAATATGATTGTGCATCTTGGGTAGAATCTCGGTACAGTTTTGGGCATCCTCGTTTGTGAGTGAGACAGAGCCTTGGAGAATACTCCGCCCACGGCCAGTTTGGATGTAATCATCGATATTGATATCGATGTGGCGGAAGAAGGTTTTTTTCGCCGGCCTGCGTACTCTTGCAGTAGTAAGGAAATGATACCAGGCGATAGGCATGATCCGGACGAAAAAAGACATAGCTCATGTAATAGCCAAGATCCTGACGAATCAGTTGCTGGCCTAGACTGTGCCACATAACGCGATTCCAACCAAGGCGCGGACGGTTTGGTCGAGGCCGGAAATGGTATTCATACATCTGAATCTCTTCGTGAATCAGAGGCATAATACCATCAGGATGCTGGCCGTCCCAGTTTGTCGAAAGATAGCTAAAAAGCCCAGGAATCACAATAGAACCGTTTTCCTTCAAGTCTTGAGGTAGCCTGTTTGCTAAAATTTTCTGGGCAGCAGGTCTAAGATCAGGAAGAACGCGGTGCACAAACTCCAGCGGGTGTAGCCATTCTTTTTCGCATTTTGCGAAGTCTGCAATCAGGGGAATAGCTGCAGTAGGCTCAGGTGCCCAGCGATAAAAACCACGTTGGTCATCATCAGTAGGCTTAGGTTTCAGCAGAAACCAGGCCGCCTTGTTCTTCAGCACATCGTCAAAGCCATCAAGATTCTGATACAAGAAATTGATTCGGCTAGCCAACTGCTTATGGCTTTTGCTTGCTGAGTTCATTTGAAAGAGCTCAAACAGCTTTAAGGCATGCTCCTGGCACAGACTCTGCTCATCAATCTCACCACGCATGTAGATTGTTTTTCCGAAAGAACGGAGCAAAACAAGACAAGCACGAAGAGTACCAAGCTTAGAAGCTATCTGAATCACACGGTTCATGCTGGTACAGCGAATAGCACATATGCAATCAGTTGGTAATCTGCGTGTCCGAGGTGAGGTAGCCTGGTTTGGTTGAGCTTCAGGCACTGGAGCGTCAGTGGGAGGAGGTACATCTTCCATTAGAATATCCTCTGGCAGACCAAGGGTGAGAACGTTATCTGCATCCGGCATATCGGTATCAGGAGGAGGAGGTTGTGGTGATGGCGAGATGGTTTGAACTCGATCACGATCCAGATCGGCAGTAGTGGTATCGTCAGGATTGTCACCAGTAGGTTCGTCGTCACAATCCATCGGAGTAATGCCACTTCCTCGCTCGCAGCAAAAGCCATCCTGAGTAAGGTCGAGATTGGAGGTGCGAATATCTTTAGCCTTAGGTCTCAGGAACTCGCGAAGCTCAGTAACCTTTTCAAGATCACCCAGGATAACACGCCTCTGGCTGCGGGAACCTTTGCCTGACACACCAAGACGTTTGACCATTGAATTGTTGATTGCATTGCGAACTTGGTCAAATGTCAGACCTTGCCGAAGCATCTTGTTCACTTGGTCGAACATGCCTTTGTTGCGGAGATGAGTGAAAAGGCGCTGTGCGTCGGTTCCCCAGTTGGACACGGCCTTGTTCTGAATAGACTGGATAGTCTTCGCATCTTTGGCGCGCTTGAGGGCTATCTTAGTAACCGATGCCCACTTTGCCTCGAATTCAGCAAGATTATGGGTACCCTCATAGACCTGGTTTTGCTGAGCCCAGAGATAGAGATCACAGAGGATCTGTTCGATAAGGTTGATTTGCTCAAAGGCAATATCATGGCAATTGTTGAGAATTCGATATGCCTCCGTTTTCGGCAAAGTTGCAAGCCATTCGGTGAAGTCGGACGTAGTCCGAAAGGTACGTTCCTCCACTGTGAAGCCACCTTGGATTTCAGCCGAATCAGAAATCAAGGCACTCTTTGACACCAGAGCAGAAGAAGTAGTAGAACCCTCGGGCTCGCAGAATTGTAGGGTCATCTCTGCAGTGTGGCTTGGGTTGCGGCTTGGGTTGCGGCTTGGGTTGTGGCTTGGGTTGTCCTCAATATCAGGGTTGTCTGTATCGTAGACAGTACAGCTTGGAGAAACAGAACGCTCAAGAAGTGAGCGAAGTCTGTCTTCGTTCACCACGTCTGGCGCCATGGTCAAATACCCGCAGGTGAACAAAGAATCGCGCAGGTAGCGGTTGAATGAGTTGTGTTGTCAAAGGATCGAAGGTTCCGTCGGTTTCGAGGTAAGCAGTTGAAAGAAACTGAGATAAAAGAGAAGAAGTTTGAAGAAGTTAAGTTTGAAATGGCCATGATCAAAGCTGATATCCTCCCCGGGCTGTGATTGGCCCGTTGACAGGCACGCAAACTGGAGGTTTGCATATAAGGAAGGCACGCACGCCTAAACGGGAATCTGATACAGAAGGAAGGCACAACCAGCAGCGGGATCTCAGCGGCCTTGTAAACAATGCCAAGCCTTCGATTTCAGCCGAAATCTGGGGTTCAGATGTAGCGACGTTCAACCTGGAGGTTTGTATGTTAGGAAGGCACGCCTAAACGGGAATCTGATACAGAAGGAAGGCACAACCAGCAGCGGGATCTCAGCGGCCTTGTAAACAAGGCCAAGCCTTCGATTTCAGCCGAAATCTGGGGTTCAGATGTAGCGACGTGCAACCTGGAGGTTTGAATATAAGGAAGGCACGCACGCCTAAACGGGAATCTGATACAGAAGGAAGGCACAACCAGCAGCGGGATCTCAGCGGCCTTGTAAACAAGGCCAAGCCTTCGATTTCAGCCGAAATCTGGGGTTCAGATGTAGCGACGTGCAACCTGGAGGTTTGAATATAAGGAAGGCATGCTCGAATAGGAATCTGATATAGAAGGCGCGTTTGGTCGCGGGATCTCAGCGGCCTTGTAAACAAGGACAGGCCTTCGATTTCAGCCGAAATCTGAGGCTCAGAGATGGCGACGCCGGGGATATCAAAACCAAGACGGCCGCGCCTATAACAACTATGTTAGCCAGAACTTGGCCAAAGGTATAGTTTTTGAGAATAACAGTAAACGTACTAAATGATTATTCACCAGAATGGTCATTCTGCTGACTGTTATAAAGCTGATATCTTTTATTCAATTGAAGTTTGCGGCAGACTGGCGATAATAATAAGGTCAGGAACGCGTCAAAATTAATACATATATGGATCGCCATAATGTCTGTTTAAAATTAGTAAGTCAGATCCAACTGAGGTAAATAGCCTTAAGACTAGGAGAATTATCGAGCAGTATTTTGAAGATACTTACTAAAAGATTAATCGTAGAGTCCTAGGTGTTGATTTTTATTTTTTGAAGACGCGTGGTTGTTTTGAGAAGATAACGCGGGTGACGAACTTACGCTAGCCTTAACTTACCGACGGGCTAGTTAAGTCATATGACCACCTTATGTAAGTGTGGCCTTAGGCTAATATCTATTTTTTACTTAGAAGACGAAGATATATATCTTCTATGGACATAAGTCAGTGTACTTTCAAGCTGCCACTTAGCCACCAAAATTAATTTACTCAAATTTGATCTTTATCGGAATTAAAAGTAGCCTAAGGTTAATCAATCTCTGATAATTTAAATATCTAATTAATATAACTAATTAATGTAAATATTGTAGGCTTCTACTCTCCATAGACTGTTACCAAGTATCTATCTTGACTTCTGAGTTGAGTATAAGTCGAATGTTCATATATTCTCCTTATATAATCCATAATTCTCCTATACAGAGACCAATCAGCATAAGACCAACTTAACTGCCTAAACCTATTCTGTACCTGCGGCCAACTTGCTACGATCTTTGATATCGACTCTCTCTGCTCAAGCAGCTTAACCAAAATCTGAGGATTGACGAGTGCTTACGACGCTTTGGCCTATTTTCCTCCTACTACTACACTAGTTACTGCGCTAGTGAACCTGAAACTTACGCTAGTGATAGTAAAACTTACACCTATACTAATTATAAGACGTATACCCTACATAAATACTCTGCTGCTTCTCTAAGGTATGAATCCTACATGTGAGCTGTATGAATCCTACATGTGAGCTACTCAGCCCCCCTATTTTACTAAACCCTGAGCTCGTCCGTACCGCTGATCACCCCTCGTACGTCTGAACTAATATTATTAGTTACTACGCCATACATACGCCTCCTTTTTTACAGCCAATAAGAACCTAATAGATACCGCCTGTCTAACTCTACACTCTCTGACAATATGAATTGAAGATAGTAGCTCTACAGTTTGTTGCTACTCATTTAAACAAAATACTTATCTTTCATGTAAAGGCTGAGCATCTTATATTTCCGCTGAAATATAAAGGTCTTACACTTTGGCTACTTGGTACACGAACTATTTATTTCAGCTGAAATATCTCTAAAAGATATAAAAATTCTAGATCTATAGTAATTAAAGCTAGCTAATAAGGCGGGATAGGTTATCAATGGGTCAGAATGGGTTATTAATGGGTCGGAATGGGTTATTAATGGGTCGGAATGGGTTATCAATGGGTCGGAATGGGTTATCAATGGGTCGAAATGGGTTATCAATGGGTCGGAATGGGTTATCAATGGGTCGAAATGGGTTATCAATGGGTCGGAATGGGTTGGAATAGGTCGGAATGGGTTAGAAGAGATTTTTGACAGGTTATTAATGGGTTCTACTGGGTTTTGCTGGGTTTAACCCACACCAGAACCAAATCAGCAGGAATAACGGGCTATCTTCTTCTGATGTATCTCCTTTTACAACCAATCTATACACAATAAGCCAATTCTTTTTCTTTCTTTCTTTCTTTCTTTGTTAGTGTAGGTATTCCCTCTCCTGTTTTCTTTCTCCCTTGCCTTACCATAAATCCTTGATCAATTGATGGTAATTATGTCACAGAGTCAAAGTCAATATTCTGATTTTGTCCCATCATTATATGATGGGAATACAGAGACTCTTGGTTACTTGACCCCATTACGGAATACTACTACATCTTCCGGTAGCCAGAATCAATATCTTATCGATACCCTTGAGCCTTACAGCGAGCCAGACTTTCTCCGCCTAGTTGACCCTCCACCAATCCCTGACTCACTTCTACGCGTTGGCCCTAATCGCAGAAAAGAATATCTACTATATGACAATATGGCACATGACGACTGGGTAAAATGGTGGATCGAGACTGATTTTGGGCGGGAAAGCAAAGTGGTGTGGGATTTGAACCGAAGTGGCGATGTCTGGCAAGAATACAATCAGGTTGCATCAATCAAGAACGGAATGCCCAAGGTTATGTGTAAGCGATGCGGTGCAATTCTGGAGCATCCAATGAATAGTCTTCCGACAAAGAAAGGTTACCAAGGGACTTCTACAATAAAGAAGCATTTGGGTACTGCAAACTGTATCCGGGCAGGGCAGGGCAAAGGAGGCTTAGGGATTTCTCGGTTTTTAAAAACAAAGGTATGACCTTATTTCTCTTACATATATAATACTAATTAATCGTGGGTTTTAGAGTACTATTCCGGTCGAAATCCCCTTTTCACAAGAGTACTGGGAGGAGGAACTACTTCAGTTTACTACTATCAACCGACTACCGATGCAACTTTTCGAAGCTCCCGGGCTTAGCAAGATTATCCGTATTGCCCGTTCAGCACCCTCTGAGCCCTTAATACCCTCTGCTAAAACGATGCGTCGCCGCTTACACTCTATCGTTGAAACACGTCAGCAATCGGCCCTCCGAACCCTTCCTCCTAATACTAAGCTTTCGCTTGCACTTGACTGCTGGACGTCACCCTATAATCAGGCATTTATGGCAATAACTGCTTACTTTGTGGATACAAATTGGATGTACCAAGAGGTGTTGCTTGGATTTAAGCCAGTGCATGGCGTACACAGCGGTTCTAACCTGAGCCAAATTGTTCTTCAGATTCTGGAGCAATATCAGATTGAAGATCGGATTTATGGAATCACCACCGACAACGCAACAAACAACAAAACAATGATTGAGGCCCTTCAGCAGAGTCTGCCACCTGATATAACTGTTATCCGGATTCCCTGTCTTGCACACGTTATCCAGCTGAGTTTAAATGAGCTTCTTGGGAAACTGAAGGCATCTCCTCAGAATGAGGATACTGAGACTAGATGGACTGAGCAGCATTCTGCTGCAGCAAAAAAGAATGCCCAGAACTACAGTATTACAGCAACACTCAATAAGATTCGATATCTGGCTATATACGTCAATGCCAGTCCTCAACGTCGTGAGACCTTTCTTCAACTCCAACCAAAAGAACCTCGACTAGTACCTGTTCAAGATGTCAAGACCCGTTGGAACTCTACCTTCTTGATGCTTCGCCGGGCTAAGCGAATTCGCCTATTATTTGAGCCTTTCTGTGAGGAATATGATTGTACAGAGATGCTCTTGACTAATGATGAGTGGCGACAAATTGACTATCTACTTTGTATAACTCAGCCATTCTTTGACTATACTACTGAGCTATCAAAAACAAAGGATGTCACAACTCATCTTGTCTTCAAGCTCTACAATGCACTCTTCAATCATTTAGAACAGGCAAAAAAGCAGCTCAAACGCAAGCGCATTCCATGGAAGCAGCAAATGTTAACAGCTTTGGATGCTGGTCATGACAAACTTCGTATTCATTATGCACAGACAGACCATATGCGAGGGCATACCTTTGCTGTTAGCACAATGCTAGCACCTGATAGCCGATTTCGCTTCTTTCTCTCAGAAGACTGGGATCATGAGTGGCGGGTGAGGTACCGAAGATCATTCCAGACAGCATTATCTCCATACCAGACCCGTCTCTTAGATAACCAATCTACTCCTGATCCTCAGACTCAGCCTACATCTACTTCACGGCTAAGTAAGATGTTGAGTGGTAATCAAAGAGCCACAAAGCCTACAGACGACGAAGTGAGCCAGTATCTAGACGGTGGTATGTGATCTCTTCTCAATATTTATTCATGATACTATATACTAATATCTACTATCTAGATCTAATTGAGATTGAGCCACTACAATACTGGCGTGAGAATCAATCCCGTTTTCCTGCGATCGCACAGCTTGCTCGAGATATACTCTCTATTCCAGCAACCGGTGCAGGTGTTGAACGGCTTTTTAATACTGCGCGTGATATCTGTCATTACCGACGTGGCCGTATGAACTCTGAAACAATTGAGGAACATATGTTGTTTCTTTGTTCGACACGATTTAATCTTAAAGAAGCAGAGACAAAGGAGCTAGAGCAGTACTTTTCCCTACAGGAGATTGAGGCAGTCCGAGAACTCAATATGGAGTATCCAGAGGAGGTTGAGGTTGAGATGGATGGTATTAGTGATCATGAGGAGGAAGATATAGTAGATCCTAAGGAGAGAGAGGAAATACCTAGCTTAGACAGTCATGATCATGAGGAGCTACAGCCAACACAGTCTCTACTGCCATCGCAACCTCGTCACTCAGGACGAAAGCGAAAGGCTCGGACTGATGATATCTTTGAGGTTTACTAGTAATCGAATTCACTATCTTATAATTAAATTGTTATAATCTGCTAGCTCTTAAGTTGTAATTTATTCATTAGGATAATAAGTTTATGATATGATATCCAATAAATATAAAGCATTCAACACCTTGGGATGGTAAACTCATACCTTAAATTACGAGCAGGAATTTCATAATTCTAGAAGTCATGTGAGCTTGGCATATTTGCGCTATTTACACTAAAATGGGGACCCAGTGGGTTCCCACATGGGTTTTGGGTTAAGGGTCTCAACCCAAAACCCATCAATGGGTTATAGAATTGGACCCAAAACCCATTTTGGGCTGGGTTGGGTTGGGTTGGGTCATGGTTGACATGGGTTCTGGCGATGTCTAGGACTCGGTATGAACAGAATTCATGTAGTATTGACGAAAAGTAATAAAGCTGAAGAAAGGAAAGAGAGGTAAGCTCTCGCGCGATTGTTATGGTACAGATGGAACAGACGGTTGTGGTCACGTGATCAGTCACGTGATCGGGCACGTGACTCCGACAACACCGGTTCGTAACATCGGGGATATCAAAGCATATTGCATACTGCGTTTTGCATAGCGATTGCCACATTCTTTTGAGCGGGATTTTACTTTGTCTGGCACTTTTGACTTTATTTTGGCTTCATTACTACCTGTTTGGGTAGCGCTTTACCTATTTCCTTTTGTATGTCGTCTTTTACTACGTGGGCTATGGCGTTGGACATATTCTTGCTTCGGACGGACGAAACGCCTGCATTGCTACTGCGACTCTAGCTAGGCAGCATCAGGTTAATAGAATATCATCATCATCATCATCATCATCATACTCTATAAGCATTATATAAGCTTAAGGTATCAACTTGTGGATAATCCGGCCCGGCAGGACAAGAATCCTCTTTTTCGAAATGGAGATCACATCGCAGTTCTTCCATGCGCTGGACCATGGATTCAATCTGGACATTTCGATGGTAATCCTGCTGCAAGTTCCAAATCGCGTTTTTCACGAGATCTATCGTTCCAGCATCTTCGGTGGCTAAACAAGCCGTGAATAGAGGCAGAAACATGTACGTAGAGCCGAGCGGACTGAGATCTTTCACATCCTTGGCTAGGTCGAGTGTCGCCTGTATGAGCTCGTTTTCCTCAACCACTAGACTATTTTGAACCGACTGGAGTCCACCGAGCATGCTGTGATAAATAGAGCATAGAGTAAGAACGAAGGCGTAATCCCTTGAAGATTTGACGAGCGAGAAGCTCCTTGGAACCAGTTTGGTATCGAAAAGCTTTCTGAGCTCATGTCTAGCAGAGGTCAATGCGCGATATGCTGCGAGAACTTCCTGGTTAAGCTCTTGCGTTGCTTGAAAGTCACCACAGAGGGACTTCCCACGTTCAATGAGCCTTGGTATGTTGAAAATAAAATGTATGAAGCTTTCAGGCGGCAAATTTTCTCCAAGAGTGACAACGAGCTTCTCAAATCGGGTTGGATTAAGGCGCATGTCTCGAAAAAGGAGACAATGCCCAACCTGATCTGCCATTAGCACCATCACAACCTAATATTGAGCATGAGGCGCTCACCACATAGCCTTGCAAAGACCACAGAAGCTGGCGTTCAAAATCGTCTTGAACCTGCAAATGTCTTCGTGCTTGTACAATATCAGCCGCGCCCTGTGAGTGAATGCTCCAGTCCTGAATGTCGGTGCCATTCAGGTCACGGCATATCACGAGTAGTGTGGCCGATGCAAGCGAGTGGACGGAAGATGCTTCCTCGTGATTTCCGAGCGCGAGTTTCAGTTTGCTGATGGCGGTGGCGTAGGCCAGGGTAGTAGGAAGGGAGACAGTGCGTTTGGAGCAGATATCGTGATGCGCGAGCACAAGAGCTCGCGTTGCAGAGTCTAGTGCTTCGGATTTTCCAAGCCGTTGAGGCAGGTATTTGAGAAAGGAACCGTAAGACTGGAGTAGGCTGAACCTTGGCTCGGTTTCGGGACTGATGGTTCGCAACAACGATGCCGATAGACCATCCGCTGGATCAATTGGCAACCTGTGCAGCTCTAAGCGATATCCGATCTGGAAAGAAGGGTTTCGATGGCATTTTGGGCCCTTGAACAGGAATCGCCGCTGTCCAGACCCAACACAGGTGACATTCAATCGTATGCAGCGGCCACAGTTCGGGACGCCGGAGTCGCACTTTTTCCTGGCGTTACGACATGCCTCGCAGGCTCGTCCCGACGGTACAGCAGGCATTCAGACGTGGTCTATGTGTGTGAGTGAGCGGAGGGAATCGAGGGGGAATCAAGGATGTCGGCTTGAGGTCACTTTGTGTGTCAATGAATGAAGTCTATTACGCCCGGCTATGAGCCTTATCTAACGATTCCCGCTGAGATCCGATGGATCCCCGCATATCTGGATGTGCCTGATAACGAGATGGCCAACGTTGAGGCTAAGTTTGCGGCGGAGAACCCGAGTGGGGCGGATTATCGTGGTCCCGATATCCGATTGGCCTCCTCGGCGCAGCGCTGGGTACGGCAGCGAATAAAGGGGCGGTGGATAAAAGAGTGGGCCGCGAGCAAGAGGGCTATCAGAAATTGATGGACATGCCGCGATCGCGACCGGGGCTGACCTGCGACCGCAGTGGCCACCACGACGGCCAACATGCGAGAGTATTGCTCGCCTGGATTCTACAATATTGTTATGAATAGCTTTAGCTAGTTACTAGATCCGGCAATTTTGTAGTAATCAATTACTACAAATTCGATAGAATTTGTAAGGTTGCATGTTGTAGGAAATCGACTCAGAATCTATAAATGCTCTTTAGGGTTTGCTTTGCCCTATTCACCATATAAATTCATATAGTACGTAAGAGAAAGTCATACTGCAAAGACACACTGGCACTCACCACTTGCAAGCGCCACCAGATATATATATTGAACGCGGAGGTGTATAGTGGGGCCAGGTGCCGCAAATTGGGATTTTTCATTGACCAGGGCTCGTGACTAAGCGCTTGGCGATGAACTAACCAACTAACTATCGCAATGATAATATCGTAACGTGGCATCTATATCGAAAAAAAATTGAAGAACGATACGATACACGATATCGTATCGTTTCCTCTACGTTACTACAGCGATAACAATAAAAGCGTTACGATATCGCATTTTGACGATATCGTGCTCATCCCTAAGCAGAGAGGCGGAAAGGAGACTCCTCGGTCATCATTTCAGCGAATGCGTCCTTGATGCTTCGATTGGCGCGCTCAAGGAGTACGTCCTCACGACATCGAAGAGGGTCAACCAGGCCGCGATCAGTGCTACGGATGATCAGCTGGAGTTCCTCACGGGTTACACGGGCTACAGGTGCCACGCTGCTCCCGCTCGAGAGGCCGTTCGACAGGATGGTGCCGGCCGTCTGAGCTGACGAGAGCCAGCCAGATACCAGCGACGGCTCCGACCGTACGGCATCCCGATGAGATAGCGGTTTACCGCTACCACAAGGTATAGCTGCAGCAGCCGCAGCCTGATTATCGATCCCACGCTTCAACTGATCATACATCCCGACATGCTTACTTACTTTCATCGATCAGCGTGCGCAGACACTGCAGCTCCGTCAGATACTCGTCGCCTCTCATCCTCCGTGTCAGGGATAACACGACTTGAAGGAACGAGGACACGGTGTCAGGCAAGGGGGAGGGGCGACCTTGCTGCGGACAATCAGTGTTGCCCGCTTCTCGGATAAATGCTGTAGTTTGACTGCGACGGCACGTAAACTATTCCTCCGGATGGTATCTCAATAGCCAGAGGATTGCGAACTGGCTGCAAATCCGCACCATCTACAGACTCGAAGTCCGTAAGCGTGGACATCTTGGTGGTTGGACTCGCGCAAAATCCGCTCCGAGTAGGCGTCTCCAACGGCTTGTTTGTGAGGAGCTGACCCGACAATTTCATTTTTTCATTTCAGCAAACAATCATCTACTATTTGCTCTCGTTCTCTGCGTTCTGATCGGAGTACCGCATATATGCTCCGGAACATCCGTCTCGTGCAAATGAGTGTCTGTTGCTTTGAATTGATCCAACGCTGCGAGGATATCTCTCTTTTCAACCTGAGAATTACGAGATTGGATCCTGGAAGCTGATAAATGCTCTCCAATGAGTTGTGCTTGGCTGTCACCTTTGATCAGTCTTCTCTCGTGTCGCAAGAGCATAGCGCGGTTGATATTGCATACTAAATCTCGGGCCTCTCGAGTCATGTCGTCTGGCAGGGTCTGCCAGTTTCTTCACCGCAAATTGCGGCTATCACCTTCTGATCGATAACATTGACGAACGTTGCGGAAAGGCATGCTGCGAGGTCATTAAACGTCAAGATCTGATTGATACTCACGGTAGAAATTTTGAAGCTCCGGGCCTCCTTCATACGCGCGGACATCACGATGGAAATTGCCAGCGAGACTGAAGGCATAGTTGCTACAGTGAACGACAACGAGTAAGGGCCGTAAGCGAAATTTAGACAAAAACACCCCCGCCCCGTTTAAAAACAAAATATAATGCTCTTAGAATAATATAAAGCAAATTGCCTGTGCTCTAATCAGTAGAATCTAATCAGTAGAATCTTAGTTAAGTAAACTAAATATATTATATCTATTATATACAAGAATTTGGTTCAGAGCTGCTAAATTAAACTCAAAGGGGTTTAATTTCTGACCCTTGAACGCATAAAATCAATGAAAAACTGGAAAAGTAAAACAAATGAAAATGAAAGGCAGAGACAAACACAGAAACACAATAGCGCATCGGTTGAGTGTTCCCATGCGATTTGTCTCATTAACGCCTTTTCAGACTGAAGGAGTGGGTATTCAAGTTCAAGCTGCACGGGTTATGCTATCTCCGCTCACATATTGACAAGCAGCGCGAAGGGAGCACTATCATGCACTGCGGCATGCTCACCGCCGCTTAAGCCGGACTGAATCTTGGCTGCGTAGTCAACCACGACAGAGTAGTCAAAGAGATCTTTGACAGAGGTTCGTAAGTGCAAACGGGAGGCGATTCGCGAAACGAGCTTCGCCGCCATGAGCGAATGGCCGCCGAGGTCGAAGAAATTGTCCGTGATGCCGACCTCTAGCCCGAGCACATGCCCAAACTCTTCGCACAGCGCGCGCTCCACGTCGTTGCGCGCAGGAACCACCTCTCGTGGGCCCCGTCCTGTCGCGTCTCCTAGCGCCCTCGTCGCCAGCGCACGTCGGTCGACTTTACCGTTGGCGTTCAGAGGCATTCGGTCCAGGACTTGGATTCTGGACGGCACCATGTAGGCCGGGAGCGCCGCCTGCAGCGCCGCCCGGAGGTGGCCCTCGATCTTCTGGCTCAGCTGCCGGCGCAGCGGATGATTGGCAAGCGAGTCCTCCCGGCAGGTCTCGTGGTCGGTAGGGAAGCGGAATAGTGGTCGCAGGCCCTCCATGCGATGGAAGACGGCATCGAGGCCGCCCCGGAGGGAGCGCTGACGGGCCCAGCTGATCTCGACCCGGAAGCCTGCCTCTCTGGCGAGGTTGTCAAGGTCAAGGGCGGACAGAGCACAGCAGTGGCGTGCCGACTCGCGCGCAGATAGCAGCCAATCGCCCTTCTCGCCCACCGGTGCGTCCTCGGTCTCAGCATCCAGCGAGTCAATGACATGCCGCTCGACGGCGGTTTTGACGTTGGCGATGTTGCTGACCGCCAGCAGTTGTGACTCCGCGGACGTATGAAGTAGACGTCGCAACCCCTCACGGTCAAGCCCCGCCGCGGTGAAGTCGGTCCATTCCTCTACATCGAGGACCTGCGGTGGAGGTGTACCGGAGTGTCGAGCGTGGATGACTGCGGCATAGCGGTAGCAGCTCAGCTCGTTCGTCGCCTTCACCCTCTTTGGCAGGATCTCGACGTGCGACACTGCATTGGGTAGCAGGGCGGGCAGGCGAGTGAAGAAGGCAGGATCCACCAACAACTCTTCCTCGGCCTCCTCGGTGCTCGCTGAGATGCGTCCGGACTGCTTCCTTTGTCGTGGCATCTCCAAGCGCGTGTAGCGCCTTGGTAGTGCCGAACTCACGGTACAGGGCCCACGAACGCATGTCACCGAAGAACACACGCTGCACTCCGTCGACTTGTAGGAGCTGGGCCACAGTGTCGGACAAATACTCCGCAGTCGGGAAGTACTGCGCCACCGAGTTAATCACAATAACGTCTGGAGAGTTCAGTGGGCCTATTTGCCCCAGGTCGGTGGCTGCGCCGACATGCAGCTGCACCTTGCCCGCGAAGGTCGGATGTGCCGCGGCCATGCGCTTCACAAACGCAACGGCGGTGGCAGACGGATCGAGCCCAACGTAGCTCTGCAGACTGTCGGGGAGGTTGAAGAGGATCATGCCCGTGCCGGTACCGATCTCGCAGACGTTTGCTGGATGACCGCCGGCCTCGATGGCAGCCATGGTGTCGTCCAGCCACTCATTCATCTCACCACGGTCAATGGTGCTTCCATCATACATGGATGTCCAGCCGACAAAGTCCCGACCCAGGCGTGCTGGGTCGATGGTGTCAATGCTGGCATAAGTGCCCTGATCAAAACGACCTGTCCATCCCAGCACCTGTTCCACCGCTTCATACTCACCAACATTGATACCGTCTTCCCCTGCTTGCGCTTGATCGGGGTACAGCGTGATGAAGCTGACGAGCTCGGGGTCTTCACCTTCGGCAGTACGTAGCAGCGCGACGGCTTCGTCAACAGCGCTGTCGCGCCGGATAGCGTGCTCGACCTCGCCGAGCTCGATTCTGTTGCCACGCAACTTGATCTGGTGGTCCAATCGCCCGAAGAACTCGAGCTGGCCATCGGTCGGGCGGTGGCGGACCCGATCGCCCGTGCGGTAGGCCTTTATTATCTCTCCGTCCACGGTCACTTCGACAAAGCGGTCTTGATTGAGCGCCGGGTCAGTGTAGCCGCGGGCCAAGCCGTCGCCTATGACGACGAGTTCGCCCATCACTCCGAGTGGGACCAGGCATTGCCGTGCGTCCATGACGAGGGCTCCTGAGTTGGAGATGCTTGCGCCGATTGGCAGCCCGTTCGCGGTCTTGTCTTCTGCCTCAACGTTGAAAATGGTACTAACAACGGCGTTCTCTGTCGGCCCGTAGGCATTAACGACCTTGCCTGTCACTAGTCGGCTCGCATTCTGCGCATCCCGTGCGTCAAAGCGCTCTCCACAAACGAGCAGCGTGGTAAGGTTGGACAGACTTGCTGGAGCATCGGTTAGACACTGCTTTACGAGTGCTGGAGTGAAGATGGCAGCACGGATAGCCTCTGTTTGAAGCACACGGCCAAGGGCCGGAGCATCGAGGACAGTAAGATGATCTATAGATATGATAGTGCCGCCGTTCAACAAAGGCGCATAGATCTCCCATGTAGATAAATCGAAGCTCAGCGTTGTCACATGAGCAACACGTACAGCGGCCTGCTCCGTCGTATGTAGATTGGTATTCCTCACAAGGCGGACAATGCCGCGGTGTTCGACCATCACCCCCTTCGGCCGGCCGGTCGAGCCAGAGGTAAACATGACATACGCGAGGCTAGTGGCCCCCGGGGACGCCAGCAGTGGCGCCATGGTGCGCCAGCCATCGGGCGCGCGCTCCAGTGCCTCTAAAATGGGTACGAATGAGACATCCTCGAGCTGGGTGGCCGGCCGCTCGACCTCGGTGCCGATCAGGACCAGCTTTTCCCCAGCCACCGCCTTAAAAATGCTCTCTAAGCGGCCTAGAGGCACGTTCACGTCTAGCGGAAGGTAAGCTAGGTTGGCCTTCAAGATGCCGATGAGAGCAACGACGGTCTCGCACGAGCGCGGCGCCAAAACCGCCACTAGGCTCTCCGCCGCCAAGCCTCGCTGCGCGAGCCAACAAGCCACGCGATCTGAGCGCTCGTCCAGCTCAGCATATGTGAGCTGTGTGACTGAATCTTTGATTGCAATCACCTCCGGGCACGCTGACACCTTCTCGCGGAAAAGCTCGGGCACGCTTGAGTCTCGCGGGTAGTCGGTGCGCTCAATGCGTGTCAGACCGAGCTCCCGCAGGGCCGAGGACCCGTGCGTCAGCGGCGCAGTAGCCACCGCGATCGAGGGATCCCGAAGTCCCTGCTCGAGTAGTTCCAAGAACACGCTCGCTATGCTACGGACTGACGCCTCTTCGAATAGATCCTCGGCGTACATGATGGTGCCCCGCAGGCGCCCGTGCTCGGTGAAGAAGTGGAACTCGATATCGAAGCGGGTAGAGCTGGTGTCTCCAACTGGCTCTGTCTGCACGCCTTCAAGACGTAGATACCCAATATCTTTCTGTGAGTGAACCGCAAAAGCGTTCTGCACCAGGGGATGGCGCGATAGATCACGCGAACCTGGGCGGAGCTCTGCAACGAGCCTCTCAAACGGTACATCCTGATGCGCGGCCGCGGCCGCGGTCGTCGCAAGCACTTGCGCAACGAGCGACTGGAACGACTCGTCTTCCACGTGAATCCGGATGCACTGCATGTTGACAAAGAAGCCAATCAGGTCCTCAAGCTCCTGCCGGTTCCGGTTGGCGATCGGCGTGCCGATCGTTGCGTCTTCGACTCCTGTAAGCCGATACTGAGTCGCCCGGAACGCCGCGAGGAGCACAGCAAAGGGTGTGGCTTGGTGAGTCTTACAGAAGGCGTGGAGGTTATTGTATAAGGCACCCTCGATCATGACCTGATGCACGCCCGCCTTGCCCGACAATACGGCCGGCCGTGGCTTGTCGCTGAGCAGCTCCGCCGGCTGGCTACCATCTAGCTGTTGCTTCCAGTACGACAGCTGACGCTCCTGCTCCTCGGCCTGTGCTGCCCTCTCTCTGCCAGACAGAAAAATCGCGGTACTGAATAGGCAGCGGGCTCACTTGCAACAGTGGATCCTCGCCGCGCACCGCAGCGGCGTAGAAGCTAGCCAGTTCACGCTGTAGGACGTCGACAGACCATCCGTCCGAGATAATGTGGTGCATCACCATGGACAACACATGGTCATGGGGACCGAGGCAGAAGACGGTGGCCCGCCATCCGGGCTCGCTCTGGAGATCGAACGGTGTGGTGTGCTCTTCCCGCAGAGCTTGTGTCAGGGCGGTCCAGTCGCCGCCGGGGATATTAACGGTGCGCAGGGAGCGGGCGACGAAGGGTCGGACAAGCTGTACGCCAGCTCCCTCGCGCTGGCCGAACACAGTACGCAGTGGCTCATGGCGCTCTTCCAGCGCCTGTAGCGCTTTATTAAGCGCCGAAAGTTGCAGGGGACCACGCAGCCGGGTCGCGAATGGCATCAGATACCAGGTAGCGTCCGGGTACAGGCGCTCGAGGAACCAGAGGCGACCCTGCGCGAAAGATTGCACGACGGGCCCGCTGAGCTGGGTGCGCGGAATAGGCACGTAGGTGGTGTCGCCCCGGGCGTGCGCCAGCCGCCCAGCTAGGTCGGCTACGCGCGGGGCGTCAAAGACGTCTCTTACTGTGATCGTAGTATGGAGTCGCCGATTGATGCGCGACACCACGCGAGTGGCCATGAGTGAATGGCCGCCGAGGTCAAAGAAATTGTCCGTGACGCCGACCTCCAGCCCAAGCACATGCCCGAACTCTTCGCACAGCGCACGCTCCACGTCGTTACGCGCAGGCAACACCTCTCGCGGGCCCCGCCCAGCCGCATCGCCAAGCGCTTTCGCCGCGAGCACCCGCCGGTCGACCTTGCCATTAGCATTCAGAGGCATTCGGTCCAGGACCCGGATCCTCGACGGCACCATGTAGGCCGGGAGCGCCGCCTGCAGCGCCGCCCGGAGGTGGCCCTCGATCTTCTGGCTCAGCTGCCGGCGGAGCGGGTGATTGGCAAGCGAGTCCTCCCGGCAGGTCTCGTGGTCGGTAGGGAAGCGGAATAGTGGTCGTAGGCCCTCCAAGCGATGGAAGACGGCATCGAGGCCGCCCCGGAGGGAGCGCTGACGGGCCCAGCTGATCTCGACCCGGAAGCCTGCCTCTCTGGCGAGGTTGTCAAGGTCAAGGGCGGACAGAGCACAGCAGTGGCGTGCGGACTCGCGCGCAGATGACAGCCAATCGCCATTCTCACCCACCGGTGCGTCCACGGCCTCGGTATCCAGCGAGTCAATAACATGCCGCTCGACGGCGGTTTTGGCGTTGGCGATGTTGCTGACCGCCAGCAGTTGCGACTCCGCGGATGTGTGAAGTAGACGTCGCAACCCCTCACGGTCAAGCCCCGCCGCGGTGAAATCAGTCCATGCGTCGACATCGAGGACCTGCGGTGGAGGTGTACCGGAGTGTCGCCCGTGGATGACTGCGGCGTAGCGGTAGCAACTCAGCTCGTTCGTCGCCTTCACCCTCTTTGGCAGAATCTCGACGTGCGACACTGCATTGGGTAGCAGGGCGGGCAGGCGAGTGAAGAAGGCAGGATCCACTAACAACTCTTCCTCGGTCTCCTCGGTGCTCGCTAGATGCGCCTGGACTGCTTTCTTTGTCGTAGCATCTCCAAGCGCGTGTAGCGCCTTGGTAGTGCCGAACTCACGGTACAGAGCCCACGAGCGTATGTCGCCGAAGAACACACGCTGCACTCCGTCGACTTGTAGGAGCTGGGCCACAGTGTCGGACAAATACTCCGCAGTCGGGAAGTACTGCGCCACCGAGTTAATCACAATAACGTCTGGAGAGTTCAGTGGGCCTATTTGCCCCAGGTCGGTGGCTGCGCCGACATGTAGCTGCACCTTGCCCGCGAAGGTCGGATGTGCCGCGGCCATGCGCTTCACAAACGCAACGGCGGCGGCAGATGGATCGAGTCCGACGTAGCTCTGCAGACTGTCGGGGAGGTTGAAGAGGATCATACCCGTGCCGGTGCCGATCTCGCAGACGTTTGCTGGTCGACCACCGGCCTCGATGGCAGCCATGGTGTCGTCCAGCCACTCATTCATCTCGCCACGGTCAATGGTGCTTCCATCATACATAGATGTCCAGCCGACGAAGTCCCGACCCAGGCGCGCTGGGTCGATGGTCTCAACGTCGGCATAGGTGCCTGCGTCAAAGTGATCCGCCCACGCTCCTACCTGTTCCGCTTCCTCATCCGCAGTCGAAGTGTGTCCGTTCGGCAGAGCTTGCGTTTTATCTGAGTGGAGCGTGATGAAACTAACGAGCTCGGGGTCTTCACCTTCAGCAGTACGTAGCAGCGTGACGGCTTCGTCCACTGCACTGTCGCGTAGAAGGGCGTGCTCGACCTCGCCGAGCTCGATTCTGTTGCCACGCAGCTTGATCTGGTGGTCCAGCCGCCCGAAGAACTCGAGCTGGCCATCGGTCGGGCGGTGACGGACCCGATCGCCCGTGCGGTAGGCCTTTATTGTCTCTCCGTCCACGGTCACCTCAATGAAGCGGTCTTGATCAAGCGCCGGGTCAGTGTAGCCACGGGCCAAGCCATCACCCGTGACCACAAGCTCGCCCATCACCCCGAGTGGGACCAGGTTTTGCCGAGCGTCCATGACAAGCGCTCCTGAGTTACTTATAGCGCAGCCGATCGGTATGCCGTTGACACCCCGCTCATGAGCCGGAATATGGTAGATGGCGCTAAAGGTCGTATTCTCGGTTGGGCCGTATCCGTTGATCACGTCGCCGGAGACAAGGCGCCTGACCTGGTCCGCGTCACTCGGATCGAAGCGGTCTCCGATAGCGAAGAGCGTGTTGAGTAGCGACAGCGCAGAAGGTGCATCGGTCAAACACTGCTTTAGGAGCGCTGGAGTCAGCATGGCGGCTCGAACGGCCTCGGCCTCGAATAGGCGGCCGAGGGCCGGGACGTTAAGGACGGTAAAGTGATCTATGCAGATAATGGTACCGCCATTCAGCAAGGGGGCGTAGATCTCCCACGTGGCTGCGTCAAACGCGAGGTTGGCGACGTGAGCCACGTTTGTTGCGGCATGCAGCTGCGGAACTACATTTGTGTTCCTCACCAGGCGGACAATGCTACGATGCTCGACCATCACGCCCTTGGGCCGGCCCGTCGAGCCGGAAGTAAACATGACATAAGCTAGGCTGGTGGCCCCGGGAGCTGAGAGCCGCGGCACTATAGTCTTCCAAGCTTTGGGCGCGCGCTCTAGCGCGACCGCGATGGGTATGAATGCGACATCCTCGAGCTGGGTAGCCGGGCGCTCGACGCCGGTACCGATCAGGAGCAGCCTCTCCCCGGTCACCGCTGTCAGAATACTGTCTAGGCGGGCCGTCGGTGCGTTGACGTCTAGAGGCAGGTATGCCAGGTTAGCTTTTAGGATGCCGACGAGGGCAACGATGGTCTCGCACGAGCGCGGCGCCAAGACCGCCACAATACTCTCCGCCGCTAAGCCGCGCTGCGCGAGCCAGCAAGCCACGCGATCTGAGCGCTCATCCAGCTCAGCGTATGTGAGCTGTGTGACAGAGTCCTTCACCGCAATCGCGGCCGGGGACGCTGACACCTGTTGGCGGAAGAGCTCGGGCACGCTTGAGTCTCGCGGGTAGTCTGTGCGCTTGATACCATTCATACTAAGCTCGAGCAGGGATGACACGACGTGTGTCAGCGGTGCCGTAGCAGCTTCGATCAAGGGATCCCGAAGTCCCTCCTCGAGTAGTCCCAGGAACACGCTCGCCATGTTACGAACTGACGCCTCTTCGAATAGATCCTCGGCGTACATGATGGTGCCCCGCAGGCGCCCGTGCTCAGTGAAGAAATGGAACTCGATATCGAAGCGGGTGGAGCTGGTGTCTCCCACCGGCTCTGTCTGCAGGCCTTCGAGACGTAAATAGCCAATATCTTTCTGTGAGTGAACAGCAAACACGCTCTGCACTAGGGGATGGCGCGACAGGTCACGCGCCCCCGGGCGTAACTCAGCAACGAGCCTCTCGAACGGCAGGTCCTGATGTGCGGCCGCGGCCGCGGTCGTTGCAAGCACCTGTGCAACGAGCGACTCGAACGACTCGGATTCCACGTGGATTCGGATGCACTGCATGTTGACGAAGAAGCCGACCAGGTCCTCAAGCTCCTGCCGGTTCCGGTTGGCGATCGGCGTGCCGATCGTGGCGTCTTCGACTCCTGTGAGCCGGTAGTGAGTCGCCCGGAATGCCGCCAGAAGGACGGCGAAGGGCGTTGCTTGGTGAGTCTTACAGAAGGCGTGAAGGTTGTTGTACAGCGCTCCCTCGATCATGACCTCGTGAACGCTCGCCTTGCCAGACGATACAGCCGGCCGTGGCTTGTCGCTGAGCATCTCTGCGGGCTGGCTACCATCCAGCTGTTGCTTCCAGTACGCCAGCTGACGCTCTTGCTCCTCGGCCTGTGCTGCCTCTCTCTGCCAGACAGAAAAATCGCGGTACTGAATAGGCAGCGGGCTCACTTGCAACAGTGGATCCTCGCCGCGCACCGCAGCGGCGTAGAAGCTAGCCAGCTCCCGTTGCAGGATGTCCACAGACCATCCGTCGGATACAATGTGATGCATCACCATGGAAAGTACGTGGTCATCCGGCCCCAGGCAGAAGATGGCGACGCGCCATCCAGGTTCGTTCTCGAGATCGAACGGTATGGTGTGCTCTTCGCGGAGAGCTCGCGTCAGGGCAGTCCAGTCACCGCCGGGGACATTGACTGCGCGCAGGGATCGGGCGACGAAGGGTCGGACGAGCTGTACGTCGGTTCCCTTGCGCTGGCCGAACACAGTGCGTAGTGGCTCATGGCGCTCTTCCAGCGTCTGCAGCGCCTTCTCAAGCGCCGAAAGCTGCAGGGGACCACGCAGCCGGGTCGCGAATGGCATTAGATACCAAGTGGAGTCCGGGTACAGGCGGTCGAGGAACCAGAGACGGCCCTGCGCAAAGGACTGGACTACGGGTCCACCGAACTGGGTGCGCGGAATAGGCACGTAGGGGGTGGCACCGAGCGCGCGCGCCGCTCGAACGGCCAGGTCGGCTACGCGCGGGGCATCGAAGACGTCTCTTACCGTGATTGTGGTGTGAAGTCGTCGATTGATGCGCGACACCACGCGAGTGGCCATGAGCGAATGACCGCCAAGGTCGAAGAAATTGTCCGTGATGCCGACCTCCAGCTCGAGCACATGCCCGAACTCCTCGCACAGCGCGCGCTCCACGTCATTGCGCGCAGGCACCACCTCTCGCGGGCCACGCTCAACCGCGTCGCCCAGCGCCCTCGTCTCCAGCGCGCCCCGGTCGACCTTGCCATTAGCATTCAGAGGCATCTGGTCCAGGACCTGGATCCTTGCCGGCACCATATAGGCTGGCAGTGTCGCCTGCAGCGCCGCGCGAAGGTCGTCTTCGGTATCCCGTCGAAAGTGATTAGCCGCCGAGTCCGTGTCTACCGTTGTCTCACCGGCGTGGAGCGTTATGAAGCTAACAAGTTCGGGGTCTTGACCTTCAGCAGTTCGCAGCAGCGCGACGGCTTCGTCCACTGCACTGTTGCGTTGTAGGGCGTGCTCGACCTCGCCGAGCTCGATTCTGTTCCCACGCAGCTTGACCTGGTGGTCCAGTCGCCCGAAGAACTCGAGCTGGCCATCGGTCGGGCGGTAGCGGACCCGATCGCCCGTGCGGTAGGCCTTTATTGTCTCTCCGTCCACGGTCACCTCAATGAAGCGGTCTTGATCAAGCGCCGGGTCAGTGTAGCCGCGGGCCAAGCCGTCACCCGTGACCACGAGCTCGCCCATCACCCCGAGGGGGACCAGACGTTGTCGCGAGTCCATGACGACCGCTCCGGAGTTGCTAATAGCCCCACCAATTGGGACTCCATTGGCGTATGGCTCACTGTAAGAGATCTTGCATATTGTACTATAGGTTGTGTTTTCGGTCGGCCCGTAGACGTGGTAGAAGCCGCCTTTAAGCAGTCGAGAGGCACGCGCAGCGTCTTCTGGTCTCATTCTTTCACCGCCCGCGAACAGATTTTGCAATGCTCCAATAGCGATAGTCATATCTTTGAGTCTGTCCTTGAACAAGGCAGTGGATAAGAATGCTGATTTAATATCCTCTTCTTGTATTTTTCTGCTAAGGGCAGCGATGTCCAAAGTTGTGTAGTAGTCGATGCATGTTATGGTTCCACCATTAAGAAGTGGTGTATATATTTCCCAAGTTGCTGCATCGAATGCGAGATTTGATAGATGAGCCATGTTTGCAGCAGCATGAGTAGTGGACATCAGGTTTGTTTCCTTCACAAGCCGAACGATGCTGCGATGCTCCACCATCACCCCCTTGGGTCGGCCCGTCGACCCGGAGGTGAACATGACATACGCGAGGCTCCTGGCCCTGGGGGCCTCTAGCAGCTGCGCCATGGTCCGCCAGTCGTCGGGTGCGCGCTCCAGCGCCGCTGAGATGGGTACGAATGCGACACCATCCAGCGAGGTGGCTGGTCGGTTGACATCAGCACCGATCAGAATCAGCCTCTCCCCGGTCACTGCCATCAGAATACTGTCCAGGCGGGCCGTCGGTGCGTTGATATCTAGAGGCACGTATGCTAGGTTGGCTTTTAGGATGCCGACGAGGGCAACGATGGTCTCGCACGAGCGCGGCGCCAAGACCGCCACCATACTCTCCGCCGCCAAGCCTCGCTGCGCGAGCCAGCAAGCCACGCGATCTGAGCGCTCATCCAGCTCAGCGTATGTGAGCTGTGTGACAGAGTCCTTCACCGCAATCGCGGCCGGGGACGCTGACACCTGTTGGCGGAAGAGCTCTGGCACGCTTGAGTCTCGTGGGTATTCGGTGCGCTCAATGCGTGTCAGACCGCGCTCCCGCAGGCCCGAGAGCCCATGCGTCAAGGGAGTATTAGCAACTTCGATCGAGGGATTCCGAAGTCCCTGCTCGAGTAGTTCAAGAAACACACTCGCCATGCTACGGATTGACGCCTCTTCAAACAAATCCTTGGCATATATGATCGTACCGCGCAAGCGCCTGTGTTCAGTGAAGAAGTGAAACTCAATATCAAAGCGAGTGGAAATCGTGCCTCCCACTGGCTCTGTCTGCAAACCTTCGAGGCGAAGGTAACCAATATCTTCGTGAGTATCTACTTGAAATAAGGTCTGAATCAATGGATGACGAGATAAGTCACGAGACCCTCGCCGGAGCTCAGACACAAGCCTCTCGAACGGTACATCCTGATGTGCGGCCGCAGCCGCGGTAGTCGCAAGCACTTGACCGACGAGCGACTGGAACGACTCGTCTTCCACGTGAATCCGGATGCACTGCATGTTGACAAAGAAGCCGACCAGGTCCTCAAGCTCCTGTCTGTTCCGGTTGGCGATTGGTGTGCCGATTGTGGCGTCTTGCACTCCTGTGAGCCGGTAGTGAGTCGCCCGGAATGCCGCCAGGAGCACGGCGAAGGGCGTTGCTTGGTGAGTCTTGCAGAAGTTGTGTAATTGATTGTACAAGGAACCCTCAATGACGAGCTCGTGCACGCCCGCCTTGCCCGACAACACGGCCGGTCGTGGCTTGTCGCTGAGCAGCTCCGCGGGCTGGCTACCATCCAGCTGTTGCTTCCAGTACGCCAGCTGACGCTCCTGCTCCTCAGCTTGAGTTGCCTCTCTCTGCCAGACGGAGAAATCGCGGTATTGAATCGGCAGCGGGCTCACTCGCAATAGTGGATCCTCGCCGCGCACCGCAGCGGCGTAGAAGATAGCCAGCTCCCGTTGGAGGACGTCGACAGACCATCCGTCCGAGATAATGTGATGCATCACCATGGAAAGCACGTGGTCATCCGGCCCCAGGGAGAAGACGGCGACGCGCCATCCGGGCTCGCTCTCGAGGTCGAATGGTGTGGTGTGCTCTTCCCGAAGAGCTTGTGTCAGGGTAGTCCAGTCACCACCAGGGACATCAACGTTGCGCAGAGGCCTGGCGACGAAGGGTCGGATAAGTTGCACGTCGGTTCCCTGATGCTGGCCGAATAAGGTGCGCAGTGGCTCGTGTCGCTCTTCCAGCGCCTGCAGCGCCTTGGCAAGGGCCGCAAGCTGCAGGGGGCCGCGCAGCCGGGTCGCGAATGGCATCAGATACCAAGTGGAGTCCGGGTAAAGACGGTCGAGGAACCATAGGCGACCCTGCGCAAAAGACTGTACGACGGGTCCATCGAGTAGATTGCGGACAATAGGCACGTAGGTGGTGTCACCGAGCGCTCGAGCCACCAGCGTGGCCAGGTCGGCTACGCGCGGGGCATCGAAGACGTCTCTTACCGTGATTGTGGTGTGAAGTCGTCGATTGATGCGCGAAACCACGCGAGTGGCCATAAGTGAATGGCCGCCGAAGTCAAAGAAGTTGTCTGTGATGCCGACCTCCAGTCCAAGCACATGCCCGAACTCCTCACACAGCACACGCTCCACGTCGTTACGCGCAGGCAACACCTCTCGCGGGCCCCGCCCAGCCGCATCGCCAAGCGCTTTCGTCGCGAGCACCCGCCGGTCGACCTTGCCATTAGCATTCAGAGGCATTCGGTCCAGGACCCGGATCCTCGACGGCACCATGTAGGCCGGGAGCGCCGCCTGCAGCGCCGCCCGGAGGTGGCCCTCAATCTTCTGGCTCAGCTGCCGGCGGAGCGGGTGATTGGCAAGCGAGTCCTCCCGGCACGTCTCGTGGTCGGTAGGGAAGCGGAATAGTGGTCGTAGGCCCTCCATGCGATGGAAGACGGCATCGAGGCCGCCTCGCAGGAAGCGCTGACGGGCCCAGCTGATCTCGACCCGGAAGCCTGCCTCTCTGGCGAGGTTCTCAAGGTCAAGGGCGGACAGAGCACAGCAGTGGCGTGCCGACTCGCGCGCAGATAGCAGCCAATCGCCCTTCTCGCCCACCGGTGCGTCCTCACCCTCGGCATCCAGCGAGTCAATGACATGCCGCTCGACGGCGGTTTTGTCGTTGGCGATGTTGCTGACCGCCAGCAGTTGCGACTCCGCGGATGTGTGAAGTAGACGCCGCAACCCCTCACGGTCGAGCCCCGCCGCGGCGAAGTCGGTCCATGCGTCTACATCGAGGACCTGCGGTGGAGGTGTACCGGAGTGTCGAGCGTGGATGACTGCGGCGTAGCGGTAGCAGCTCAGCTCGTTCGTCGCCTCCATCCTCTTTGGCAGGATCTCGACGTGCGACACTGCATTGGGTAGCAGGGCGGGCAGGCGAGTGAAGAAGGCAGGATCCACCAATAACTCTTCCTCGGCCTCCTCAGTGCTTGCTAGATGCGCCCGGACTGCTTCCTTTGTCGTGGCATCTCCAAGCGCGTGTAGTGCCTTGGTAGTGCCGAACTCACGGTACAGGGCCCACGAGCGTATGTCGCCGAAGAACACACGCTGCACTCCGTCGACTTGTAGGAGCTGGGCCACAGTGTCGGACAAATACTCCGCAGTCGGGAAGTACTGCGCCACCGAGTTAATCACAATAACGTCTGGAGAGTTCAGTGGGCCTATTTGCCCCAGGTCGGTGGCTGCGCCGACATGTAGCTGCACCTTGCCCGCGAAGGTCGGATGTGCCGCGGCCATGCGCTTCACAAACGCAACGGCGGCGGCAGATGGATCGAGTCCGACGTAGCTCTGCAGACTGTCGGGGAGGTTGAAGAGGATCATGCCCGTGCCGGTGCCGATCTCGCAGACGTTTGCTGGTCGACCACCGGCCTCGATGGCAGCCATGGTGTCGTCCAGCCACTCATTCATCTCGTCACGGTGAATGGTGCTTCCATCATACATAGATGTCCAGCCGACGAAGTCCCGACCCAGGCGCGCTGGGTCGATGGTCTCAACGTCGGCATAGGTACCTGCGTCAAAATGATCCGCCCACGCTCCTACCTGTTCTGCCTCCTCATCCGCAGTCGAAGTGTGTCCGTTCGGCAGAGCTTGCGTCTTATCTGAGTGGAGCGTGATGAAACTAACGAGCTCAGGGTCTTCACCTTCGGCAGTACGTAGCAGCGTGACGGCTTCGTCAACAGCGCTATCACACCGGATAGCGTGCTCGACCTCGCCGAGCTCGATTCTGTTGCCACGCAACTTAATCTGGTGGTCCAGCCGCCCGAAGAACTCGAGCTGGCCATCGGTCGGGCGGTGGCGGACCCGATCGCCCGTGCGGTAGGCCTTTATTGTCTCTCCGTCCACGGTCACCTCAATGAAGCGGTCTTGATCAAGCGTCGGGTCAGTGTAGCCACGGGCCAAGCCATCACCCGTGACCACAAGTTCGCCCATCACCCCGAGTGGGACCAGGTTTTGCCGAGCGTCCATGACAAGCGCTCCTGAGTTACTTATAGCGCAGCCGATCGGTATGCCGTTGACACCCCGCTCATGAGCCGGAATATGGTAGATGGCGCTAAAGGTCGTATTCTCGGTTGGGCCGTATCCGTTGATCACGTCGCCGGAGACAAGGCGCCTGACCTGGTCCGCGTCACTCGGATCGAAGCGGTCTCCGATAGCGAAGAGCGTGTTGAGTAGCGACAGCGCGGAAGGTGCATCGGTCAAACACTGCTTTAGGAGCGCTGGAGTCAGCATGGCGGCTCGAACGGCCTCGGCCTCGAATAGGCGGCCGAGGGCCGGGACGTCAAGGACGGTAAAGTGATCTATGCAGATAATGGTACCGCCATTCAGCAAGGGGGCGTAGATCTCCCACGTGGCTGCGTCAAACGCAAGGTTGGCGACGTGAGCCACGTTTGTTGCGGCATGCAGCTGCGGAACTACATTTGTGTTCCTCACCAGGCGGACAATGCTACGATGCTCGACCATCACGCCCTTGGGCCGGCCCGTCGAGCCGGAAGTAAACATGACATAAGCTAGGCTGGTGGCCCCGGGAGCTGAGAGCCGCGGCACTATAGTCTTCCAAGCTTTGGGCGCGCGCTCTAGCGCGACCGCGATGGGTATGAATGCGACATCCTCGAGCTGGGTAGTCGGGCGCTCGACGCCGGTACCGATCAGGAGCAGCCTCTCCCCGGTCACCGCTGTCAGAATACTGTCTCAGGCGGGCCGTCGGTGCGTTGACGTCTAGAGGCAGGTATGCCAGGTTAGCTTTTAGGATGCCGACGAGGGCAACGATGGTCTCGCACGAGCGCGGTGCCAAGACCGCCACGATACTCTCCGCCGCCAAGCCGCGCTGCGCGAGCCAGCAAGCCACGCGATCTGAGCGCTCATCCAGCTCAGCGTATGTGAGCTGTGTGACAGAGTCCTTCACCGCAATCGCGGCCGGGGACGCTGACACCTGTTGGCGGAAGAGCTCTGGCACGCTCGAGTCTCGCGGGTAGTCAGTGCGCTCAATGTATGTCAGACCGCGCTCCCGCAGGGCCGAGAGCCCGTGCGTCAAGGGAGTAGTAGCAACCTCGATCGAGGGAGTCCGAAGGCCGTGCTCAAGCAGTTGCAGGAACACGCTCGCCATGCTGCGGACTGATGTCTCTTCGAACAGATCCTCGGCGTACATGATCGTGCCGCGCAAGCGCCCTTGTTCAGTAAAAAAGTGAAACTCGCTGTCGAAGCGGGTAGACGTCGTTTCTCCTACCGGCTCTGTCTGCACTCCTTCGAGGCGGAGATACCCGATGTCTTTCTGTGAGTGGACCGCAAACACGTTCTGAACCAGGGGATGGCGGGACAGGTCACGCGCCCCCGGGCGGAGCTCCGCAACGAGCCTCTCAAACGGCAGGTCCTGATGCGCGGCCGCGGCCGCGGTCGTTGCAAGCACTTGGTCAACGAGCGCCTCGAATGACTCATCTTGAACATGGATCCGAATACACTGCATGTTGACAAAGAAGCCGACCAGGTCCTCAAGCTCCTGTCGATTCCGGTTGGCGATCGGTGTGCCGATTGTAGCGTCTTCGACTCCTGTCAGTCGATAGTGAGTAGCCCGGAAGGCCGCGAGGAGCACGGCAAACGGTGTAGCTTGGTGAGTCTTGCAGAAGGCCTGGAGGTTATTGTATAACGCGCCCTCGATCATGACCTCGTGGACGCCCGCCTTGCCAGACGATACGGCCGGCCGTGGCTTGTCGCTGAGCAGCTCCGCGGGCTGGCTACCATCCAGCTGTTGCTTCCAGTACGCCAGCTGGCGCCGCTGCTCCTCAGCCTGGGCTGCCTGCCTCTGCCAGACGGAGAAATCGCGGTATTGAATCGGCAGCGGGCTCACTCGCAATAGTGGATCCTCGCCGCGCACCGCAGCGGCGTAGAAGCTAGCCAGCTCCCGTTGGAGGACGTCGACAGACCATCCGTCCGAGATAATGTGATGCATCACCATAGAAAGCACGTGGTCATCCGGCCCCAGGGAGAAGACGGCGACGCGCCATCCAGGCTCGCTCTCGAGGTCGAATGGTGTGGTGTGCTCTTCCTGAAGAACTTGTGTCAGGGTAGTCCAGTCACCACCAGGGACATTAACGTTGCGCAGAGGCCTGGCGACAAAGGGTCGGATAAGTTGCACGTCGGTTCCCTGATGCTGGCCGAATAAGGTGCGCAGTGGCTCGTGTCGCTCTTCCAGCGCCTGCAGCGCCTTGGCAAGGGCCGCGAGCTGCAGGGGGCCGCGCAGCCGGGTCGCGAATGGCATCAGATACCAAGTGGAGTCCGGGTACAGGCGGTCGAGGAACCAAAGGCGACCCTGCGCAAACGATTGCACGACGGGCCCGCTGAGCTGGGTGCGCGGAATAGGCACGTAGGTGGTGTCGCCCAGGGTGTGCGCCAGCCGCTCGGCCAGGTCGGCCACGCGCGGGGCGTCAAAGACGTCTCTTACTGTGATCGTAGTATGGTGTCGCCGGTTGATACGCGACACCACGCGAGTGGCCATGAGAGAATGGCCGCCGAGATCGAAGAAATTGTCTGTGATCCCGACCTCCAGTCCAAGCACATGCCCGAACTCCTCACAGAGCGCACGTTCCACGTCGTTACGCGCAGGCAACACCTCTCGCGGGCCCCGCCCAGCCGCATCGCCAAGCGCTTTCGTCGCGAGCACCCGCCGGTCGACCTTGCCATTAGCATTCAGAGGCATTCGGTCCAGGACCCGGATCCTCGACGGCACCATGTAGGCCGGGAGCGCCGCCTGCAGCGCCGCCCGGAGGTGGCCCTCAATCTTCTGGCTCAGCTGCCGGCGGAGCGGGTGATTGGCAAGCGAGTCCTCCCGGCACGTCTCGTGGTCGGTAGGGAAGCGGAATAGTGGTCGTAGGCCCTCCATGCGATGGAAGACGGCATCGAGGCCGCCTCGCAGGAAGCGCTGACGGGCCCAGCTGATCTCGACCCGGAAGCCTGCCTCTCTGGCGAGGTTCTCAAGGTCAAGGGCGGACAGAGCACAGCAGTGGCGTGCCGACTCGCGCGCAGATAGCAGCCAATCGCCCTTCTCGCCCACCGGTGCGTCCTCACCCTCGGCATCCAGCGAGTCAATGACATGCCGCTCGACGGCGGTTTTGTCGTTGGCGATGTTGCTGACCGCCAGCAGTTGCGACTCCGCGGATGTGTGAAGTAGACGCCGCAACCCCTCACGGTCGAGCCCCGCCGCGGCGAAGTCGGTCCATGCCTCTACATCGAGGACCTGCGGTGGAGGTGTACCGGAGTGTCGAGCGTGGATGACTGCGGCGTAGCGGTAGCAGCTCAGCTCGTTCGTCGCCTCCATCCTCTTTGGCAGGATCTCGACGTGCGACACTGCATTGGGTAGCAGGGCGGGCAGGCGAGTGAAGAAGGCAGGATCCACCAATAACTCTTCCTCGGCCTCCTCAGTGCTTGCTAGATGCGCCCGGACTGCTTCCTTTGTCGTGGCATCTCCAAGCGCGTGTAGTGCCTTGGTAGTGCCGAACTCACGGTACAGGGCCCACGAGCGTATGTCGCCGAAGAACACACGCTGCACTCCGTCGACTTGTAGGAGCTGGGCCACAGTGTCGGACAAATACTCCGCAGTCGGGAAGTACTGCGCCACCGAGTTAATCACAATAACGTCTGGAGAGTTCAGTGGGCCTATTTGCCCCAGGTCGGTGGCTGCGCCGACATGTAGCTGCACCTTGCCCGCGAAGGTCGGATGTGCCGCGGCCATGCGCTTCACAAACGCAACGGCGGCGGCAGATGGATCGAGTCCGACGTAGCTCTGCAGACTGTCGGGGAGGTTGAAGAGGATCATACCCGTGCCGGTACCGATCTCGCAGACGTTTGCTGGTCGGCCGCCGGCCTCGATGGCAGCCATAGTGTCGTCCAGCCACTCATTCATCTCGCCACGGTCAATGGTGCTCCCATCATACATGGATGTCCAGCCGACGAAGTCCCGACCCAGGCGCGCCGGGTCGATGGTCTCAACGTCGGCATAGGTGCCTGCGTCAAAGTGATCCGCCCACGCTCCTACCTGTTCTGCCTCCTCGTCCGCAGTCGAAGTGTGTCCGTTCGGCAGAGCTTGTGTCCTATCTGGGTGGAGCGTGATAAAGCTGACGAGCTCAGGGTCTTCACCTTCGGCAGTACGTAGCAGCGCGACAGCTTCATCAACAGCGGTATCGCGTCGGATAGCGTGCTCGACCTCGCCGAGCTCGATTCTGTTGCCACGCAGTTTGATCTGGTGGTCCAGCCGCCCGAAGAACTCGAGCTGGCCATCGGTCGGGCGGTGGCGGACCCGATCGCCCGTACGATAGGCCTTTAGTATCTCTCCGCCCACGGTCACTTCGATAAACCGGTCTTGATTGAGTGTCGGGTCAGTATAACCGCGGGCCAAGCCATCACCCGTGACCACGAGCTCGCCCATCACCCCGAGCGGGACCAGGCGTTGTCGAGCGTCCATAACGAGCGCTCCCGAGTTACTAATAGCGCAGCCGATCGGTATGCCGTTGACACCCCGCTCATGAGCCGGAATGTGGTAGATGGCGCTAAAGGTCGTATTCTCGGTTGGGCCGTATCCGTTGATCACGTCGCCGGAGACAAGGCGCCTGACCTGGTCCGCGTCACTTGGATCGAAGCGGTCTCCGATAGCGAAGAGCGTGTTGAGTAGCGACAGCGCAGAAGGTGCATCGGTCAAACACTGCTTTAGGAGCGCTGGAGTCAGCATGGCGGCTCGAACGGCCTCGGCCTCGAATAGGCGGCCGAGGGCCGGGACGTCAAGGACGGTAAAGTGATCTATGCAGATAATGGTACCGCCATTCAGCAAGGGGGCGTAGATCTCCCACGTGGCTGCGTCAAACGCAAGGTTGGCGACGTGAGCCACGTTTGTTGCGGCATGCAGCTGCGGAACTACATTTGTGTTCCTCACCAGGCGGACAATGCTACGATGCTCGACCATCACGCCCTTGGGCCGGCCCGTCGAGCCGGAAGTGAACATGACATAGGCTAGGCTCGTGGCCCCGGGGGCTGAGAGCATTGGCACTATGCTCTTCCAGGGTCTGGGTGCACCCTCTAGCGTCTCTGCGATAGATACGAATGCAACACCCTCCACACGAGAGGCCGGCCGCTCGACCCCTGCCCCAAGCAGGACCAGTTGTTCCCCACCCACCGACTTCACAATGCTCTCAAGGCGACCCAGGGGCATATTGACATCCAGCGGAAGGTACGCCAGGTTGGCCTTTAGGATGCCGAGGAGGGCGATAATAGCCTGGCATGATCGTAGCGCCAAAACTGCCACCAGGCTCTCCGCTGGTAAGCCGCGCTGCGCGAGCCAACAAGCCAGGCGATCTGAGTGCTCATTCAACTCGGTGTATGTGAGCTGTGTGACTGCGTCCTTGACGGCGATCACATCTGGGGACCGTAACACCTGCTGGCGGAAAAGCTCTGGCACGCTTGAGTCTCGCGGATAGTCGGTTCGTTCGAGGCCTGTTAGACCCAGGTCGCGTAGGGCTGATAGTCCGTGCGACAGTGGCGCAGTAGCGAGGTTCATTGAGGGGATCCGAAGTCCCTCTTGGAGAAGTTCAAGGAATACGCTGGCCATGCTGCGGACTGATGTCTCTTCGAACAGATCCTCGGCGTACATGATCGTGCCGCGCAAGCGCCCTTGTTCAGTAAAAAAGTGAAACTCGCTGTCGAAGCGGGTAGAGGTCGTTTCTCCCACCGGCTCTGTCTGCACTCCTTCGAGGCGGAGATACCCGATGTCTTTCTGTGAGTGGACCGCAAACACGTTCTGAACCAGGGGATGGCGGGACAGGTCACGCGCCCCCGGGCGGAGCTCCGCAACGAGCCTCTCAAATGGCAGATCCTGATGCGCGGCCGCGGCCGCTGTTGTCGCGAGCACTTGTGCAACGAGTGACTGAAACGACTCGTCTTCTACATGGATCCGAATACACTGCATGTTAACAAAGAAGCCGACCAGGTCCTCAAGCTCCTGTCGGTTCCGGTTGGCGATCGGTGTGCCGATCGTGGCGTCTTCGACTCCTGTCAGTCGATAGTGAGTCGCCCGGAAGGCCGCCAGGAGCACGGCAAACGGTGTAGCTTGGTGAGTCTTGCAGAAGGACTGGAGGTTATTGTATAACGCGCCCTCGATCATGACCTCGTGGACGCCCGCCTTGCCAGACGATACGGCCGGTCGTGGCTTGTCGCTAAGCAGCTCTGCGGGCCGGCTACCATCTAACTGTTGCTTCCAGTACGCCAGCTGACGCTCCTGCTCCTCAGCTTGAGTTGCCTCTCTCTGCCAGACGGAGAAATCGCGGTATTGGATCGGAAGCGGGGTCACTCGCATTAGTGGATCTTCGCCGCGCACCGCAGTGGCGTAGAAGCTAGCCAGCTCCCGTTGCAGGATGTCCACAGACCATCCGTCGGAGATAATGTGATGCATCACCATAGAAAGTACGTGGTCATCTGGCCCTAGGCTGAAGACGGCGACGCGCCATCCGGGCTCGTTCTCGAGATCGAATGGTGTAGTGTGCTCATCCCGCAGAGCTTGTGTCACGGTGGCCCAGTCGCCGCCGGGGATATTGACAGTGCGTAGGGGCCGGGCGACGAAGGGTCGGACAAGCTGTACGTCTGTTCCCTCGCGCTGGCCGAACACAGTGCGTAATGGCTCATGGCGCTCTTCAAGCGCCTGGAGCGCTTTGCCAAGCGCCGAGAGCTGCAGGGGGCCGCGAAGGCGGGTCGCGAATGGCATCAGATACCAAGTGGAGTCCGGGTACAGGCGGTCGAGGAACCATAAGCGACCCTGCGCAAATGACTGGACGACGGGTCCACTAAGAAGTGTCCGCGGAATAGGCAGATATGGAGTAGCACCGAGGGCGTGCGCCACCCGTTGTGCGAAATCAGACACGCGCGGGGCGTCGAAGACCTCCCTCACTGTCATCGTGACATGAAGTCGCCGATTCACGCGCGACACCACGCGCGTGGCCATAAGTGAATGGCCGCCGAGATCGAAGAAATTATCTGTGATGCCGACCTCTAGCCCGAGCACATGCCCGAACTCTTCGCACAGCGCGCGCTCCACGTCGTTGCGCGCAGGAACCACCTCTCGTGGGCCCCGTCCTGTCGCGTCTCCTAGCGCCCTCGTCGCCAGCGCACGTCGGTCGACTTTACCGTTGGCGTTCAGAGGCATTCGGTCCAAGACTTGGATTCTGGACGGCACCATGTAGGCCGGGAGCGCCGCCTGCAGCGCCGCCCGGAGGTGGCCCTCGATCTTCTGGCTCAGCTGCCGGCGGAGCGGGTGATTGGCAAGCGAGTCCTCCCGGCAGGTCTCGTGGTCGGTAGGGAAGCGGAATAGTGGTCGTAGGCCCTCCATGCGATGGAAGACGGCATCGAGGCCGCCCCGGAGGGAGCGCTGACGGGCCCAGCTGATCTCGACCCGGAAGCCTGCCTCTCTGGCGAGGTTGTCAAGGTCAAGGGCGGACAGAGCACAGCAGTGGCGTGCCGACTCGCGCGCAGATGACAGCCAACCGCCCTTCTCGCCCACTAGTGCGTCCTCACCCTCGGCATCCAGCGAGTCAATGACATGCCGCTCGACGGCGGTTTTGACGTTGGCGATGTTGCTGACCGCCAGCAGTTGTGACTCCGCGAATGTGTGAAGTAGACGCCGCAACCCCTCACGGTCAAGCCCCGCCGCGGCGAAGTCGGTCCATGCCTCTACATCGAGGACCTGCGGTGGAGGTGTACCGGAGTGTCGAGCGTGGATGACTGCGGCATAGCGGTAGCAGCTCAGCTCGTTCGTCGCCTCCATCCTCTTTGGCAGGATCTCGACGTGCGACACTGCATTAGGTAGCAGGGCGGGCAGGCGAGTGAAGAAGGCAGGATCCACCAATAACTCTTCCTCGGTCTCCTCGGTGCTTGCTAGATGCGCCCGGACTGCTTCCTTTGTCGTGGCATCTCCAAGCGCGTGTAGCGCCTTGGTAGTGCCGAACTCACGGTACAGGGCCCACGAGCGTATGTCGCCGAAGAACACACGCTGCACTCCGTCGACTTGTAGGAGCTGGGCCACAGTGTCGGACAAATACTCCGCAGTCGGGAAGTACTGCGCCACCGAGTTAATCACAATAACGTCTGGAGAGTTCAGTGGGCCTATTTGCCCCAGGTCGGTGGCTGCGCCGACATGTAGCTGCACCTTGCCCGCGAAGGTCGGATGTGCCGCGGCCATGCGCTTCACAAACGCAACGGCGGTGGCAGACGGATCGAGCCCAACGTAGCTCTGCAGACTGTCGGGGAGGTTGAAGAGGATCATGCCCGTGCCGGTACCGATCTCGCAGACCTTTGCTGGATGACCGCCGGCCTCGATGGCAGCCATGGTGTCTTCCAGCCACTCATTCATCTCGCCACGGTCAATGGTGCTTCCATCATACATAGATGTCCAGCCGACGAAGTCCCGACCCAGGCGCGCCGGGTCGATGGTCTCGACGTCGGCATAGGTACCTGCGTCAAAGTGATCCGCCCACGCTCCTACCTGTTCCGCTTCCTCATCCGCAGTCGAAGTATGTCCGTTCGGCAGAGCTTGCGTCTTATCTGAGTGGAGCGTGATGAAACTAACGAGCTCAGGGTCTTCACCTTCGGCAGTACGTAGCAGCGTGACGGCTTCGTCAACAGCGCCATCACACCGGATAGCGTGCTCGACCTCGCCGAGCTCGATTCTGTTGCCACGCAACTTGATCTGGTGGTCCAGCCGCCCGAAGAACTCGAGCTGGCCATCGGTCGGGCGGTGGCGGACCCGATCGCCCGTGCGGTAGGCCTTTATTGTCTCTCCGTCCACGGTCACCTTAATGAAGCGGTCTTGATCAAGCGCCGGGTCAGTATAGCCACGGGCCAAGCCATCACCCGTGACCACAAGTTCGCCCATCACCCCGAGTGGGACCAGGTTTTGCCGAGCGTCCATGACAAGCGCTCCTGAGTTACTTATAGCGCGCCCGATCGGTATGCCGTTGACACCCCGCTCATGAGCCGGAATATGGTAGATGGCGCTAAAGGTCGTATTCTCGGTTGGGCCGTATCCGTTGATCACGTCGCCGGAGACAAGGCGCCTGACCTGGTCCGCGTCACTCGGATCGAAGCGGTCTCCGATAGCGAAGAGCGTGTTGAGTAGCGACAGCGCGGAAGGTGCATCGGTCAAACACTGCTTTAGGAGCGCTGGAGTCAGCATAGCGGCTCGAACGGCCTCGGCCTCGAATAGGCGGCCGAGGGCCGGGACGTCAAGGACGGTAAAGTGATCTACGCAGATAATAGTACCGCCATTCAGCAAGGGGGCGTAGATCTCCCACGTAGCTGCGTCAAACGCAAGGTTGGCGACGTGAGCCACGTTTGTTGCGGCATGCAGCTGCGGAACTACGTTCGTGTTTCTGACCAGACGGACAATGCTGCGATGCTCGACCATTACCCCCTTGGGTCGGCCCGTCGAGCCGGAGGTAAACATGACATACGCGAGGCTGGTGGCCCCGGGGGGTGGCAGCAGCGGCGCCATAGTTTGCGAGGCTTTGGGCGCGTACTCCAGCGCCTCCGAGATGGGTACCAAGGCGATACCTGAGAGCTGAGAGGCCGGTCGCTCGACCCCGGTGCCAATCAAGACCAGCTTGTCTCCGGCTACCGACCTCAAAGTGCTCTTTAAGCGTGCCAGCGGCAGGTTCACGTCCAGTGGCACATATGCTAGGTTCGCCTTTAGGATGCCAAGGAGGGCGATAATAGCCTGGCATGAGCGCAGCGCCAAAATCGCCACCAGACTCTCCGCCGCCAAGCCGCGCTGCATGAGCCAACAAGCCACGCGATCGGAGGTCTCATCCAGCTCGGCGTATGTGAGCTGCGTGGTTGAGTCCTTCACCGCAATCGCGTCCGGGGACGCTGACACCTGCTGGCGGAAGAGCTCGGGCACGCTTGAGTCTCGCGGGTAGTCGGTGCGCTCAATGCGTGTCAAACCGACCTTCCGCAGGGCGAAGACCCCATGGGTCAGCGATGCAGTAGCAATTTCAATCGAGGGATCCCGAAGTCCCTGCTCGAGTAGTTCCAAGAACACGCTTGCCATGCTGCGGACTGACGCCTCTTCGAACAGATCCTCGGCGTACAGGATCGTGCCACGCAGGCGCCCGTCTTCGGTGAAGAAATGGAACTCGCTATCGAAGCGAGTGGTCCTCGTATCTCCTACTGCTTCTGTTCGGACGCCTTCGAGGCGCAAGTAACCCATATCTGTCTGGGAGTGGACCGCGAATATATTTTGCACCAGGGGATGGCGGGACAGGTCACGCGCCCCTGGGCGGAGCTCCGCAACGAGCCTCTCAAACGGCAGATCCTGATGCGCGGCCGCGGCCGCGGTAGTCGCAAGCACATGGTCAACGAGCGCCTCAAATGACTCGTCTTCTACATGGATCCGAATACACTGCATGTTGACAAAGAAGCCGACCAGGTCCTCAAGCTCCTGTCGATTCCGGTTGGCGATCGGTGTGCCGATCGTGGCGTCTTCGACTCCTGTCAGTCGATAGTGAGTCGCCCGGAAGGCCGCCAGGAGCACGGCAAACGGTGTAGCTTGGTGAGTCTTGCAGAAGGCCTGGAGGTTATTGTATAACGCGCCCTCGATCATGACCTCGTGGACGCCCGCCTTGCCAGACGATACGGCCGGCCGTGGCTTGTCGCTGAGCAGCTCTGCGGGCCGGCTACCATCTAACTGTTGCTTCCAGTACGCCAGCTGACGCTCCTGCTCCTCAGCTTGAGTTGCCTCTCTCTGCCAGACGGAGAAATCGCAGTATTGGATCGGAAGCGGGGTCACTCGCATTAGTGGATCTTCCCCGCGCACCGCAGCGGCGTAGAAGCTAGCCAGCTCCCGCTGTAGGATGTCCACAGACCATCCGTCGGAGATAATGTGATGCATCACCATAGAAAGTACGTGGTCATCTGGCCCTAGGCTGAAGACGGCGACGCGCCATCCGGGCTCGTTCTCGAGATCGAATGGTGTAGTGTGCTCATCCCGCAGAGCTTGTGTCAGGGTGGCCCAGTCGCCGCCAGGAAAATTGACAGTGCGCAGGGGCCGGGCGACAAAGGGTCGGACAAGCTGTACGTTGGCCCCCCTCGCGCTGGCCGAACACAGTGCGTAATGGCTCATGGCGCTCTTCAAGCGCCTGCAGCGCCTTGTTAAGCGCCGAAAGCTGCAGGGGGCCGCGAAGGCGGGTCGCGAATGGCATCAAATACCAGGTCGAGTCCGGGTAGAGGCGGTCGAGGAACCAGAGGCGTCCTTGCGCAAACGACTGCATGATAGGCCCGCTAAGCTGTGTGCGCGGAATAGGCACGTAGGGGGTCGCACCGAGCGCGCGCGCCGCTCGTTCGGCCAGGTCGGCTATGAGCGGGGCGTCGAAGACTTCCCTCACCGTGATCGTGACGTTGAGTCGCTGATTTATGCGCGAGACCACGCGAGTGGCCATGAGTGAATGGCCGCCAAGGGTGAAGAAGTTGTCCGTGATGCCGACTTCCAGCCCGAGTACATGCCCGAACTCCTCGCACAGGGCGCGCTCAACGTCATTGCGAGCGGCCACTACCTCTCGCGGGCCCGGTCCTGCCACGTCACCAAGCGCTTTCGTCGCAAGCACCCGCCGGTCAACCTTGCCATTGGCATTCAGAGGCATTCGGTCCAGGACCCGGATCCTCGACGGCACCATGTAGGCCGGGAGCACCGCCTGGAGTGCTACCCGGAGACGGTCCCGAATACCCTGTCCAAACGAATTGGGGCCTGAGTCCGCGTCTTGTTCTGACTCACTGGCGCGGAGTGTGATAAAGCTGACGAGCTCGGGGTCTTGACCTTCGGCAGTGTGTACCAGTGCGATAGCGTGGTCAACGGCGCTGTTGCGGCAGAGGGCGTGCTCGACCTCCCCAAGCTCGATTCTGTTGCCACGCAGTTTGATCTGGTGGTCCAGTCGCCCGAAGAACTCGAGCTGGCCATCGGTCGGACGATAGCGGACCCGATCGCCGGTACGATAGGCCTTCAGTGTCTCTCCGTCCACGGTCACTTCGATAAAGCGGTCTTGATTGAGTGTCGGGTCAGTATAGCCGCGGGCCAAGCCATCACCCGTGACCACGAGCTCGCCCATCACCCCGAGCGGGACCAGGTTTTGCCGAGCGTCCATGACAAGCGCTCCTGAGTTACTTATAGCGCAGCCGATCGGTATGCCGTTGACACCCCGCTCATGAGCCGGAATATGATAGATAGCGCTAAAGGTCGTATTCTCGGTTGGGCCGTATCCGTTGATCACGTCGCCGGAGACAAGGCGCCTGACCTGGTCTGCGTCACTCGGATCGAAGCGGTCTCCGATAGCGAAGAGCGTGTTGAGTAGCGACAGCGCGGAAGGTGCATCGGTCAAACACTGCTTTAGGAGCGCTGGAGTCAGCATGGCGGCTCGAACGGCCTCGGCCTCGAATAGGCGGCCCAGGGCCGGGACGTCAAGGACGGTAAAGTGATCTACGCAGATAATAGTACCGCCATTCAGCAAGGGGGCGTAGATCTCCCACGTAGCTGCGTCAAACGCAAGGTTGGCGACGTGAGCCACGTTCGTTGCGGCATGGATCTGCGGAACTACATTTGTGTTCCTCACCAGGCGGACAATGCTACGATGCTCGATCATCACGCCCTTGGGTCGGCCCGTCGAGCCGGAGGTAAACATGACATACGCGAGGCTGGTGGCCCCGGGGGGTGGCAGCAGCGGCGCCATAGTTTGCGAGGCTTTGGGCGCGTACTCCAGCGCCTCCGAGATGGGTACCAAGGCGATATCTGAGAGCTGAGAGGCCGGCCAGTCGACGCCTGCGCCAATCAAGATCAGCCCCTCTCCAGTCAATCCCTTCAGAACGCCCTCTAGGCGGGCTAGTGGCACGTTCGTATCTAGCGGAAGGTATGCTAGATTGGCCTTCAGGATGCCAAGGAAGGCGATAATAGCCTGGCACGAGCGCGGCGCCAAAACCGCCACCAAGCTCTCCGCCGCCAAGCCGCGCTGCGCGAGCCAACAAGCCACGCGATCTGAGGTCTCATCCAGCTCGGCGTATGTGAGCTGCGTGGTTGAGTCCTTCACCGCAATCGCGTCCGGGGACGCTGACACCTGCTGGCGGAAGAGCTCGGGCACGCTTGAGTCTCGCGGGTAGTCGGTGCGCTCGATGCGTGTCAAACCGAGCTCCCGCAGGGCCGAGAGCCCATGTGTCAGCGGCGCAGTAGCGACGTTCATGGAGGGATCTGTAAGTCCCTGCTGGAGAAGACCCAGGAACACGCTTGCCATGCTGCGGACTGACGCCTCTTCGAACAGATCCTCGGCGTACATGATCGTGCCGCGCAGGCGTCCATGCTCAGTGAAGAAATGGAACTCAATATCGAAACGCGTGGAGCTTGTGTCTTCCACCGGCTCTGCGTGGAGGCCTTCGAGATGAAGATAGCCAATATCTTTATGAGAATCGACCTGAAATAGGGTCTGAATTAATGGATGACGGGATATGTCGTGAGACCCGCGCCGCAGCTCCGATACGAGCCTCTCGAACGGCACATCCTGATGTGCAGCCGCGGCCGCAGTCGTTGCAAGTACTTGGGCGACGAGGGACTCGAATGACTCGTTTTCCACGTGGATTCGGATACATTGCATGTTGACAAAGAAGCCGACCAGGTCCTCAAGCTCCTGTCGGTTCCGGTTGGCGATCGGTGTGCCGATCGTTGCGTCTTCGACTCCTGTGAGCCGATAGTGAGTCGCCCGAAATGCCGCGAGGAGCACAGCAAAGGGCGTGGCTTGGTGAGTCTTGCAGAAGGCGTGAAGGTTACTGTATAAGGAACCCTCGATCATGACCTGATGCACGCCCGCCTTGCCCGACAATACAGCCGGCCGTGGCTTATCACTGAGCAGCTCTGCCGGCCGGCTACTATCCAACTGTTGTTTCCAGTACGCCAGCTGACGCTCCTGCTCCTCAGCTTGAGTTGCCTCTCTCTGCCAGACGGAGAAATCGCGGTATTGGATCGGAAGCGGGGTCACTCGCATTAGTGGATCTTCCCCGCGCACCGCAGCAGCGTAGAAGCTAGCCAGCTCCCGCTGTAGGATATCGACAGACCATCCGTCAGAGATGATATGGTGCATTACCATAGATAGCACGTGGTCATCTGGCCCTGAGGCTGAAGACGGCGACGCGCCACCCGGGCTCGTTCTCCAGATCAAACGATGTGGTTTGCTCTTCTCGCAAGGCTCGCATCAGGGTAGTCCAGTTGCCGTCGGAAACGTTGATAGTGCGCAGGGGCCGGGCGACAAAGGGTCGGACAAGCTGTACGTCGGTTCCCTCGCGCTGGCCGAACACGGTGCGTAATGGCTCATGGCGCTCTTCAAGTGCCTGCAGCGCCTTGTTAAGGGCTGAAAGCTGCAGGGGACCGCGAAGGCGGGTCGCGAATGGCATCAGATACCAGGTCGAGTCCGGGAAGAGGCGGTCGAGGAACCAGAGGCGACCCTGCGCAAACGATTGCACGACGGGCCCGCTGAGCTGTGTGCGCGGAATAGGTACGTAGGGGGTGGTACCGAGGGCGTGCGCCAACCGCTCGGCCAGGTCGGCCACGCCCGGGGAGTCAAAGACGTCCCTTACTGTGATCGTAGTATGGAGTCGCCGATTGATGCGCGAGACCACACGAGTGGCCATGAGTGAATGGCCGCCGAGGTCGAAGAAATTGTCCGTGATGCCGACCTCTAACCCGAGCACATGCCCGAACTCTTCGCACAGCGCGCGCTCCACGTCGTTGCGCGCAGGAACCACCTCTCGTGGGCCCCGTCCTGTTGCGTCTCCTAGCGCCCTCGTCGCCAGCGCACGTCGGTCGACTTTACCGTTGGCGTTCAGAGGCATTCGGTCTCAGGACTTGGATTCTGGACGGCACCATGTAGGCCGGGAGCGCCGCCTGCAGCGCCGCCCGGAGGTGGCCCTCGATCTTCTGGCTCAGCTGCCGGTGGAGCGGGTGATTGGCAAGCGAGTCCTCCCGGCAGGTTTCGTGGTCAGTAGGGAAGCGGAATAGTGGTCGTAGGCCCTCCATGCGATGAAAGACGGCATCAAAGCCGCCCCGGATGGAGCGCTGGCGAGCCCAGCTGATCTCGACCCGGAAGCCTGCCTCTCTGGCGAGGTGCTCAAGGTCGTGGGCAGACAGGGCACAGCAGTCGCGCGCCGACTTGCGCGCAGATGACAGCCAATCGCCCTTCTCGCCCACCGGTGCGTCCTCACTCTCGGCATCCAGCGAGTCAATGACATATCGCTCGACGGCGGTTTTGGCGTTGGTGATGTTGCTGACCGCCAGCAGTTGCGACTCCGCGGATGTGTGAAGTAGACGCCGCAACCCCTCACGGTCAAGCCCCGCCGCGGTGAAGTCGGTCCATGCGTCTACATCGAGGACCTGCGGTGGAGGTGTTCCGAGTTGTCGCGCGTGGATGACCGCGGCGTAGCGGTAGCAGCTCAGCTCGTTCGCCGCCTCCATCCTCTTTGGCAGGATCTCGACGTGCGACACTGCATTGGGTAGCAGGGCGGGCAGGCGAGTGAAGAAGGCAGGATCCACCAGTAACTCTTCCTCGGCCTCCTCAGTGCTCGCTAGATGCGCCCGGACTGCTTCCTTTGTCGTAGCATCTCCAAGCGCGTGTAGCGCCTTGGTAGTGCCGAACTCACGGTACAGGGCCCACGAGCGCATGTCACCGAAGAACACACGCTGCACTCCGTCGACTTGTAGGAGCTGGGCCACAGTGTCGGACAAGTACTCCGCAGTCGGGAAGTACTGCGCCACCGAGTTAATCACAATAACGTCTGGAGAGTTAAGTGGGCCTATTTGCTCCAGGTCGGTGGCTGTGCCGACATGTAGCTGCACCTTGCCCGCGAAGGTCGGATGTGCCGCGGCCATGCGCTTCACAAACGCAACGGCGGCGGCAGATGGATCGAGCCCGACGTAGCTCTGCAGACTGTCGGGGAGGTTGAAGAGGATCATGCCAGTGCCGGTACCGATCTCGCAGACGTTTGCTGGACGACCACCGGCCTCGATGGCAGCCATGGTGTCGTCCAGCCACTCATTCATCTCGCCACGGTCGATGGTGCTTCCGTCATACATGGATGTCCAGCCGACGAAGTCCCGACCCAGGCGCGCCGGGTCGATGGTCTCGACGTCGGCATAGGTGCCTGCGTCAAAGTGATCCGCCCAAGCTCCCACCTGTTCCGCTTCCTCATCCGCAGTCGAAGTGTGTCCGTTCGGCAGAGCTTGCGTTCTATCTCGGTGGAGCGTGATGAAGCTGACGAGCTCGGGGTCTTCACCTTCAGCAGTACGTAGCAGCGCGACGGCTTCGTCAACAGCGGTATCGCGCCGGATAGCGTGCTCGACCTCGCCGAGCTCGATTCTGTTGCCACGCAGTTTGATCTGGTGGTCTAGTCGCCCGAAGAACTCGAGCTGGCCATCGGTCGGGCGGTAACGGACCCGATCGCCCGTACGATAGGCCTTCAGTGTCTCTCCGTCCACGGTCACTTCGATAAAGCGGTCTCGATTGAGTGTCGGGTCAGTATAGCCGCGGGCCAAGCCATCACCCGTGACCACGAGCTCGCCCATCACCCCGAGGGGGACCAGGCGTTGTCGAGCGTCCATAACGAGCGCTCCCGAGTTACTAATGGCGCCTCCGACCGGTACGCCATTGGCGTATGGCTCCGTGTAGGAAATCTGGCATATTGTACTGTAAGTTGTGTTTTCGGTTGGCCCGTAGACGTGGTAGAAGCCGCCTTTAAGCAGTCGAGACGCACGCGCAGCGTCTTCTGGTCTCATCCTTTCACCGCCCGCGAATAGATTTTCTAGACTTTCAATAGCCATTGTCATATCGTTCAGTCTTTCCTTGAACAACGCAGTAGATAAGAACGCTGACTTGACATCCTCTTCTTGTATTCTTCTGCTAAGGGCTGCGACGTCCAAAGTTGTGTAGTAGTCGATGCAAATAATGGTTCCACCATTGAGAAGCGGTGTATATATCTCCCAGGTTGCTGCATCGAATGCGAGATTAGATAAATGAGCCATATTTGCAGCGGTATGAGCGGGGGACATCAGGTTTGAATTTTTCACCAGGCGAACAATGCTGCGATGCTCGACCATCACCCCCTTGGGTCGGCCCGTCGAGCCGGAGGTAAACATGACATATGCGAGGCTCGTGGCCCCGGGGGATGGCAGCAGCGGCGCTATGGTTTTCCAGGCTTTGGGTGCGCGTTCCAGCGCCTCCGAGATGGATACAAATACGATATCCCCGAGCTGAGTGGCCGGCTGCTTGACCCCGTCGCCGATCAGGACCAGCTTCTCCCCGGGCACCGCCTTCAGAATACTCTCGAAGCGGGCCGGCGGGACGTTTACGTCTCAGAGGTAGATATGCTAGGTTGGCCTTCAGGATGCTGAGAAGAGCAATGATGGTCTCGCACGAGCGCGGCGCCAAAACCGCCACCATACTCTCCCCCGCCAAGCCGCGCTGCATGAGCCAATAAGCCACGCGATCGGAGGTCTCATCCAGCTCGGCGTATGTGAGCTGCGTGATTGAGTCCTTCACCGCGATCGCGTCCGGGGACGCTGACACCTGCTGGCGGAAGAGCTCGGGCACGCTTGAGTCTCGCGGGTAGTCGGTGCGCTCAATGCTTGTCAGACCGAGCTCTCGCAGGGCCGAAAGCCCATGCGTCAGCGGTGCAGTAACAATTTCAATCGAGGGATCCTGAAGTCCCTGCTCGAGTAGTTCCAGGAACACGCTTGCCATGCTGCGGACTGACGCCTCTTCGAACAGATCCTCGGCGTACAGGATCGTACCGCGCAGGCGCCCGTCTTCGGTAAAGAAATGGAACTCGATGTCGAAGCGGGTGGAGCTCGTGTCTCCCACTGGCTCTGCCTGCATGCCTTCGAGGCGAAGATAGCCAATATCTTTCTGGGAGTGGACCGCAAACACGTTCTGCACCAGGGGATTACGCGATAGATCACGCGCCCCCGGGCGGAGGTCTGCAACGAGCCTCTCAAACGGTACATCCTGATGTGCAGCCGCGGCCGCAGTCCTTGCAAGTACTTGGGCGACGAGCGACTCGAATGACTCGTCGTCCACGCGGATTCGGATACATTGCATGTTGACAAAGAATCCGACCAGGTCCTCGAGCTCCTGTCGGTTTCGGTTGGCGATCGGTGTGCCGATCGTGGCGTCTTCGACTCCTGTGAGCCGATAGTGAGTCGCCCGAAATGCCGCGAGGAGCACAGCAAAGGGCGTGGCTTGGTGAGTCTTGCAGAAGGCGTGAAGGTTATTGTATAATGAACCCTCGATCATGACCTCGTGCTTGCGCGCCCTTCCAGTCAGCACGGTTGGCCGAGCTTTATCACTGAGCAGCTCTGCCGGCTGGCTACCATCCAACTGTTGCTTCCAATACGCCAGCTGACGCTCCTGCTCCTTAGCTTGAGTTGCCTCTCTTTGCCAGACAGAGAAATCCTGGTACTGGATGGGCAGCCGGCTCACTTGCAACAGTGGATCCTCACCCCGTACTGCAGCGGCGTAGAAGCTAGCCAGCTCCCGCTGTAGGATATCGACAGACCATCCGTCAGAGATGATGTGGTGCATTACCATAGATAGCACGTGATCATCCGGCCCCAGGCTGAAGACGGCGACGCGCCATCCGGGCTCGTTCTCCAGATCAAACGATGTGGTTTGCTCTTCTCGCAAGGCTCGCATCAGGGTAGTCCAGTTGCCGTCGGAAACGTTGATAGTGCGCAGGGGCCGGGCGACAAAGGGTCGGACAAGCTGTACGTCGGTTCCCTCGCGCTGGCCGAACACGGTGCGTAATGGCTCATGGCGCTCTTCAAGTGCCTGCAGCGCCTTGTTAAGGGCTGAAAGCTGCAGGGGGCCGCGAAGCCGGGTCGCGAATGGCATCAAATACCAGGTCGAGTCCGGGTAGAGGCGATCGAGGAACCAGAGGCGACCCTGCGCAAAAGATTGCACGACGGGTCCATGGAGTAGATTGCGCACAATAGGCACGTAGGTGGTGTCACCCAGGGCGTGCGCCACCCGCTCGGCCAGGTCGGCCACACGTGGGGCGTCAAAGACGTCCCTTACCGTGATCGTGACGTGGAGTCGCCGATTGATGCGCGACACTACGCGAGTGGCCATGAGCGAATGGCCGCCAAGGGCGAAGAAATTGTCCCGTATGCCGACCTCTAGCCCGAGCACATGCCCGAACTCTTCGCACAGGGCGCGCTCCACGTCGTTGCGCGCGGCCACTACCTCTCGCGGGCCCAGGCCGGCCACGTCTCCCAGCGCCCTCGTCGCGAGTGCGCGCCGGTCGACCTTGCCATTCACGTTTAGAGGCATTCGGTCCAGGATCTGGAACCTCGTCGGAACCATATAAGCCGGCAGCGCCGCGCGGAGTTGATCTTCGATATCCCGTCCAATCAGATCGGCGACCGAGTTCGCGTCATGTTGTGTTTCACTGGCGCGGATTGTGACAAAGCTGACAAGCTCGGGGTCTTGACCTTCGGCAGTGTGTACCAGCGCGATAGCGTCGTCAACGGCGCTGTTGCGGCAGATGGCGTGCTCGACCTCACCAAGCTCGATTCTGTTACCACGCAGCTTGATCTGGTGGTCCAGTCGCCCGAAGAACTCAAGCTGGCCATCGGTCGGTCGGTAGCGGACCCGATCGCCCGTACGATAGGCCTTCAGTGTCTCTCCGTCCACGGTCACTTCGATAAAGCGGTCTCGATTGAGTGTCGGGTCAGTATAGCCGCGGGCCAAGCCATCACCCGTGACCACGAGCTCGCCCATCACCCCGAGGGGGACCAGGCGCTGTCGAGCGTCCATAACGAGCGCTCCCGAGTTACTAATGGCGCCTCCGACCGGTACGCCATTGACACATTCCTCCGGCCCTTTCAGTGTATAAAGTGTGCTGTAGACACTATTTTCTGTATGTCCACATGCATTTGTAATACCATTCTTTGTCAGACCTTGCGCCTTTATAGCGTCCCGAGTATCGAGCCGATCTCCTGAGGCATGAAGGACGTTAAGATATTTGATAGTATCAGGGGCCTCTGCCAGCAGATGTTTGAGAAGTGCTGGGGTTAGCATCGTTGCCTTGATCGATTCCGTTATGAATATACGTCCTGAGGGTAAGCACGTCTATCACAGTCATATAATCAATACAAACCAGCTTTCCGCCATTAAGCAGGGCTCCGTAGATTTCCCACGTTGCTGCATCAAATGCGAGGTTGGATAGATGTGCCATATTACCAATAGGACACTCTTGTGGCAGTACATTCGTGTTCCTTACCAGGCGGACGATACCGCGGTGTTCGACCATTACCCCCTTAGGCTGGCCAGTTGAGCCAGAGGTGAACATGATATATGCGAGGCTCGTGGCCCCGGGGGATGGCAGCAGCGGCGCTATGGTTTTCCAGGCTTTGGGCGCGCGCTCCAGCGCCTCTGAGATGGATACAAATACGATATCCCCGAGCTGAGTGGCCGGCTGCTCGACCCCGTCGCCGATCAGGACCAGCTTCTCCCCAGGCACCGCCTTCAGAATGCTCTCCAAGCGGCCTAGCGGCACGTTCACATCTAGCGGAAGGTATGCTAGATTGGCCTTCAGGATGCCGAGGAGGGCGATAATAGCCTGGCACGAGCGCGGCGTCAAAACCGCCACCAGGCTCTCCGCCGCCAAGCCACGCTGCGCGAGCCAACAAGCCATGCGATCTGAGTGTTTGTCCAGCTCAGCGTATGTGAGCTGCGTGATTGAGTCCTTCACCGCGATCGCGTCCGGGGACGCTGACACCTGCTGGCGGAAGAGCTCCGGCACGCTTGAGTCTCGCGGGTAGTCGGTGCGCTCAATGCGTGTCAGACCGAGCTCCCGCAGGGCCGAGAGCCCATGTGTCAGCGGTGCAGTAGCAACCTCAATCGAGGGAACCGTAAGTCCCTGCTCGAGTAGTTCCAGGAACACGCTTGCCATGCTGCGGATTGACGCATCTTCGAACAGATCCTCGGCGTACGTGATCGCGCCGCGTAGGCGCCCGTCCTCGGTGAAGACATGGAACTCGAGATCAAATCTCGTCGAATTCACAACCCTGGTAGACCGACTAGTAAGGCCATCGATTTTAATAACACCAAGATCCCGAAGAGGATGCAAGACAAAGACCAGTTGAACCATTGGATTGCGGGATAAGTCTCGAGCACCCCGTTGTAGCTCCGCTACCAGTCTCTCGAACGGCACGTCCTGGTGTGCGGCCGCGGCCGCGGTAGTCGCAAGCACTTCGCCGACCAGTGACTCAAACGACTCATCTTCCACGTGGATTCGGATACATTGCATGTTGACAAAGAATCCGACCAGGTCCTCGAGCTCCTGTCGGTTCCGGTTGGCGATCGGCGTCCCGATTGTGGCGTCTTCGACTCCTGTGAGCCGATAGTGAGTCGCCCGGAATGCCGCGAGGAGCACAGCAAAAGGTGTGGCTTGGTGAGTCTTGCAGAAGGCCTGGAGGTTATTGTATAACGCGCCCTCGATCATGACCTCGTGCACACCTGCCTTGCCAGATGATACGGCCGGCCGTGGCTTGTCGCTGAGCAGCTCTGCCGGCCGGCTACCATCTAACTGTTGCTTCCAATACGCCAGCTGACGCTCCTGCTCCTTAGCTTGGGCTACCTCTCTTTCCCAGACAGAGAAATCCTGGTACTGGATGGGCAGCCGGCTCACTTGCAACAGTGGATCCTCACCCCGTACTGCAGCGGCGTAGAAGCTAGCCAGCTCCCGCTGTAGGATATCGACGGACCATCCGTCAGAGATGATGTGGTGCATTACCATAGATAGCACGTGATCATCTGGCCCCAGGCTGAAGACAGCGACGCGCCATCCGGGCTCGTTCTCCAGATCAAACGATGTGGTGTGCTCTTCCCGAAGAGCTCGCGTTAGGGCAGTCCAGTTGCCGCCGGGGACGTTGACAGTGCGCAGGGGCCGGGCGACAAAGGGTCGGACAAGCTGGATGTCGGTTCCCTCGCGCTGGCCGAACACAGTGCGTAATGGCTCATGGCGCTCTTCTAGCGCCTGCAGCGCCTTCTCAAGCGCCGAAAGCTGCAAGGGACCGCGAAGCCGGGTCGCAAATGGCATCAGATACCAGGTCGAGTCCGGGTAGAGGCGGTCGAGGAACCAGAGGCGACCTTGCGCAAACGACTGGACAGCGGGTCCGCCAAGCTGGGTGCGCGGAATAGGCACGTAGGTGGTGTCACCCAGGGCGTGCGCCACCCGCTCGGCCAGGTCGGCCACACGTGGGGCGTCAAAGACGTCCCTTACTGTAACCTTGACATGGAGTCGCCGATTGATGCGCGACATCACGCGAGTGGCTATGAGCGAATGGCCGCCAAGGGCGAAGAAGTTGTCCGTAATGCCGACTTCTAGCCCGAGCACATGCCCGAACTCTTCGCACATGGCGCGCTCCACGTCGTTGCGCGCGGCCACTATCTCTCGCGGGCCCCGTCTGGCCATGTCTCCTAGCGCCCTCGTCGTAAGTGCCGCCCGGTCGACTTTGCCATTGGCGTTCAGAGGCATTCGGTCCAAGATCTGGAACCTCGTCGGGACCATGTAGACCGGGAGCGCCGCCTGCAGCGCCCCGCGGAGTTGATCTTCGATATCCTGTCCAATCGGATCCACGCCCGAGTTCGCGCCATGTTGTGTTTCACTGGCGCGGAGTGTGATAAAGCTGACAAGCTCGGGGTCTTGACCTTCGGCAGTGTGTACCAGCGCGATAGCGTCGTCAACGGCGCTGTTGCGGCAGATGGCGTGCTCGACCTCACCAAGCTCGATTCTGTTACCACGCAGCTTGATCTGGTGGTCCAGTCGCCCGAAGAACTCAAGCTGGCCATCGGTCGGTCGGTAGCGGACCCGATCGCCCGTACGATAGGCCTTCAGTGTCTCTCCGTCCACGGTCACTTCGATAAAGCGGTCTCGATTGAGTGTCGGGTCAGTATAGCCGCGGGCCAAGCCATCACCCGTGACCACGAGCTCGCCCATCACCCCGAGGGGGACCAGGCGCTGTCGAGCGTCCATAACGAGCGCTCCCGAGTTACTAATGGCGCCTCCGACCGGTACGCCATTGACACATTCCTCCGGCCCTTTCAGTGTATAAAGTGTGCTGTAGACACTATTTTCTGTATGTCCACATGCATTTGTAATACCATTCTTTGTCAGACCTTGCGCCTTTATAGCGTCCCGAGTATCGAGCCGATCTCCTGAGGCATGAAGGACGTTAAGATATTTGATAGTATCAGGGGCCTCTGCCAGCAGATGTTTGAGAAGTGCTGGGGTTAGCATCGTTGCCTTGATCGATTCCGTTATGAATATACGTCCTAGGGTAAGCACGTCTATCACAGTCATATAATCAATACAAACCAGCTTTCCGCCATTAAGCAGGGCTCCGTAGATTTCCCACGTTGCTGCATCAAATGCGAGGTTGGATAGATGTGCCATATTACCAATAGGACACTCTTGTGGCAGTACATTCGTGTTCCTTACCAGGCGGACGATACCGCGGTGTTCGACCATTACCCCCTTAGGCTGGCCAGTTGAGCCAGAGGTGAACATGACATACGCAAGGCTTGTGGCCCCGGGAGCCGCCAGCAGCGGCGCCATAGTCCGCCAATCGTCGGGTGCGCGCTCTAGCGCCTCTGAGATAGATACAAATACGATATCCCCGAGCTGAGTGGCCGGCTGCTCGACCCCGTCGCCGATCAGGACCAGCTTCTCCCCAGGCACCGCCTTCAGAATGCTCTCCAAGCGGCCTAGCGGCACGTTCACATCTAGCGGAAGGTATGCTAGATTGGCCTTCAGGATGCCGAGGAGGGCGATAATAGCCTGGCACGAGCGCGGCGTCAAAACCGCCACCAGGCTCTCCGCCGCCAAGCCACGCTGCGCGAGCCAACAAGCCATGCGATCTGAGTGTTTGTCCAGCTCAGCGTATGTGAGCTGCGTGATAGAGTCCTTCACCGCGATCGCGTCCGGGGACGCTGACACCTGCTGGCGGAAGAGCTCGGGCACGCTTGAGTCTCGCGGATAGTCGGTGCGCTCAACGCGTGTCAGACCGAGCTCCCGCAGGGCTGAGAGGCCATGCGTCAGCGGTGCAGTAGCAACCTCAATCAAGGGAACCGTAAGTCCCTGCTCGAGTAGTTCCAGGAATACGCTTGCCATGCTGCGGATTGACGCATCTTCGAACAGATCCTCGGCGTACGTGATCGCGCCGCGTAGGCGCCCATGCTCGGCGAAGAAGTAGAACTCGATGTCAAAGCGGGTAGAATTTGTGTCTCCAATCGGCTCTGTTTGCACATCTTCGAAGCGGAGATAGCCGCTGTCATTCTGTGAGTGGACCGCAAACACGTTCTGCACCAGGGGATGGCGCGACAGGTCACGTGTCCCCGGGCGAAGCTCTGCAAGGAGCCTCTCAAACGGCACGTCCCGATGCGCGGCCGCGGCCGCGGTCGTCGCGAGCACTTGCGCAACGAGTGATTTGAACGATTCGTTTTCTACACGAATCCGGATGCATTGCATGTTGATAAAGAAGCCGACCCGGTCCTCGGGCTCGTGTCGGTTTCGGTTGGCGATCGGCGTCCCGATTGTGGCGTCTTCGACTCCTGTGAGCCGATAGTGAGTCGCCCGGAATGCCGCGAGGAGCACAGCAAAAGGTGTGGCTTGGTGAGTCTTGCAGAAGGCCTGGAGATTGTTGTATAGCGCACCCTCGATCATGACCTCGTGCTTGCGCGCCCTTCCAGCCAGCACGGTCGGCCGCGCCTTGTCACCGAGCAGCTCTGCCGGCTGGCTACCATCCAACTGTTGCTTCCAGTACGCCAGCTGGCGCTGCTGCTCGTCGTTCAGCGAAGATGACTGGTCAACGATTCCGTTTTGCACGCTGTCTTGGCCGGGCCTGCGACGATTGCTACCCAGCGCATGCGCCACTTGCTTGGCCAGAGCTCCTACGGTCGGATTTTCTTGGGCGGTAGATGGAGTGATCTTTGTCCCAAACTTGTTCTCCAGCCAAGTAACGAGTTCCTGTAAAGCTTGTTGGCCGTTGAGACGGTCTAGAAAGGTATCCTCTAGAGCAATGGCCTGCTTCGCCTTTCCGCTGATGTATCCGCATATTTCCTTTCCAATTTCTGCAATTGCATAATCGGTATCTGTATTGATGGCGTCGTGCATCTTAAACTCGTCCATGGTTCAAGTCTTCAGAGTGCAAGGTCTAATGACCATCAGATTCCTTATTCTTTGTTGTGTCTTTCAATTCTGTGTGTTGGAACGTTTGGGGACACGGGGAGGCCACGAGTTGGAGCAAAGCTCTTACATCTTTTGTTAGATTTCGGCGATCCATGGTGTAGGTCCATAGCTCACTGCCCCAATCCTACCAGTCGCAAGGTAAGCTGACGTATCGGTTAGATAATCGCTCACTTGTGGTTGCAATCAAGCGCGAGAGGACTTGCTTAGCCAGGAACGTCAGATCATTTCTCCATGTAATCCATGACACTCTTTCATCTTTTGGGAGATTTTTGAGCTCCAAAATCTTCTTTGCGCTACACAAAATGCTTGGCCGCTGCTTCGTCGGTGTGGATCTAGCCATTATGCCAGGCGTGTGAAGATGGACGTAGCGTGTCAACGCATCGAGCTCAACAAGAGCAGCATATTTCAAATAATCTGCGACCATAGCTGGTGCGGGTGTTCCCAACACCCGCTCGACTTTAACCATCTATAGGCATCCGCACGAGTACGACATTATATAGATTAAACATTCCAATGACTTATTTCTTTTCCGTACGGAGTTTCTCATACTAGCTAAGTCTAAAATACCTTTATTTGTGAAAGGAGAGGTAGACACCTTCTAAATACACGAAGAAGTCCTTTTAATTGCTTTCTCACGCTATACTTTGTATACAAGGACAAGCAAAGCTATTATTACTTGATTCATTGCGCGAACGAGACCCATATGTTCCTAGGATCATATTCGGCCCAGGTACGCTTTTTGCCGCTACCAGGAACCAGTACAGGAGTGACTAACTTAGCCCGGGGAACGAGGAGTGGCTCACGTATACAAAGGGGTAGACAGTATGTCGAGATGAACAATCTGGGTTATGGACAACTATACTTGGCTCTAGCAGGACGTAGCGCGAAGAAGTTAAAAAAGAGGATTCCTCGTGTTGAGGAGAACCCAAATGTACCTATGGATCCGGACTATGGATCCTGGGGCCGGATCTGATACGGGATTCAGGAGGTCTCACTCCCCAGATAAGTGGGAAATCGAATAGGTATAATCGATATTAGGAATACAAATCTCAAAAGCGAGGAATAAGTAGGCTCAACAAAAAAGACAAAGTGATGTTGATGAACGATAAATTGCAACGGTTATTTGGGAGTTGACGGAATATGCATCTTCAACGCCTTTCACGCAACTAATAGAACAAACAGGAAGAGACACATAACGGCATAACATCATAGTCAGCGAACAAGAAAATATTCGCAGCCGGTGATTAAACAATTATTTGTCTCAGAAATCTGACAACAAAACGGTCCAAAAAATTTCAGTTTCTTCTTATAGACAGCAGCAAGAAGTAGGATGTTTATGGATTATTATTGGCTGAAAGACACACTCCACCCAAAATCATGTGCATTTCCCAATACCTAGACACCCCCCGCCCTTCCCCCAAATTGGCTGCAAATATTTTTTACCCTGCGTTAACCGTTTATAATTCTATTTGCTCAGGGGGTTTGAGATCACGTACATGCACTGATGAAGATTTTGACATTAGTCCCTGGCCAGTTGAACCATGACCCGTAACCTGCTACGTCTACAGTCCACTCTGCTCTCAAAGAGCCCGGATGCGGTGTCCCAGAAACAGCAAGAACCGTGCCTGGCCTCAGCCTGTCTTCAACTTTCCTTTCAAAATGTTTTTCTAAAACGCCGTTTGGACACTGGTCTAGTAATCTTGAGATGCACTACAATTATCTTTATTTCCCGCCCTGCGCAGGTCTGACGTAGCTCGACCTCCTTCCATTTTCTTGAAGTTTGCTTCTTCAGATACACTGTGGATCGATATCAGTTCCACCACTTAAACACATTGTCTACGTAATTGCCCGTTGTGTTACGCTTTCCACTCTTGCGTCATTTCATCAATACATTTGGACCCTTGATGAGTGATCTCATCAATATTCGATCGTGAGTTGCGATTACCTTCGAGCTGTGAGCAACAAACGATAGATTTTATCGCTCTACACTTACCCGAGACCGACGAGACCGACGAGACCGACTAGCGCCATTCTCGAACCCGAGACTGAGCATTTGTTAGGGATCTGATCAAGCAGTGTGTCGCGAGAGACAAAATCTGTGTCACGCAGGAATGGGAAGATTGATAGAGGGCTGAGTGGAGTTTCTGGTCGTTCTAGTTCGGGGGAGAGTTGAGCCGGCGGAGGCTGGTGATATTCTTGAATTCCTACGCCCTAGTAGGAGGATGAAATTCCCATGAATTGAGCCGTACTTGTCTCCGATCTGAAGCCCACCGTCATCGCTCCAAAATTTATTGGTGGCGAGAGGGCCATGACCAATATACGTCCTTTAGATTGATGTGACGGGGATGTTGCCTGACTCCCAGCTATGTAAAAGAGGGGTAAACTTTACATTCGTCATCATCAGGTGACTGGGCTTATGTCAGGATTCAGCCTTGGGTCCGGTCCACACCAGGCACGCTGTGGATCCATGTGGAGTGGAATTCAAGCGTTCTCCAGAAACGGATCGTCCCGGACCAGATTGGTCAAATTGAGTTCAGCCAGTCAAGCTTCTATCTGGTCCGGTGCCCTTTAAGGGGTGAAAGTCGGGGGGCATGGAGCTTCGGGTTACAGAAGAGTGTGGGTAGCTTTTTTCCACGCGTGGGTTGGCGATTCGGAGGAATTATAATTCCATATTTCTACCCACGCACTCTTTTTAATTCCCAGCGCGGGTAGAAATTACTCACTGATTTCACTAAATTCTTACTAAGCTGCATATCCACGTGAGATTCTTCTAATGAAGCTTCTTTATTTCATCTATGAAACCCACCCATAAATGTATTACTCTTTATCACCCCTTTGGCTTGGTTTCTTTTAAAAAACCGAAACTTCTACATATGTTGTCTTTGTTATTTAAATGTTTTTAAATGAATAAAAAATGAAAGAAAATAATGAAATTAGAATGTTGTAGGGGTTGTTCTACGAATATATATATCGCAAATGGGAATGTGTAAACCCCCACTTGAGAACTTTTTTTGTTTACTTTTTTCCTCAATTCCACCACATCACTTTTCACTTTTCCTATCATCATTTCATGCCATTTTACATCTGCTAAGCATATGCTAACGATCTCTTCAAAATCGCTTACCATCTATGCAATCTTCTTGAACCGAGGCTGGGCTACGAGGCTGGGGAGGAATATCACAAAGAAGTGCCTCAATAAGAGAGTTGGCACTGTAAGGACTCGAGATGAAAAAACTTTCATGTAGTATTGAAAAAAGTAATAAAGCTGACTAAAGGAAGAGAGGTAAGCTCTCACGCGTTGTTATGGTACAGATGGAACGGACGGTTGGGTCACGTGCTCGGACACGTGACTCCGACAACATCGGTTCGTTACAGGCACATCAACTTTCTCTAATTGACATATATAGCTCGTCTGATTCATCTGAGTCAGAGAAATCGGGTATTAGGAGGGAGGTGAATGGATGTGAAGCCATGATGATGAATAGGGGTAAAAGTCACCGTAGGCGGCATGCTGCGATGCCTTACGCCTAAGGCTGACAAACACCCTCTGGGTGTTTGTCAGCCGGGAGTCAACGAGCTTCGCCCCTCAACAACCATTTTATTACAATTTTGACAATTTTAAACCACACAACGCACTATTTTCACCGATCCGGTGGCCAACTGGGATCCGAAAATGGCTCAGGATATGGTACCTCGAAGTTATTATATCTAGATGGCGTAGGTGTAGCAGTAGTTGCACCTCAAGGTACCATCTTGCGAATCCGAGCGTTAGCTTCTTTTTTTTCATCCTTAGTATTCCGCTCTTTAGCGTGGCGTAGGGCATCTGTCGTAGTGAGTACACCAAATCTACCTAATTGCTTTTGTGACCTGCGTGCAATTGTAGGTTTTTAGGCAATCGGTTCTCTAATGTGTCGTTTAAAAGACTGAGGTCTTCGGCAAGCCGAATCTGAGGTCGCGCTACACGCTGCAATTGACGGCGTAGATCGGCTGAAATACTATATTGCTGAAGCACATCATGGATTTTATCGCGTGTTCGACGTGCCTCGGCTGACGATTTAGGAGGAGAGCTTGGAATACTAGATGCTTGTTGCTGGAGTGGTGGTGATTGTGGTCCATCAAACCATCGTAATTTAGGCTCAGGGGTTTGTGAATCAACCAATGGTTTGATAACCTTATCAGGATCGTAAGGGTAAGATACCACGATCGGCAAAAGCGTTGCGAATGGTTCGTGGTTGCAATATCTGTTCACGAATTTGCGTGAACTCTTGGAAAAAACATAGCTGTATCGCGAGCATCTCGACTCCATTGAGTCATCTGATTATTCTTGGTTCGGTACGCCTTTTTCAATGCGCGGAATAGAGACCCATCAAGTGGTTGAATAAGGTGTGTTGTATGTGATGGGTAGCAATATGGAATAACATTGTAGGAGTCACAACGTTCCAAGAATTCGTAGGTAAGGTGGCTGCCATGACCATCCATGATTAAAAGCCTGGGCTGAATCCGCTTTATTGGTAGGCGTTCCTTAGTATGGAGATGGAGAAATTCCAACCAGTCAAGAGCAAAGAGATCATTAGAATAGCCAGTTTTAGAAACAGCGATCCTAGTCTCCTCCGAAAGCTTGCCGCTATCGTACCAGCGTATCATATGGACCTGCTCTGGTGCAACAAAATATGGTTCCATTTTCCATCCATCAGCGGACATACACTCAATACCAGTTAATACCTGGCCTCGCTCAAATGAATGAGTTCGTGCCAATTTATTGCCTCATACAACATTTTGCGACTTACCCTGGCCAAGTAAGAAGCCAGTTCCATCATAATTGTAGATATGCTTTGGCGGGATACGCTTTAGAAAAGGCTCTAAGCGCTCATACCACGCAGTAAGGACACCAGTATCCTCTACTGTGATTCGATATTGATCTGCAGGCATTTGATGCACCCAATTAAGGTCTTCTGGTAGTCGATTGTGGACAAAGTCGTACCCAGTCTTTGCCAAGCGGACGTGCGGCGGGGTCATTTCTGCGTAGTAAGGCATTTGCACTCACAACTATTATTCCGGCTGTCGGTGGAATATGTAGAGAGTCTAGACACCTGATCCAGCCTACTAATGAGGCTTCTTGATCGTCATTTAGACGTTGGTAGGCCATCTGGCGCGTGCTACGAGATAAGCGGCCGGCTTAGTGGGCCGCAAGCCGTTGTCTCGGAACACTATATTCGCGCGCCAATGCTGCAATATTGGGCTTTTTTGCAATCCTGACCGCTGCACAAGCAGTTTGAATACGTGCTTCGATAGCTTGATATTGACCAGGCATGTGGAGGAGGAGGTGGTGGTCAAAATGGCAAAAAGATGATTGTTGAGGGGCGAAGGTCGTTGACGTCCGGCTGACCAACCCATCAGGGGGTTCGGTCAGCCTTAGGTGTAAGGCATCTCAGAATGCCGCCTACGGTGACTTTTAGGTGAAATTTGCGACCGGCTAATAGTTAGTATTTGACGAATTTATGACGAATTTATGACGGATTTAGTTAGAAATTTATGAATCTGGCTACATACGGTAACATATTTTTTAAATCCACATCTTTATCCACGCACACCTTTTAGTTTCCAGCGTGGGTATAAGTATGGATTTATAATTTCTTTGAGTCGCCAATCACCTGTAGCAAATCGCATCTTTTCTCGTTTCTGGTTGTACCACTTTTCATACGTCAAGTCGCCAATACACTGCTAGCTTGATTTTCGCAACCGCGCATCGAAGACGGTTTTTCATCTCCCATCAAAATTGTGCATTCCTGACGCTATTCAATGTCGACCAGCTCATGCTCGACAGTCTGCTCCTTTCCCCAAAGGCAAGCAGTAGACTTGATCTGGAATCTTAGGCTCCGGGTTAATGGACATACGAATAGATTCTAATTGATAGAAGGGGCAGAAGTTTTTGTAATGTTGCTTTGTACGGACATTCGCGACGAATATGATCTCACGATAAACCTGACTGACTTCAGTATCCTGCCTTCTCCAGCGCTGGCGGACGTTTTATCGGCACCTGCGTCATCTTCGTCCCATCCGAGGTCTTCGAAGTTCTTCTCCGTAATTTTAACAGCGTCTGACGCAATTTCGTGACTGCCGCTTCGCATGCGAAGCAGGAGCTTGAAAAAAAAAACATCGGGCCCATCGAAATGATGCCTGCAAGATGGAGAGTAGCTTTCAATCGAGGTTACATAAGTATGGCGTTCGTCGAATGAGACCAATTCAATGCCCTTATGTGATTCCACTTGCCATAGAGGCGAGGGACAAGTACAAGTATAAATGTTCAGGATATTTCCGGGGAGTGAGAAGCTAATAACTAAAAAGGCGAAACAATCTCTCCATATTACAAATAATGCTAAGCGTCAATAATATCGACTTGAAGCCTGATCTCCTCTTCGCAGCATTCACACTATATTTTGGCGAAAGCCAGGCGAATTGGGAGAGGAATTCGAGACCCAAATTCACCAAGCCTTTCGTCCCTCCCTCTCCTCGATGTCCTGCGGTTTCAAGCATATTCTTTCGGAGATAGAGGAGCTGCCTGACAACCGTCGTTCCTGCGGAGCTGATTCAGACGCCTATAAACCGACCCGCCAAGCTCCTGCTATGCTCATCCTCGGCTAGTTCTGTTCTCAATCGCTCGGACTGAAGCATAAGTACATGGAAAAAAGTGTGCTAGGAGTTCGTCTCCATGCTGCGACCGTGAGAGCGATGCAAACTCACCTCACGTCGTGTATGCACCTCTGTCTGGAGGAATAGAGAATCCTACCAGCAGGTATATGCACACAGGAATGTACTGCTGGGAGTTAGCAGAGTCATCAATTGTCCCTAGTTAAGGAAGGCTACCTACCTCGGTAAGTAGGCCAAGCAACCCTACGGCGAGAACGTTTCCCGAGATAGGGCTCCATATCGAATTGTACGAAGATTCAGTTGCTACTTCGAGGAGTCCGTAGACGTTACGAGCAATGACGAACGGAGCAGCAACGAGGGCACCGGCCAACATCTGTATACGATCAGGTACGTGTCCAAAAGATTCTGACATTGAGTACTCACCACCGCACTGCTCTTCTTTAACCGAGACCTTCTAGTCCAAAAGACAATATCGGCGGCGACCAGGGATAACAACAGCACGGCAAAGATAATGTATCCCACGAGGGTGAGAACTTTGCCAGCGTTCGGGAGAGAAGTACTAATTCCGGCGCCAGCCGATAGCAGAGAGATGGCAGGGAAGATGGTAGAGCGTAATATGGCATCCACCATCTGGCTCTTCGAGCCATCATTGTAGTTGTCGACATAACTATAGAAAGGTCAGTCAGCAAGACTGCTTTCGCACTTTGAATCCATCTCAAGAGGATCCTAAACTCACACGGCGCGGACAAAGCCCAGATTGATCGCGATGAGAGAAATTGACCCTACATTCAGAAGTACAAGAGTTGCGATAATGAGACCCTCGCTGTACATATTGGTTTGTCGAGCAATCAACACTGCACCCGCTCCAACACGCACTACTGATGGTCAGTAGTCGATCAATGTCCCGTCCACATTGGCTCATACTCAGCGAAAGGGATATCGTAGGCCACCACGCCATGCGCGGATGATAGTGCCAATTCCGCCACACAAGCCATATCGAAAGTACAGCAATAGGAACATAACAGGCCGTCAGCGCAATGCCCAACGTTACGTGCGGGTCCAACGTCATAGTGTTTGCAGCTGAAGATGGTGAACTCGTTGCTGATGGTCAGGAACGGGAAGCTCAAAGCGCTTGGCGTCTCCCTGCATATTAATACTGTTGAACGGAAAATTGGCTTTCAGGGGCCTCTCCAGCTCAGCCACACCCGAAATCCCCCCCGTTTACTCCGCCCCCCACTGAGGTTACGTAATCTACGCGAGACACACCGAGATCGTTTGGGGGGTTGATCGAAAGCATTTCATTGCCTCGTACATTTGCCTCTGGATGTGTGCTATGAGGAATCATGACCGTCTTTCAGACAATAAGTTTAGCAAGGGAAGGCAGAACAATAGAAATCAGGAAAAGGACGTTCCATCCCAACCCATCAGCAGAACACACTTGGTACAGCTGGCAAATCTAGCAGTATCGAAAGGATTTCAGAGCGAAGAAAGTGACTCAAGGATCTCCAAAGCTTAGGAACCTGTAGTCTTAGGAGTCGGCGCTGGTTGAGGCTCTGGACATCAGTAGCAATGACGGTGGCCCTTCCCTAAAAATCGACTGAAAATTGGATCTTGAAATTGTTCCCGTCGAAATTACTCTATCTGCAAAGATGTTTCCGTACATTATCTTTGTCGTCTCGGCCCTCTGTGGCGTCGCTCTGAGGATTCTAAACCTCGCAAAACGGCGACAAGCTGTTATGCCAGGGGGGTTTATGTAGTAGCGCGACTTAACCGCCCTTACTAAGGAGCTTTAGCCTATAATCTCCGACACTGATTCCTAAGGTATATCTTTTAGCATATAAGGAGACACGCAAGACTTATAGTATGGAAACCCTTTTGTAGTAGTAAGGTATATCGCTTTGTGTTTCTGGGGAGACTATCTGCATTAAGGTTCTGATCACCCTTAGTATGTGACTAGCTTCCAAACAGTAGTCTCTTACGCAAGACCCCACCGTGGGCCACGACCCACATACCAACGTGAGGAGGGCGACGGTGGGGCGCTGAGAGAAAGTATGTTAGTTACAACATTCGGGCTATTACGATGTGCACGCTAGATTTCTCAAAACGAAGACGAATAGGACTTCAAGAAAATTACATCTAGTGCGGTTGGAAGTCCGGCGCGAACGTACAGCTTAGGCGTTCGGTGCTAAGCCACAGTGCGGTGTTTCACTGAATATTGACACGCATGTTGAACAAGGCAGAGCCATGGTGACGATCCGTTCGCGCGGTCCACGGTCTTGCTCACTCGCTCGATCCATGGTGCTTGTCCACCTGCGTGATCCATAGTGCTCGTCCACCTGTGCGACCCACCCATAGTGTCAAGTATAGTGGACCGCAATTTCACTAGTTAGTGCGCCCGGAAATATTCAGCGATCGCAGATGCCTGGTTTGTGCCTGTGGTTGCGGAGCTTACTCAGCCCGCAATGTAACGTAGTTAACTGATACACGGGCACCCTGGCCACCCCCAAAACACTACTAAATGCGAATTTTCAAGTCCTGATATATCAACAATGAGAAAAATTTTCTACTTGATTTTTAGTAGTGTATAATTCCTTGGTATTAGAAACATTGTAGTATAGCTAAAATATTTGGAAGACGATTAATTACTGCTACTACCAAAAATACGCTCTTCAAGCGATGTAGATATGCAAATCTGTATTATTATGCCCTAAAATATTTGTCGACCTAATAAAAATACCTAGCATGATATATCGAATATTAAGATATCCTAGGACCATATAATCAGCCTTAAGTGTTGAAATATGAAGTTGTGATATGTTGTATCTAGTATGGTGTTTTGGGGTGGCCAGGATGCCCGTGTGGCCAGGATGCCCGTGGATTATGTTAACCAACTAGTCAAGCAACTAAATAGTCAACTAACTAACTAACTAACTAACTAATCCACGGGCAGGGCACACGGCAGAATGGGTGATGAAAAGGTAACATTAGGCCGAAGGTGGGCCAAAGCACGTTTTTTGGACACCCGCTCTGCTGTAACCCGCCACAGGCACCCTGGGCACCCATTCCTATTACAAATGTTTGAAACAGTATATCTCAACCAGGTCGTGTTAATTCAGTTTTTAACTCATTTAAAGTCGGATTTTCAGATATCCTCCAGGATCGTGCAATTAAATACAGGGAAAAATTACCCGACGCAGAGAGGCCACTGCTCGGCGCAGCAATTTCTAAAGATCTTATGACTAATCTTACTCTACCCACTACACCTTGACGGAGCCCTCGTTCGTGGTGTAAGGTGGCTACCGTGGCCATCAAGGATTAATGGCCGATATTTACCTCTTGCGCGTATATTCGTATGTGTAATAAAGTGCTTTGGTAGCCAGCGAAGGCCTATCTCATCGGTAGTCCAGCCATTATTTGAGACCTCGATTCTCCAATCTCCTGGTAGATTATCGAACCAGCTCCCAATATAAACCTTGCCTTGAAAAATCCCATACGGAGGTAGCGAATAGCCACCAGTACAGATTGACTCAATAGCAGTAACTCATTCACGATTTCCTGGCTGTAATATCGAGTGCCGACCATAGGATTCAGCCCGAGTAATCACCCTTTTCGCGGATATAAGGCCCATCGCTCAACCCGTCTCATCGAAGTTATAGATATCTGCTTGTATACCGTTCTCCTCGATAACATACTGTACAGTCGTAAGCCACGCTCGCAGTGATTTTGAGTCTTTGTTTAGTGCACGCTGGTAGTTGTAGAGTCTTGAGAAGCGCGACTGAAGCTCACCGCAGCTTTAAAGAAGGCTGAAGACCAATTTACGCTTATAGTAGGCAGAGGGGTCCTACCACGCACAGCAAGTAGGATATTCGCCATCTTTCGTACAAGAAAGGGCCTAGGCTCTGCTCCACGCGAGTCCATAGGAATAATCCACTTGGTAAGCAAATCTTCTTCATATTGGGTTAATTTAAGGCTAGAGGGATGTCTATCAGCGATAGAGACTACACCTTGGATGCATAATTGGAGTGTAGAGCGTTGTATATTGTATAGCTGCGTTGCTGGGCGAATCGATTTGATATAGCCATTTTGAATGTTGTCGAAAACTAATGAGATCTTGCCCTCCTGATTGGCCGATTTTTGCAGGATTCAGTGCGAATTAGCGGCATGGTAGGTGGATGAAGTTGGAAGGTAAGTTAGATGACGCGATTCTACGAGAGGTGGTCAGGGTGCTCGTGGATTACGTTGCAGATTCTGCACCTTCACATTCCATAGCTTTCAGAAGATCATTCTGGGTCTCCTCTCAAGAAACGAATTGTCGCAGAAAAGCCCGGTGAACTACAGACGCTTTTCTGGATAAGCGGATGATCTATTTTCACTGCAACAGACCTGGGAATATATCTGATAAGTGCCCCGAGAAGAAGGACCGCCCTGAGAAGTAGATCTGAACTGATATTGCACTATTCCGAGCGAACCCGGGGGGTAAGAAGAAACTGGAGGCCAATATTACACTACAAACTCCTAAAGTTAAAGATCTACTATAGCCTTAGTCGATTCTGGGTTGGAAGATCACCTTATTGCAAGACCTTTAGCTCAAGTGTGGGGATACACCTCCGATGCGGGACCTCTTGGAGTAAGAAGGACTCTACGGGGGCCCCGGGCCTGTCCATGGAAGAATTGAAACCGAAATTAAAGTAACCGACTCTATAGGACAACAGAAGTTGGTCGAACTCCAGCTCTACGCCGTCGATATGGCAGGTATCGACCTTAATATTAGGGATGCCTTGGCTTCAAGAAATCAACCCTATCTATTTTGCAGTACAGTGGTTGATATTCTGTAGTGCCTCGTTGATTCAGTGCTATCTTGCTGTACAATTCCCATTGATTGCTGATTCCCTTGTCTCGTTCCGCACGAGTCTTAGAAACGGGATCAGTGCCGTCCCTCCTGTACCATACAGATGTATCGTCGTAGGGTCGCTCTGATGCTGATGGACCGCCTTCACTTGGGCAGGTGCGATGACGTATTGACTCACAATGGCCATGTGTGTATTACGAAACTGAACTAGAGCTGAAATGCATGCATCGTATGCAAGAACAAGAGCTTCGTTTTGCAGGTTGTTCTCTACAAATTGGCGTATGTTGGCAACGGCCGCAAAATCGTCCAAGAATTGGCGGTGACGCTCAGGCATGTACTGGCGAATTTCTGAGAGGTAGTTCTGATCATTGACTGTTTTGACGTGGCGGCAACCATCTTCTAGATTTCCAGGAGAGGCGACGGTGTCTCGATTCGAAATCTTGTTCTTCTGATGTGCTCCTCCACATTCACCGACACGGTGTGTGACACCCAATGCAACATCAAAAAATTGAAATAGGCTCGATTGCGCATTTGAACCCCCAGACAGCTTCACAGTTCGGACGTTGCCTGTGCCCTCGTCAAAAATCACACCATCAGGAAGTCCAAACTTGGCCATATTCTTGCTTCCGGCCAGAAACCGGCGAAGTTTGTTGCTAAAGAAATGCGGATCGCAATTTTCGTAAATACGCTGCAGCACAGTCTTCAGATCGACTATGCCGGCAGCCAGTTTGTCGAGTTGAATGGCCACAAGATCGGTGCGTCCCGCTCGGGAGAGGTTTGTTGCTTCCACAGCCGATGCGATCAACGGCCCGCCCTTAGCCTCGATAGCAACGGAAATGAGGTAGAACCAGCTTTCGTCGATTGCTCCCGTAAATGTAGTCAAGGTTGCGAGGTTATCCAGTCGGTCAGGTCTTTGCTCCCAGATTGTGGTGCGGAAGTTCCATCAGACTACTGCCGCGTACGTGGCTACGGGCGGCAGGTTTAGTGATTTGCAAATTGACAAAAAAGGTATGGAGACAGAAGGCGGAATCCTCTGCAAGCTGTCAGGTCATCGTTCACGACCAAGGACGATAATTTATCACCTTTGCTGGCAAATTCTCTGCCCAGATGTATGCTTGAGATATGAAAGCGAGTATCGAATATGCCCGTCTCTGTTCGGGAATGGATCTCAAATCTTTGCAACTCAAGATCGGAAGGCCGTCCACCTCTGCTCGCAGACGATTAGAGGCAAGCAGATTCGGTAAATTCTCTGAGATATCTTGCCATGGCTTGTAGTACAGTCCGAGTGGAGGGATCCCAATGACGTCGCAAGGTAGGAATCCGAACTGGGGTGAAATGTCGTAGTCACTGAGCTTCAACGTCCCCAATGCCATTAGAGCACTTTGTGATCGTCAAGATCTAGCTGTCAATTGGGGACCGATTGGAGGAGTTATTTTGCTTGTCCTCACACTTTGAGAGATATTATTATCCCGGTATTCAATTCTTATTGTTCAAACTCAGTTTCAAGAATGACTTCACTGCTTGTTTATTTGCTTTGCGATGATGACGTCTGAATGCGTGCGAGAAATCACGCTTTTTGATGCTGTTGCGATGGATTGTGAAGTCAAGCCAAGTACAGAGGGAAATATGTAGATACATGTCACTTAAGTTGATCTTAAGATTTCAGGTCTTGGCAGAATCCATAATGCACGGCCATGTCAAACATCCCTCTGAGACTGCAACAGGCTCATGAGTGCTAGCCAGTTCCCGCCCTGACCCGCTTTCCTTACCAACATAATACAAAAAGTAACATAATTAGATTGCGACTTCTTGATGTTATTTCAGTTTTCTGACACCTTTTGGAAGCACTATTTTCAGATTGTCGAGTTGATGACGTCTGTTATTAACCTGAAATGGTGAAACGAGCCGCCCAGCTAGCTTACTGTATCTCACCGCGTGGCGCAGTTGGGACCCGCGCTATGGATCAACTAGTGGTTCTCCCTTCCTTTGTTGCTTAGGTTCATTTACTCATCATACCACCCAAATTCAGCTTGAGTTGCATGTACACGAAGCATTTTGAAGCGCCCGGAGCCGATTTTTGGCAGCGTCTTCCGCGAGTTTGAGAACGAGTCCTGTACAAACTTATCGAGCCGATTCAACAGCATCCGACCTTTCGCACTGATCCGAATCTACTCCATGCGCAAGACCGCGGCGAGCGATCAGTCCACAGAATTACAATGGCGAACTTTTCTCGCCGCTTGAATTTGTCCTTGGGTTTTGGCAAGTGGGGCAGAGACGATGCCATTGCCCCCAAAGTTTCGGCACGAAAAACACCACAACAGCCCTCGGGGAAGGTTTCATACTGGCGATTGTATCAGTGTGCCACAACATGGGAGCTGGCTGTTCTCTTCACAAGCACCGTCTGCGCCGTCGTCGCCGGGACAGGGCTGCCCCTAATGTGCATCATTTTTGGGTCTGCAGGCGGGTCTTTCTCCGATTATTCTGGCAACCCAAACGCTGAATTACAGCATTTCAAGAACCACAATGCGAGTCTCGCGATATATTTGATATATATTGCGATCGGGGTGTTTTTGACGACCTACATAGCCACTGTGGGATTCATATATTGCGGCGAGCGGATTACGGCTCGATTACGCGAACAGTATCTGCAGAGTCTGCTGCGGCAGGAAATGGTGTACTTCGACATAGTCGGCGCGGGACTCATCGCCACGTGTATTAGCACATACGCCAACCTCGTACAGGACGGAATGTCGCACAAAGTCAGTCTTGCTTTGACTGCCGTCTCGACCTTCGTCTCGGCGTACGTTATTGGTCTGGTGAAGTATTGGAAGTTGGCTGTCATCTGTCTGTCCAGTGCTGTAGCGGTCACAATCACGGTCGTGGTGTCGAGTCACTTCGTCGTCAAATATTTCAAGCGTGCGTACGCCTCTTATGGCAACGGAGGCAACGTGGTCGAAGAGGCTATCTCCACCATTCGCAACGCCATCGCTTTTGGGACCAGCGAGAAATTGGCCGAGCTCTATTGCACGCATCTCAAAAAATCAGAAGAAGCTGGATTTGTGTCCAAAGCGATTAGCGGTTCGTTGTTCGGGGGGCTCATGTGCTACGCCTATCTCACCTACGCCCTCGCCTTTTGGCTGGGCACCAGATGGCTATCAGAAGGGGAATTGAGCTACGCTGCCTTCATAACAGTATTACAAGCCGTCATGATTGGCGCGTTTGCCTTATCAGGAGCTGCGCCCAGCCTGCAAGCGATCGCCTCAGCTATTGCTGCAGCAGGCCCCATCTACCAAACGATCGATCGCCAATCTGCACTTGATTCGCAAAGCGAGGATGGTATTGTACTCGAAAGTGTGGATGGCAACATCGAATTTCGGGACATTAAACACATCTATCCCTCACGGCCAGACACGGTCGTTTTCTCCGACTTCAATCTACGAATTCCCAGCGGCAAAACCACTGCCATAGTCGGACCATCTGGAGCGGGTAAGAGCACGCTCATAGCTCTACTGGAACGCTTTTACGACCCTACAGGAGGGGCAGTGCTCCTTGATGGCAGAGATGTTCGGAAATTCAATCTACGTTGGCTCCGCGGGCAATTTGGGCTTGTATCGCAAGAGCCTGCCCTGTTTGATACCACCATCGCGGGGAATATTCGACATGGACTCGTGGGTACACTATCTGAAGACTTACAGGACGACGAAATTCAAAGTCTTGTGGAAAAGGCGGCAAAGCTGGTTGATGCGCATGACTTCATCCGCCACCTCCCCAATGGCTACGAGACTCAAGTTGGACAGCGCGGATCACTTCTCAGTGGTGGACAGAAACAGAGGATCGCTCTCGCAGCAGTAATGATTCGGGACCCGAAAATCTTGCTCTTGGACGAAGCAACTTCGTCGTTAGACAATAAAGGCGCAAGTGTCGTACAGGCTGCATTGAATAAGGCATCACTCGATCGCACGACTTTGGTCATTGCGCATCGACTCTCAGCTGTCAAACACGCAGACAACATAGCCGTGGTTGGTGAGGGACGTATTGTTGAACAAGGAACACACCAAGAGCTCATGGAGAAGGCGGGCCGTTACTATAGCCTGTTTTCTGCCCAGCAAGCTGTTTCAGATGATCTTGAGGTAGACCAGGATGCCGAAAAGTTAGAACGCGCAGTATCTGACTCCAGAGGTGCGAGCACTGAGCTTACATATGCCAAAAGCAACTTGACTACAAGAGATATCTCCCCTATGGAGATCGAGGCTCCATCGAAACCACGCTCTGTTAATTTTTTCAGCCGCATAAAGCTGAGACGATCCAGAAACAAGCCTATTGGCACTTCGTCATTTCTGACTTTAGTCAAGACGGTTGCACGCTTGAATCGAAACGACTGGCGAATAATGTTGTTGGCGCTTTGCTCTAGCATCGTCACGGGAGCGTCACAACCTCTGCAATCGGTCTTCTATGCGAAGCTCCTTTCCATTATCGCTCTACAACTTGGCTCGTCCAGCTTTAGCCAATCGGATCTGAACCTCTGGATCTGGATGTTTTTCATGTTGGCCCTCGTTCATTTGGTATTTTCCATATTGCAAGGAGTCTCCCTCGCTTGGTGTAGCGAGCGCCTTATCTCTCAAGCGCGCGAACAATCATTTCGTGCTATCTTGCGGCAGGACGCAAGCTTTTTCGACCAAAAGGAAAATTCCACTGGCAGCCTCTCGTCGTTCTTGAGTTCAGAAACCGCGAACCTGGCGGGAATCTCCGGGGTTGTTCTTGGCACCATTATCCAAGTCACGGTCACTCTTGTTGCCGGCTACATTGTTTCGCTCGCGATAGGATGGAAGCTTGCTCTGGTATGCATCTCAACTGTCCCCATACTTCTGGGCTCCGGCTTCTTCCGCGTTCGACTGCTCGCACGTTTCCAGCAAAATCAGGCGATCGTCCATCAGGCATCCACGGCCTATGCATGTGAAGCGGTCGACTTGATCCGGACTATCGCATCTCAGACCCGGGAAAATAACGTTGCGGATCACTACCATACCATGCTTGACAGCCATGGTCGACAGAATCTCCATGCGGTACTCAAAGCATCTCTGTTGTACGCTGCAAGCCAAAGTCTGCTCTTTCCTTGCATTGCATTGGGCCTATGGTACGGTAGCGAATTGATTGCTGATCGTGAATATACGATATTCCAATTTTTCCTCTGTTTCTCGGCGGTCATATTTGGCTCACAGGCTGCAGGCACCATCTTTTCCTTTTCACCCGACATTAGCAAAGCCAAATATGCCTCGGCCAAGCTCCACAGACTGTTTGGCCTGGTGCCCAAGATCGATCCTTGGAACGAAACCGGGAAAAGATTGACGGATCTGAAAGGCACAATACAATTTAAGGGCGTACATTTCGCTTATTCGTCGCGCCAAGAGACCCCAATTCTGCGAGGTATCGATCTGAAAGTGGAGGCGGGCCAGCTCGTAGCATTGGTCGGCACATCCGGCAGTGGTAAGTCCACCATTGTGTCGCTCGTGGAACGCTTCTACGATCCTCAGGAAGGCACAGTGTATGTAGATGACCAAGATCTGAGGACTCTACATGTCGCCACATTTCGGAATCATCTGGCTCTCGTGTCTCAAGAGACCACGCTGTACAACGGCACCATTCGGGCAAATCTCTTACTTGGAACGCAACAGTCGGATGATTCAATACCGGAAGAGGACATTGTCGATGCGTGCAAAGGAGCAAACATCTACGACTTCATTACCTCGCTGCCAGAGGGGTTTGAAACAGTCGTGGGCAGTCGAGGATCAATGCTTTCGGGAGGGCAGAGACAACGCCTTGCTATCGCGCGCGCTCTGATCCGCAATCCTAAGATTCTGCTCCTTGACGAGGCAACATCAAACCTGGATGCGGAGTCGGAGGAGATTGTGCAAGCGGCATTAGAAAAGGCTGCGAGCGGCCGCACTACCATCCTCGTGGCACACCGACTGAGCACCGTTCGGCGGGCTGATTTTATATACTTTCTCGAAAATGGACAGATTGTCGAGCAAGGAAATCATGAGGCGCTGTTATCCAAGAAAGGCCGTTATTATGACATGGTCCATGCACAAGAGTTCGGCCAGGACATGGGAAGCCAACCCATGGTATGAATCAACATCTCTACTGAGGGATATTCCAGCCACTCGAATGCAGAAAAACTACGATAGATATGACTTGACCCTTCGGACATGACGTCATAAGCCATTGACTTCCTTAAGTTCTTAGGCTTCTGGCTGTGGAGGCTTCCGCAGTTGCGGAAGTTTGACAGGCAGTGGCTATGGAGGCCGCCGCGGCCTCGCTGGCTACCGCGGTAGAGGCATTCGCTGCCCTCACGCAGGAGGTGACGTCCTTGGCCGGTGACTACAACACTGTGGTAAGTTTTGATTAACATGTAACCCGCTGGCAGTTCGAAGCTAACCTGCTGTCAGCATACTGATGAGATTACCGCCGTTGCGGTCATGAAAGGGGTGGAGGTGACCCAGTCAGCTGCCGCTTGCGAGACGGTCGATGACAGGGACTCTTTAAGATCCTCGTCCTCAAGCCTGAGCGAGCACCTCCTGGAGGAGGGAGAGGAGGACGCTTAGTCGCTGGGGGTTCCTATGTGCTTCGCCACCATGGCAAGTGATCTCGATCACACCAGGATCCTGGCTGCTAGCCCTCCATCCAGTTATGTATGAAATAGGGCATTATCTTGCTGAAAACTTGCACCCTCAACTCCATTTATTAAGGTTGGAAGAACCCGCTGATATAGATCAAGAATTACCCATCAATTTATACCCCCACGAAGAGCATTCGGATCTTCAGATAAAGGAATTATTCCTGTTTTGGGGTCCTGCGACCAGAGCCAAAAAAAAGCAGCCCAAACCATTTTCATGGCAAGAAATTGGTTTAATATCTCGGGTTGGTATTTGGAACTTTGGTTTAGTAAAAGTATACTCGCGACGAGCACTTTTTCCTCGCTTAATTGTTGACTCGTTAAACCAAAGTTCTCTTCTCCATTTATCGGCACTATAATTATAAACTCCGACTACCCATTAGTTCTTTATCGATTTCGGTAAGCTTTTGTGGATAGCCTGAGCGGCTTGAAGTCTCTTGAGTTAGCCCTTTTTTCTGCTCGATAGATAGTTGTTCTGATAGTATTGATGAGAATAGCTGGATATCTTGTGTGGATTTGTTTATAGGTCCAACCGATAGAAAATAATTCAACAGTTCGTACGCGATCATACACTTAAAAGTTGATGACCACGAGGACGTTGGTCAAGTTTTCCACGACATGAGGGAGTATAATATTGATTCTGAATCAACTGTAGGGCTCGAGAGGTTGGCATATCTAATATTCAAATTGAAAATTCTAGTGAATTTCGAAGAATTTCCACTAGGTAAGGAGGTAAATCGCTATCGCGTTATTATTGTTTTCGCGTGGCATCTACTTATAGTAGGCGGTAGGTAACTAATGCAGTTTACTAGTGTGATTCAAACTCGTGAAATGCCACTATACCAAGCCGTTGTGAAGGGCTATGGCCGAGCTTAGATTCAACAGGGCGATGTCACAAACTGTCTATATTAAGCTTAGAGAAGAAGGAGAGACTAGCTAACAGACATAGGATAAGGGGGTGCGGTGTAGCACGTGATGAAGTGAACGAGAGCGGCAAAGCCGCGAAATGTAATCGGGCCTGGCCCATTACAGCCGTGGCCTGCCTGCTAATCTACACGTAGAAAATGAGAAAAAGAAGCAAAAATGGCGTTGGACTACTAGAATGGTCGAAAGGTCTGGTGAAGTTAGTATAGCAGCGCCGCACTCGTATTACAATACTGCGCGCACCCCACCTGCCACCTGGCGGTATTGTAATACGAGTGCGGCGCTGCTAATAAGACCCTTACAGGCCCTACTGGGACCCAGTGATCGTTGAACCTACAACATCAACCTCAGTGGAGATGGTAAACGTGAAGGGCTGTAGCGACAACGGTTAGGCCTGCATGCTGTTGACAATAATCTTAAAGAAGGAATGTGGCCCATGTACTTTCGTCTGGTTTTCCCTTGGAACGGTCACGTGCCCGCACGTGATATCGGCCGGGCCCTGGTCCGTCACAGTTAATCCACCTTTGCAGCAGCAAACCAGAGCTTTTTCTACGTGTTCGGACTGTGGGATTAGAGGACACAAAGGGACTTCATGTCCAAATAGGCATAGATAGGTTATATTGTTAATAATTGGTGTTGAGGTGGTAATATATGCATTTAAAAATTAATACTTGGGTGGGGTGCGCGACTCGGTAGTTCTCTCCTTCCTGCATGTATGATCCTTCGCCGGAATAATTTGGTCCGGCAGCAAAACCTTCTCAGCTTGAATATGCGTCCTCGCCCCCAAGTCTCGCCCAGGCATGATCCATGATGATGATCCATTCGCTCGGTCCATGGTGCTTGTCCACTTGCGCGTTCCACGGTGCTTGCCCACTCGCTCGATCCATGGTGCTCGTCCACTTCCGCAGTCCACAGTGCTTGCTCACTCGATGTGGGTTTGACCTCAACAGTCCGGAATGTTGGCTGCTCTGTATGGTTCTGCCACTATTAATCCATCCGTATTACTGTTGCATTTGCAGGTAGTGCTATACTTTCTCTCCGCCTTCCCATACTGGATTAGTAGCTACCTTAAGTAGTATTGCCTAGTCTATCACCTCCAGCTTTGGTAATAGCTAATCTATTCTAAGAATTCGGTCAATAGGGGGTCTCGGAGTTTTGCGTTGCCACTGTAAACCCCAAACCTAAATACAATACCATTGAAATTAAATATGTATTTGGGTTAAAAAGTTAAGGCATTTTTATCCGTCATGGGTCAAATTTTTGGTTATTAGACAGGTTTCATCTCGTCATCCAGATCTGCATGATGGAAGGTCATGAAGGATCAGCTCGTAACTTTTTACCTAAATACATATTTAGTTTCAATGGTACTGTATTTGGGCCTGGGGCCTAGGCATTTTACCTATAATGGGTCAAGTTTTCGGGTATTGGCCAGGTTTCATCTCGTCATCCGGATCTGCATGAAGGCAGGCCATGAAGGATCAGCTCGTACTATTGAGATGAAGCCAGTCCTGCCCATGTGCTGCTAATAATGAAGCTGCCATGACTAACATTGTTGGGAACCCTTTTCATTTTCAGCACTTGTCATTGAGGTGACTCGTAGGCATATCATGGCTACCACACTTTCTGCTCGGCAACACGGCTTGCCCACTTTTGACGGAGTCCATTCTGAAGTCCCCGGAGGGCCCAAACTAATCACCAACCATAACGATGTCCCAGCTCCGAAACCAGCACAATTTTCAATATTAGAAGTACTTGCCCAGCAATGCGATATTACAGATGAGGCCATACAAGATGCGTATCCGTGCACGCCTTTTCAAACCGTGCGCATACGCGAGTCAATTCAGGTCACGGGATTACGACATTCTCACATGGTCTACGCCTTGAAAGACGAGATTCGAGAGAACATCGCGCTATTCAAAAGATGCTGGGAGCTGGCGTTTAACCGCAATCCGATTTTGCGCACGAGAATCGCGAGTCTCCGCAATGCCAACTCCAGGGAGACATTTGTTCAAGTGGTGGTCAAGGACGAGTTTCGTTGGGAGATTGTAGATGATACGAAGGCTTATCAACGCACAGAGCGTTTCAGCGGCCCTCTACGAACCGGAGTCCCTTTGGTCTATTTTGCAATAGACGAGGCTTTGAATCATTTCGTACTCACCATGCACCATGCTCTTTACGATGCGTACACATTGTCTCTTATCTGGGGCGATGTCAAAGCTGCTTGGAATGCAAAGGGCCACATCGAATCAGCAGTTGCAAGACCACCATACAGCAGATTTATCGCCTATCTTCAACGACCTCCATCAGACGCCGCTTCTAGTCGCTGGTCTCACCCTTATCGATCTGCACAAGATGGTCAAAACCGAGGATTGACCGATTGGCCCCACGCAGTACAAGTGACAGGCGGGGTGTTTGAAACGAAACCATCTCTTCCTGGGTCTAGAAATGTGCGCCACACTGCAGTGATAAAAGCCGCGTGGGCTTGCACGCTTATGGAGGCTTTCAAAACAAGTGACATAGTCTTTCCAGATTACTTCACTGGACGGTGTTGTTCTGTGCCCGGAATTTTGGACATTGCTGGTCCAACTATTTGCGCTTTTCCTTTTCGAGTTCAAAGCAGATCAGACATGACATTGGCTCATATGCTTGAAAATGTCCAGAGAGAAGTCACAGACATTCTCAAGAAAGAACATTGGGGCTTGCTCAGCCCAAACGCGCGAGCATACACCGAAACGAATGGTCAATATGCCTTGAACGTCATCAATGTGTTTCAGGACTCTGGTGACAAACAGGACAACATGTGGTTAAATGGGCTAGAGCCGGTCGCAGGCGAATTCCCATTCCGGGGCGGTTGGGACTGCCTCGTGCGTGTCATCATGCAGAAACGCCAAATGATATGGACTTTCTTTGCAGACGAAGCCCGCCTCGGACGGGAGGTCAGCGAATACATTAGTGTGAGGTTTCCAGAGTTGTTAGAGGTTTTCTCGGATCCAGAGAACCATGAGCGGAACATGAAAGATTTGATCGGTATTTGATTAGAATAGCTTCGTAGAGTCCAGTTCGACTTTCACTCGTTCTACCATGTTACGAAGCGATACTGCCGAGAACCGAATACAGTGTATTTATTTATTCTTCAGGCTTTTAATGACCTTAGATCGGATGTAGCCCCCTAGCTATAGTGTACCATTCCATAGGATACGTACATCTAATAGGGTCACCACATGCGCGATCTCAAATTCAGATCTTCTTCCTCAAACTTCAGGAGGCGACCGTCCCGTCTCCATTGCAAACGCGATGACGACTCGGACAAGCTTGACGTCGGGTTTCCATGCTCTTTCATTCGGTTCACTCACATCTCCTACAATCTTGGCTTTACCTCCTAGCATCTACGATAGACTACCTATGCTTGGACCAGCGGCTTCAATCAGTGCGCGACGCTGTTCATTCCACCGTGATTATCGAAGCAAAATATGCGGGACTGTTTCACGCTCAATGCCACATCCACGCAAATCACTATCAGTCCTCGATTCGATGAAGTTATCCATTCAGTCTGGCATGTCCCGTGCGGAGTTGAGCTAGTATCGGTGCTTTCTCCCGTTCTAGATTATCATGCAGCATCTTCATGTGGGGTCCCGGGAGAGCCGAGTCCAGTTGGCGTGTAAACTGGCCGGTGGTCGACTGTTTGAAGTAGTCCTTCCGTTGTTGTTTAGTATTCGCCCGAGCCTATCGCAGCGCCGACGCCCGGAGCTGGACTGGCGCCGATGACCGACAGTCGCTCCTTCATTCGCGTGTAACGGGACCGCGGGAAGCTGCCGCTGCCGCTGGTTCCTGGCGATGTGGACGAATGATGTCTTCTCTACCTCGAAAGCTGCGCCAGAAAGTGCCGCCCATTCTAACGCTCGTGGGATAACCTTCTGCTGGAGTATGGCTGTATTCGCTTCCGTAGAAGAGCCCACCGTCTATCGTGTGTAATCGACGACAAAGGTAGCCGCTCGTTCGATCGGGGTTGCCCCTGGACGCATCTTGCCCTCGCAGGGGGAACGATAAATGCTGTTTGGCGATTATAGGTGAATTGATTGGAATTGATCCTACGATGTCTAAACAGTCCTCAAAAGGACCCCACCAATCTCCGTTGAGTGTATATACGCATTCTACAACCCTTTTTTTTTTTTTACCTGGAATCGTGTCTTACGTAACCACTACAGAAGCTTATTGACGGGACAGGCGGCGACAAATCACGTGATCTAGCTTGCTTAGTCACTCCGCGCCGTTGTCACACGTCTTGTGTTCTCCCAGCTAGGCCACTCTTCTAGATGGTATGCATCACCTTCTTCATACCGTAGATAGTTACATGGACTCCCCTGCAGCATTGACAAAACTCAGACGCGTGCTGGCGAGACAGCAGTCGCGCACCCTAGAAAGGATAGGGTTACCCCTCTCGTTCTCCGTCTGTTCTGCGTAATTCGCTTCTGTATGCTCTAAGCTTTGGGGGTTAGACGTCACGCAGTAAATCGCCACATGGACCTCATGGAAAGCAAAGAGATATAACTTCCCTGTCCGGGCACTTAGATCTCTCGTCAGGAATAGGCTCTATGAGTGAGACAAATTGAGCTGCCTCCACTGACGAGTCATTTGCTAGAGAATACCGGGAGAGCCGACATCTGACGAGATATTCATAAGTGCAAGGCTTGCTTGATTATAATGGTCTCTGAATGTATCGTCAGTTTTGAGCAGGCATTGATGGAAAAGTGGATTTCCCAGGGGGTAGAATGAAAGCATCCTCGCAGAAGAAGAAATCTCTGGCCGGTGGGATCATCACTCACATCGATAACGACTTTCCTATCATTTGCTTTCCATGCGCCTCAGTACCTTGTTAGGATATCAGCGATGATATTGCTCTTTCCAGGCTTATGGTGTATCACGATGTAGAAGCGTGACAGGAACTCCTGCCAGCGGGATTGACGACCGTTAAGTTTCTTCGTCATCATGAAGGCTTGCAATGGTCCATGATCTGAATAGACCACGAGTCGCTCCATCCGCTGGAGACCCTCAAGTTCCGGACGCCATTCCGTAAGCGCACGAACGATAGCGAGCATCTCCTGATCTCCTTTATTGTGGTTCCGTTCTGCAGGACCCTTAGACTTCGAGAGGAAGGCCACAGGGTGCCAGGGTGACGTAGGACTTGATCTTTGATGCATTACTGCGCCAGTGCAGCCCTCAGAGGCGTCAGCTTCGATCTTTGTCTCTGCTTCTGAGTCGTAATGTTGTAGAATCGGCGCCGATACAAGGCTTACTTTCAGAAATTCGAATGCAATTTGACATTCAGAGGACCACTAAAACGGTACCTCCTTACGCGTTAATTGATGCAGCGGTCGATAGATATGACTATAGTGCTTGTTAAACCCGCGATAGAAGTTAAAGAATCCTAGGAATGACTGTACACCACGGACAGTCGTTGGTGCTTCTCAATTTTGGATGACAGCAACTTTCGCAGGGTCGACAGCAATACCGTTATTGCCAACGATAAATCCCAGAAAATTTGAGCTTTGAACGTGGAATTTGCATTTTTTGATCGAAGCTTGTAAGCCTGCCTATCGGAGACGCTGGAGAACCTTCTTCACATGTTCACTATGCTCCTCCTCCTGCTCGATGGTACCCTCGCCCCCGGATACTGTCCCTTGTATAAACAGTCACTTGAAGAATTGACCGTCTGTAAAGACTATATCATGGAAAAGCTATCTCTTGGCTTTTTTGAACCTATTTTAGCACCCTTCACATCGCCGGTGCTGATGGCTAGGATGCCGAATGGTAAGCTTCGTTTTTGTGTTGACTATCGCAGATTGAATACCCTCACCAAGAAGGACCGATATCCACTCCCCTTGACCGATGAATTACTACAACGTGTCAGCCATGCAAAGATCTTCACAAAGCTTGATATTCGGCGAGGCTTCCATCGGATCCGACTACATCTTGACGCAGAAGACCTCTCGACCTTCCGCACTCGCTAAGGGTCATTCAAATACAAGGTGATGCCATTCGGAATGACACACGCTCCCGCCTCCTTCCAGAAGTTCATCAATACGACGTTAGCCGAATATATTGATGATTTTACGACCGCATACGTCGAAGATATCCTGATCTTCTCTGGTCTACACCCTTTCGATAGGGCAGCATCTCGTTCGATTTGCTTGTCGAGAAGATGTCGAGATATTCATGGCATTCATCGGGAATGACCTCCCGGTTCTCGTCATCTTCAAGCTCTCGGGGACTCCTTTTCTTTTTCCAGAATACTGTTGATTCGTCCAAGGAGGTGATAAACGTTTCAGTACCCTCCTTGATCATATGTCGATGGAATCCGATAGCTCTAATAGCCGCAATTTCAATAGGCGGAACTAAGAAATTCTTCGGTGGAGATGGGTTTCCGGCCGGAAAACTCACAACCGAGGAGCCTTCTTCTTCTGCTTCTGCTTCTGCTTTTCCTGCTTTTTTGCGGAGAGCTCGCAGCATCATCTCCTGCACCTGGGGGGTAGTCCTTTTCCTGTGAGGCCTCTGATCGCATCAATCGGTCTCTTCGCTCTACATCTTCCTGATGTGTTAGGTTGATTATTGGATTCTTCAATATCGTCGCGGGGCATAGGGATAACGAGTTTTGATGCCACTTCGTCAACAAGGGATACCTCATCATGTAATAGAAGCCTGTTTGAAGGAATCCAAGTACATTGAGTACGCAATACTAAGTGTGGAGAAGAGAGAAACTATGGGAGGTGAGGCCTGCGGATAAGCCGCGAGGCCAAGCTAGTCCCAAAAGGGAAAGAGAGTCCAGTTCGGATTGTTACACATCAGGCCATAGTAGTTCTCATGGCAGTCGGCGAGGACTTGGAAATGGTCGAACCAATCACGACCGAGGCTTATGTCGTATTGGCCAAGGTCAGTAATCATCATAGGTATCTGTAACTGTCGGCAACCGTCAAGTTGTAGTGTGAATTGGACGAAATGGGTAATCGGTGTGCCAGAATGGCCATCGTAACCCTTCGCCGGTATAGGCTTTTCAAGTCGCTCAACGTATGCACCGCAACTCTGGTGCAACTGTACTACCAACGCAGTGTTGATATATCACGAACTCTTGCGCTCCAGTATCACCAAGGACTGGAATAGAGAATGAACGTGAATTGTAAACTAGCTGTGGCTTCGGTACAAAGGCTGTAGTAGTCATCATGCTAGACATATCCAGTTCTAGCAGCGATATCTCGGGTCCGCCTGGTAGGGAGACTTTGACCGGCTCTGGTTTTCCCCGTATCGGAAGGCTTCGCAGTAGGGGGGAGTAGGAGCAAATGCTTCAAGCTCAGAGAGGTGAACAGCCACGAGAGCTTTTGCTTTTGCTTCGGTAACAAAGCGTAGCGCACGCTTTGGAAAATGCTTGCCCATATGTCCTACCTCGTTGTATTCGAAAGAACGACCTTCGGACTTCCGTTTGATCATTTCGGCCACGTCGAGACGGGGAAAGGAGGAAGGCGCAGAGCTTGTCGACTTCTGGTTCCGAGCGGACAGGTTCGCGGTAGGAGGCTTCGCATTCGCGGTGGTCTTCGTAGCTTTGGTCTGTCGAATGTCAGCGTCCATGATTTCCAGGATGAAGGCAGTGCGGTGAGCTTTTTCGATGTATTCGTTAATAATGACACACCGGTCTTAGAAGCCTTTCCGACAAGCTTGTGCTGTAGCTTAGGAGTAAGCTTTCGATGCAAGAGCTTCACACGTTTGTTGCGAGGAACTTGTGCGTCGTTCGCGAGACGGATAAATTCAGCTAGGAAGATGGCGAATTTCTCAGTATCCTTCATCCGGAGGAATTCAAATTTTCAGCTCGTTCCTGGCGAACTGGGTCTCCATAGATATTTTCGAGATAGTCGAGGATGTACCACCATCGTCGAAGGAGGCGTCTTCATCACCGTCGTCGTTCAATCCGAGGACAATCTGATCATAGGCAGCGCCGGTCAGTCGACTAGCAACGTATGTCTTGCGGAGTTCAGGGGTCGAACAGTGATCCGCGCTAGCTCTCAGCTTCGTTTCCATCGCAGTGCGCCAGCTTCTGAACTTCATATCAGTGCCTGTGCCATCAGAGAAGACTAGGGGATCAGCGAATTTGTAAGTCTTGGTCAATTTCGATCCTCTGGCGCGCGATCGGGGTCGATGATGGCGAGGAGCTTCAGCGGTCGCTTCACGGCTGACAGTTCGCGGGGTGTATTCAGTTCGTGCTGAAGATGATCGCCTTCTGCTTCGGTTTCTCTCAGCTGTCGAAGGTAGCGATCGACCTGGCGTTTAATGCTCATCCGCACTTCATGATCAGCAGCGTGTCCTTTACGGGTCTCTCGGGTCTCATTTAATCGGGTTATAACCTCGTCCTGGTCGTCGAACAGCTGTTCGTATGGCTTCGGGTCTGCTTGTAGGAATGCCTGTAGGTCATCAGGGTTCGTAAATTCACGGTAACCGTCCTGTTCGTCAGAATTCGTGCCAGCGAGGACGGGATAGGTAAGGATGAATGATCGTCGGCGATCATCTTTCGATTTGCCTTTGTCAACAACAGCAACAACAGGTGTCTTCTTCGATCTCTTTGAGGTAGTCGGGGTCGGCCTAACGGGTTCAGCTTCGGCTTCGGATTCAGCCTCACTCTCAGCGTCGTTATGATCAGTGTAGTTATCGCTGACTTCACTAACTTCTTCAATTCATGCCTTTAGGCTGCTGCCTTTGGCTTTCGCAGCTGTCGGACGGCCCATCGTGTCGTGATTCGTCAATCGGTTCGATGCCGGGCGATCTTGGCGTCTTCGGTGGGTTCGAGGGTTTGGTGGAACGGTCCTGAATGGTCAAGGCCACACACTAGTCTCAAGCGTTCCGAAAAGAGAAAAGTGGTTGTGAACTTTATTTTTATGGTAGATCTCGGATGAAACTGAAATGTAACATGTAGTATTAACGAGAGTAATAAAGCTAAGGAAAAAGAAGAAAGGGAAGCTCTCATCGCAACTAACTATCGTACATGAACGGGTGCCTGGGTCACGCGCCTGACCACGTGACATAGGCCGAAAAGCATCGAACGGATTTCTTTTGGCTGCAAGACCGTCGTATTTATCGGTCGCTGTCGCCACATTCTAAGTTGATATTCCATCGCACATCCCTCTTCTTTACTATGTCACAACTGATCACAGCTTCAACCACGACGTCCAGCGAGAGGTTTTCCAGAAATTGCCCGTATTGTGTTGTAGATCCTGCCATACTTCACGCCAATGATCATTTGCGTGCTTTTCTTTGGTGGCCAATGTGATTGGATAATCTCGTCCAAGAAGGCACGTTGTTGGCGTCAAATGTCGTCAGGACGCAGCGCATCTGCTCGAAATGTTGCTTTCTGGATATATCACGGGAAAATCTTCGGCCACATCGCTGACAAACATATTTGTGGGCCGCCTTCTCTCTGCAATGTCGACGATAATTGCTGAGACTCGAAAATGTACGGCCAGCGCAGCCATGCAACCAGCATTGGAAGGGACCCTGTGTGGATGGTGTGTTGTGACTATTGCCTGTAAGAGTGGCATCCATGGAAGAAAGCGGCCCTAATATGTCGTGTTCGATCGCCGAAGACGTGTTGACATGCTCGCTTTGCCGATCTGACCAGCGGCCCTGATGAGACGAGCCAAATTCACCCTCCATTGTGCCAAGTTTGCTATAGGTGCGCACGGGATTTGAATTGGGCCCAAAGGTGCGCGAGGGACACTCTTGACCCCACAATGAGTGCGAAATGATTGATTCAGGTTGTGAGAGGTTCGTTGACTTCGACAGCTGCCAAGTTTCATTCTCGCACACAGGTCTTGGATCAGGGCTAAAGGTGCGCGATGAACACTCTTGGCCACACAGTGAGTGCGAAATGATTGCGTCAGGCTGTGAGATGGTCGTTGACTCCGACGGCTGCCAATCTTTATTGTCGCACACAGGTCTTGGATTAAGGCTAAAGGTGCGCGATGGACACTCTTGACCCAACAGTGAGTGCGAAATGATTGCGTCGGGCTGTGAGATGGTCGTTGACTCCGACGGCTGCCAATCTTCATTCTCGCACACAGGTCTTGGATTAAGGCTAAAGGTGCGCGATGGACACTCTTGACCCCACAGTGAGTGCCAAGCTTCATTCTCCAAGGAGTTGCTGCTGTTAGGGGCGTGGCCGATCATATTGGCAAAAGCTTAAAATGCGAGACTGAAGAAACGGTCAGTCCGGGTGTTCCACATGATGCCGGATGGCGCGGATGGATTAAATGTTAAATTCCATACTCGCCTCTGTCAGACCCCAACCGGGCGACAAAAGTAAGACTCGAGAAAGAGGGGGAGTAAGATGAGGGGGAAAGTAAGACTCGAGTGGGGGCTGCTACGAGTTGGGGGCGAGAACGACGATCTGGGAGCGAGAACGACTTGGGGTTCAACATGCGTGTCAATATTCAGTGAAACTCCGCACTGTAGCTCAGCACCAAATCTTTAAGCTGTACGTTCGCGCCGGGCTTCTAACCGCACCAAATTTGATTTTATTCGTCTTCGCTTTGAGGAATCTAGCGCGCACACCGCAGTGGCCCGAATGTTGTAACTAACATACTTTCTCACTCGCAGCCCCACCGTCGCCCTTCTCACGTTGTTATGAGATCGTGGCCTTGCGATAGGGTATAGTTTCGTCACATTGCACCGTCATAACCAACCCCACTGAGGGGGCGGATGCATTGCGGTAAGGCTTTCCGTGATTATAGTAGATCATACCCCGGGCTGACTGACTGGTTGGCTGACTGGTGCTGCTGCTCCTGATCCTTCGTGTTGTGGCTTGCCTAAGTTTACCTAGTGGGCGCTTGCTGCGAGCTGCGAGCTGCAAGCCGGATCTAATTTGGAGCTCGTGTATGCGCTGTGATTGAATTTCTTTGTCTTTGACCGGACCGCATTCATTTTTTGTTGTTTGTTGTTTGTTGTTTGCTGATCGCAGTGCCCGTCTACGATCCTGCCTGCATTGAATATATCATCCCAAACCTTGGAACGCATGGACCGCGAGCTACTATGTCCCCTCCCCGCTTTTATTTTATCCGTCATAATTTGATAGGGTAGGGACCGCATGATGAGGTAGCAATGAAGGATTAGCCTTGTTCTACCTGTTCGGCGAGCCAACTCATCGGGTTGATTATCCGCACTAGCGTAAGAGACTATCTTTGTAAGTTAGTCACATACTAAGGGTGATCAGAATCTTCATGCAGGTAGTCTCCCCAGAAATACCTGACTTCTACAAAAGGGCGTTATGGGCTACAAGACATACTTTAGGAATAAGTCTCGGAGATTATAGCCTATAACTCCTTAGTAAGGGCGGTTTACGTCGCCTGCTTTAGGGAAGGCCACCATCATTGCTACGACAGCTAGAGCTTCAACCAGCGCCGACTCCTAAGAGTATAGGTTCCTATGCTTTGGGGATCCTTGAGTCACTTTCTTTGCTCTGGAATCCTTTCGATACTGCTAGATTTACCACCTGTACCAAGTGTGTTCTGCTGATGGGTGCGGATGGAACGTCCTTTTCCTGATTTCTATTGTTCTGCCTTCCCTTGCTAAACTTATTGTCTGAAAGACGGTCATAATTCCTCATAGCATACATCCAGAGGCAAATATACGAAGCAATGAATTGCTTTCGATCAACCCCGAAATGATCTCAGAATCTCTTGCATAGACTACGTAACCCTTCAAACCCGGCTCTCAGATACTTAGTGTCTTCGAAAACCGATTCGATGGTCACGATCCTTGACGGATTGAACAGTCTCGTCTCAATAATCTAGCGAGAACCATTTTGTACGACATTGCGAAACAGTTTACCCTCCCGCATGTCTCTTTGAATCGTCGCTGCATCCCCCGTTGACTGGAGTGACATCTTGAGCTATCTGTGTTCGGAACCGCGAGAACGCGAGCAAAAAAGAGGCTAAGAATCTGGACAGTGACTGTGTGGCAGATGCGGTTTTGTTCCAAGTTCGTTTAATTGAGTGCTGACTTGTCTTATTCTCGAGCTGGAACGGTGGCGGTCTATTGTAAAAATGGCGGTGAAGATCTTCAATTGTGAGTATGTGTTTGGCGGGAAGAACCGATTCTTGCGATGGAGGAATCGGTTGCAGTATGGATGTGACAGGTCGCTGGAGGACGGAAGCATAGGATGTTTGTTAGTTTTGGGGCGAAGGAAGTGATAGACGGTATCGTGGGCTGTTGGGGTAAATGAGGCTCTGGGTCGGTCGCGGAGGGTGTCGCTTGAGCGCGGTAGTCAAGGGTAGTGTTCGAAGACTTTTGTAATGTAGTGGGCACCGTTGGTTTTGACTAAGAAGGTAGGTGTGTCGGCAATCTCAGGGGGTGTTGTTTCAAATCCTTGTAGATGACCTGCCATAAGCAATCTACTGAATGTGGTAGCTACGTTTCCTGGACGGGTACGCGTTGGTAGCTGTCTAGGCGTTTGAATGATTGTCAAGCAAAGCAGTAGGCCAGGCTGCCTAAACTTGGGAATGTTTGGTAGTGATAGCCGCTTTGGGCCAGTTGAAGCGGAGGAGCATTTGTCCTTGGAATAATAGAGCTCTGCCAGTGGTAATGGAGTAGGCGGTTGAGATGAGGACTTCCTCCTGGACAAGATGTTGTAGGGTAGGTCGATCGGGTGGAGTGGAAGGTAGGTTCGCGGATTTGGAGATGGTATCCTGTATTTCCCATGCAGACAAACTATCCGCGCATCCGGAGGTAAATTTAGAAGGGGCGCATTTGCAGCAGATTGGGATAGCGAAGAAATGGACAGGCCTTTCGCATGCGAAGCATCTACCAAGCCTCTGAGTCCCTGATAAACAGACGAAGACTTCGGTAGAAATATCTGCCACTCTCCGACTCGGGCATATTCGCTCTCAACGGAGATACTCGGTATTTTATGTCTTTCGCCATGTCTGATCGTTCAATGTTCCGCTGCTGTGCTTGAAGCTGTTCAGCTCCTACCGTACGTGCCGTTGGATGGTGAACGACTTTCCACGTCGCCAACGTGCTCTATGCGAGTTCACGATAAATTACGAAGTTAAGACTATAGCAAGTGACATATGCAGAGTACGAGAGAACCGCACCGTTTGTGGTCATGTGGATTGCTCGGTCGAAGCTCCATTGCTATGACTGTTTCGTGATACAATATATCCTGACTTGAACACCGTCTTGCAATAATCAAGCACATCAGCCAGCAGCCTGAATTCAGGGTGTGTGTCCTTAGCTCACAGTCTTTCCATCATCCTGGGCTTCTCTTCCTTGGTCATTCTGTGACAGTGTACTATGCTAAGGAGTGCCTGTCGTCGGTCATTAGTAAGGGCCATGACAGCGAGTGCGGCTCCGAGATGCCATGCGCTCTCAGCTCGCGAGAAGAACCCGATGGGGCAATTGAGACAAGGTAAAACTGACTGATAGGGAAAATGCTGAAAGATCCTAAGGTCCTCTGCTGAGGCTCCATGAAGGGCGGCCCTTATGGTCAACGACCGTTGGACCTCCTCGAAGCGCTTGCATCTTGGTTGCCACGCGGAGGTATGCTGTGCCTTGGAGGTTGATTGCCGTTGGGCCCGTATTGCCCATTGTTCTGCATTCTCTCCTGCTTGTTCTCCTTCATCTTCTTGAACAACATGTACCAGCACATAGCGGCTCGGTTGTGCGTGCGGTGGAACTTGACTTCCACTTGTGGATGTAGATGACGAGGACCGCACGATAATGCTCGGTTTGAGCCTGTCAAGGGTGCAAGGTGATAGAGTGCTTTCTACAATAGCCGGGCAATGTGAGACCGAACAGACAATGGTTTTGCAGAATGATGTGAGAGAAGAGTCCCACCAAGTGCGTGCTTTGTAAGTAATGCTGCGAATATATAGCGTATCCACGCTGCTCCCCCTTTGAGTAGAAATGACGTAGTATTCGCGCTATCGATCCTTCGCACAAAGCCATAGCGCGCATCCGACCGCTTGAAGCCTGTCCAATCATGCAGAAGAGACCTTCTCTTCTCTGCGTGCCATGACGTTGTGGAGCTGGGCACCATGTGGCTCTGTTTAAGAAGGAGTGCAGCAATTGTGATGATCGACAGTCATCGTGACCGGGCTCTGTCATGCTGTGCCAATTCCAGTTTGACGAGCAGAGGACGGGGCATTCTGCAGCAGTATCGGATGCCAATTGGCTCCTCGTTTCACCAAGTCGCATAAGACCTATGATAGCAGTGATAAGCTTTTCCGGCGCGCCATTTCACCATATTGGGTATAGTCGTCACACGGTCCTATTAATAGAAAGGGAACGCCACTACTCCGTAGTTAACTAAGGACACGCCCTTTTGCGAGCTTCGGCCAATATGATCTTTGCCTCTACAGTGGTGTTCCAATTGTTTGTGGAATCCAATTGTTTGTGGCAATAAGTTCTCTGCAATTTCTATTCTGCCGCACAAAACCTCTGTTCTACCTATATACTAATATGGTTAGTCTACAAACCTTCACTGTCGATCATCGGGCGTACTCGACTAGGCAGCAACTATTGCAAACGCAACCAGCTGTTTCCCAAAGCAGCACTTAAGCACTTGAGGCGCTAACGGAGCTAAAGTGTGGAGAAACGTGTACTGCATGACTTATATTGTGGGCAGGAGCGGCACAAGTCCGACTGTCTGAAGTCATTTGATGTTGCACATATATTAGACAACCACGCAGCGTTGGGCGTCCGACTTTCGGGGGCGATTATCTACGATATTGATCTGCATCTTACGCTTCTTGCTCTCCGCCATCATCTCTTTTCTCTTTTCTTCTCTCCCTACTCAAATCCCTTCCCGAACTGCTCAGCATGTGTCTGCTTTCACTGCTCTTGTCTCGCAAAAGGTCTAGTGCCGGCTATGGATACCAAGGAAATAGCTGCTATGCTCCCCAACCCGTGTCAGCACCGCCTAGGTGGCATAATCATAGGGTGGCACGAATTAGGGCCCGACGTGAAAATATGCATCGCCGCTGGGGTTATTGACCGAATTCAAGTTTCCGCGGATCCTGAGTTGAACCACGAGCAAGAAACCAAGACTACATATGTGCAGTACAGCCTCAGGTGTTCTCGGTCCGGTAGATTCAGAAGGTGATATTATTCCCTTGCTCTCAGTGCCTGCTCCAGCTGACTAGAGCAAGCATGGCGAATGACAGTGTACTGAATGGGAGTGAATCACTGTGAAGTCGACGGGTTGCGAGTGACATCCTTCATTCTAGGGACAGTGTTACGGGACTGCCCGCACCTCTTGTAGTAGATAGCCACACCTCTCGTAGATGGTCTTTCCAATTCATCTTATTACTTCACGCTCGCTCTCTTGAAGAGTCAAGTCGTAGCTTCGATCACTACGGACCCGACTTTTTTGTCGAAGAGAAAAAATAACCGGCGAACGGCATATCACCCTTCATGTCCCTCATCGCCGTCTCCGCCGCACTCGCGCCTTGCCAGCGACAAACAACCCCCACTCTCCTCCACCAAAATTTTCACTTTTACCTTCCGCACACTTCAATAATCCTCCCTCCATGAGTAAGATCCCTCAGATTCTTGAAGACGAAGGCTTCGCGCAGCAGTTCCGTCTCTCCGCCAAGGCCAATAAGTCTGAGACATCGCGCGCTGGAAGAAGTTTGCAGACCGACTACGACCACACCGCGCAGCTCCATAAGATCTCCTGTAGCATGGGTCATCTGTAGCCTAGCGGAGGATGTGTCAGCAAATCACAACGTCACAGTCAGACAAAGCGACCTCGAACTACGACGATACACCTCGGACCATTGAGAAAGACCGAGATGAATGCTTGCTAGGGATATTATTAAGCACTGTGTTAATTTGAATTGGCTTTTGAAAGAGGAGATGAGCAGTGATGGGAGCGCGTCCAGACGCCGAAGGCGCGTTAACTTAACATGGGGCCGCCGAGAATGGAGCCCAGTGACACGAAAGATACAATCGAAGTGATTGATACGATACTTGCAGCAACGCAGCCAAAACGCACAGAGATTAGTGCAAATCTTGAAGGTCGTTTTACTACAACGAAGGTTCAAGCGCTCGCAGTGAAAGCAGACTGATCCGCGGCATCCACCAAAAATAGATCGAAGACGGCCGGCGAGGGGGCTCGGTTGTTGAGAGACCAGCTCTACCCTGAAGGTGGACAACGCCAACCGATCGGCCGTGATTGACGAAAGTCCTCATTCAAGCTGCTGGGGTATCTGGGAAAGAAAACCAATGCATATTGCTAGAATTGCGTGGCTGAGCTGAGTAGGAAAGACGAAGGGAAATTGTATCGATCAATGGTCGTCACCGTTTCATATAAAGCGGGTAAGGTTTGAACAGTTGTATCGTGGCCATTGGGCTATGTCTTCCCATCATTGAGACACGAATGGGGCGATCGGAAACGTTGAATTTACAACATCAAATTCTCTGAATGACAACGCGAATCCAATGGAGAGTTGAACCAAATTTTGATTGTTTCTAATGCATATCTCTAGAGATTTCAACTTGGATTAGTGTTGTTTACCTTCCCACGCCAGAGATTTAAGACACTTGAGCTGAGAGAGGTGCCCAACTGCCTCGCCGGCGTAAGGGCAGACAAAGGGTACGAAGGTATCATTGACAGATAAAGGACGTTTTCAGAATATCCTCCAAGGAACCCTTCCGTTCATATATCCTCGATTCAAATATTTCACTTTATCAATCATCTCACAATCATGTGTCGACTGGTTGTCTGGCAGGCTCGTGAGACTAGGTCTAATACCTCATTCGTGCCTTGGGTGGTTTATTTCTCCCTGTAGCCTGAGATCCATCTTTCATTAGGTGACGGTTGATTGTTAATTTGTGATTCAAGCAGCTTGAAAACTGAAATGAGAAATACCTAGAAGGAATACTGATGGCGGGATTGTTCTTCCTCCATTCCTGATACGCCCTAGCAGAATATCCCTCGGGCCAGAGTTGCCAGCGAGGAGAGCTGAAAGAGTCATTAATAACAAGCCACTGTAACGAGGGCCAAATCGAGAAGAATGGATTGCATTGATTAACGAAACTAAGTGTGAAGAAGAGATGAAAGTGGGAGGTGAGGCCTTGCAGCCTATCTGCGAGGCACGCTACGTTCAAAAAGGAAACATAGTGTACATAGATCGTTACAGCCACTGTATTTACGTGTCACCTTTCTCGCCACGACGTGATGCGCCAAGCATGGGTTAGAGCTCTGCTTTTTGGGGGATATAAATATATGTCTATAAATGTACAAATCCAGGTGCGGTTCATGTATTTTAGAGAATTTCGTCTGGTTAACAGGTATATCATCGCCAAATGACTTCGGACCCGACAGATAGGGACAACAATAGTGATTTCGATGAAAAGCCGCTTCAGGTAAGCATGAAGCCGCTGTCGACACAGTTCTTGTACCCACTGACTTTAAGGACTTTGAGGGTTTGGGCTACAGAGCCGTGCGATGATATTATGACATATATCTGGAGTAAAGGCCTCGGTGATACGGTTTTGGAAGCCGTTCCACTTGAGGAGATACGATCCGCAGCGGACGGCCGCGTGCCAGATGGTCTCCCTAAAAATTCAATTCTGGTCGGCCTTGCCGAGGTTGGAAGAGAGATGGATCGCTTTCGACATTACTCTATTCATAAGAGATACCTGCAGTAATAAATACAGCGAGGGGCTGAGGGAAACTTGTACGCTTTGGTGGATTCATTTTCCGACGATCGTATCATCAAGATCATCATTGATGAACGCAAAGCTCTTATGAATCATTGAAAAGCTCTGTAAATCTCTCGGTGCTACAATGAGGCATGGAAAAATACTCTCATATTTTCAATTTCGCTCTCATTTGAGTATCGGAGTTTGAATCTCTCGTGACTTGTTCACTATCGTAGCATATTTCGCAAACGAGTCTTCTTCGGCTTGAAAGCCGGCCGTGTAGTGAGAATATCAGCCAAAATCCGGGCTTGCGCTGCCATGAATTTTCATACACTTACCTAGTAGGGTTACAAAGCTTAAACTTAGCTCAGATCCTGTCCCGGCTTGGGATCGCGTACAGGGTGTCAGGATATGTTAAGCATTCACCCATGTCAGATATTCCCGGCTAGCACGAATGAGTTGATGCATAAAGCCCCTTTGAATCCTAGAATAGTCTCAGCTGCAGCCCATCGCCAAAATTTCATATCTATCTGACTCTGAACTATCTGTATTTTCACAACCGTCGGACACTTTGACACAAGCTAATGATCCACACAATAAATGGCCGTACAGAACTGGGCGATGAGCAGCCGAGAATGCTTATCAGTGAGCTAGGTTTATTTGATCCACCGTTCAATTTTGTCACGAAAGAAGAAGCTATGATACAATATAATCACTCGTCCTCTTTTCTGGCAAGCAATAGTCACTGTAACTCAATGCAATTTGGCCTCGTCCCCGTAGCACTTGAAGGAGCCCCTTTCAGAGGAGCACCTCCCCACCATGCATTTCAATCTCAGTTCGCGCCAGTTTACAATGATTTTCCACCAACCATGCTGCCTTTTCAGGCACCTGCCAGTCACGAAACAACACGAAAACCTACTCGCCTGGACACCATAGTCAAAAGAGGAAAGGTTGACGAAGAGGAGAAAGAAAAGAAATCCGCCTGTATCACTTGGAGCATAGAGGGGTCAAGCAGCAGAAGATGGCGGGTAAGGATATAGTGTCACTCGAAAGTCATGGCAGGAGGCTGACAATGATACAAATAGACGAATCTGGCGGGAATAGAAGGTAGAGTGACGCCGCATATAATCTTATCAAGTAATACTGATCAGTTTTCTCAGCTCTATTTCAAAGGTCTTGCGCGAGCCGGGCAAACCTAAGACCGGATAGCAGAGCGTGGCTATGGACGGCCTTGGAAGAAACGACTTATCAGGACCCGCTCTTCCCCGACTTGAATCTGTGATTGAGAAAGTGAGGTAATTGCAATGAGATGAACATGCACGGGTGACTGGGTCACGTGACAACAACACCAAAAGGCATCGAACCGTTACACTACCTGCTATGAAAAACCCGGAGCTGCTTGGCACCTCTATCTCCCCAGGGCTCTTCGACCCTGCGTCTAACAAGACTGCTGCTCCTGATTGTCCTGCCAGGAGGAATCTCGGCATCACCCTCTACCGTAGATACGGCGACTGACATAGGGGGAATCCTGGTGTCAATGAGAGAGCTAGGAGTCGGAGACACTTGCGAATGCGCAGGCAGTGTTGTGCTCTCCTGTGGCCTAGTAACAAAATCGGCGCGGCTGCTTGGGTTCGAATGCGGTCGCCGCTGCTCAACATCAAATGAGGGTGTTATAGGAGATTGCGCGACCTCAGGTCGCATCTCTGCTGCGTCGACAGATCTAATGACGTGTTTCCTTCCCGTTGACATGGATTTCCCAGAATACGTACATTTCTTCTTTCTCGCGGCGCAATTAAAGCAGGTCCCAGGCAGTTTTAAACGGCAAGTCTTATCGTTTCTCTGGCAATAATCGCATGCTTGACTGATGGTTCCAGCATCCTTCGGTGTGACTGTGGCAATTGTAGTCCTCTGTGCGGATTTCACATTATCCACAGATAGCCTGATAGCTTCACCTGCGCCAGCTTGATATTGGGTATGTCTCGTATCGGTGCCACACAAAACGTGACTTGAACGCCCTTCGGGAGAATCTGGCACAATTTGGTCATCAAACCCCCGGTTGCTCCTTTCCGCAGGTAGTATATTGGTTGATAGTGGTGAAGGGCGAGATTGGGGACGATGAGAGGGTGGAAGGATCCTAGAAGTACCATCACATTTGTTAACCATCCAAGATAGATGAATCGATGCAGCATACCCCGCGTCTTGGCATAGAATATCTTTCCGATTTCCTAGGGACTTCTGTAACTGTATGCCCTTGTGCGACACTTGAGAATCCGGTGTTCAGTTCGCGTCCTACGAAGGAATCTGGGTAAACAATGCGAATCCTATTACTTACAAGAAGTTAGGGCCCTCATGAGACCTCCAAGTTCATCAGCGACAACACTCAAAATATTAACCTCCTTCTGAATGTCAGAAGTCGGCGGCCATGGTGTAAGGAATTGCCGGGGCCGACCTGAGGAAATGAGATCCATGTCCTGCGTCGAAATCCGCACCACCGAATCTCCAAGGGTGTACGTATCCTCTTCCGTGTTTGACGACAATGAGTCTTGGAATAAGACAACTTGCATCCAGTCTATTTGAGGCCCTCGGACCATGTCGGGTTCAGCCGTTGTGAATAATCTTCGGAGTTGCTGGCACAGGTAAGAAGCAGAGACAGTCTCCCCGCGGTTCACGGCTACACTTTGCCCTTGCTCAAGAGTGGCGATATACATCAGCAGCCATTCGTCAAGATCTTTGAGTTGTTGGCTGTAAATAGACAACGATGGCAAATGGCGGTCGGTCGACGGAACCGTGAAGTCGAGCATCGATCTCTCACCAATACTCCAAGAGCTTGCTCTGTTATGAGGCATCGTCGTTCCCCCTGCTGGTTTCGTACCACCGGCAGATAATCCCTAGGAGAGAGCTCCAAAGAAGTGTAGCGCGTTGTTGGTTTGTTTAGACGAAATCAGCTGAACGCGTCCGTGACCGTGACTCCGAGAGGGTCGTGTTATTTCCAATTGGTGGGCCATAAGCTAACGTAAGCAACCACCGAGAAGCCGAGCAAGTGCCAGGATCGGCTAGGTTTCTCCCCTCCTTTTCGAAACCGATCTGCATCAACCCGTCCGAGACCGTAACCAAACCATCGCTCTAGGTGGGTTGCGGCACCTACGGCCTAAACAGATGCGGCAGCTTTACCAGGCATGCGTCACGCCGGTCGTCGACTACGCGTCAACCGTATGGTACGATCCGTTGAGAGATAAGACCCCTCTGCGACACCTGAACACAGTACAGAGAAGCTCGCTGATCTGCATCTTATCGGCGTTCCGAACAGTGGCCACAACAACCTTGGAAGTAGAAGCATACGTCCTCCCTACCCATCTTTGTCTTCGACACTGAGCCCAGCGCATCATCGCCAGTCTTCACACGCTACCTCGGGGACACTTGATTTGGCACATACTCACACAAGCCCAACGGCGTAAAAACAACATCGGATCGTATGCACGCTTCCCCTTGGCGGAACCGCTGAAGACTATGAGCGTCGAGAGACTGAGCGAAGTGGAAACAATTGACCCACGAACGCTACTACCGTGGCGCCTCGATCCTTTCACTGACATCGAGATTGGCTTAGACCGAGAGGCAGCGAGACAACGCGCCGATGCCATCCGATCAAAATCAGACATAGTCGTCTGCTCGGATGCGTCCGGTCGCGACCGCCAGCTGGGAGCAGCTGCCGTAACAATAGACAACAACATGGAGGTAGTCGAATCACAGCAGGTCCAGGTGGTACCGATCAAGCGCTGGTCGGTTCACTTGGCGAAGCTGATTGGCGTCTTTCATGCGATGAACATGATCTTTACAATAGCACACCAGCGAAAGGGGGCGGAAGACCGAGAGATAGCCGCGACAATCCTCTACGACAGCAAATCAGCGTTACAAGCAATTCAGAAGGTGAAAGAGAAGTCAGGATAACGGATTGTTCACGCAATCCACCACGCCGCCACTAAGGTCCAAGCCGTAGGCGTTGCACTGCGCCTACAGTGGGTGCTAGGGTATTGTGGTAACCTAGGCAATGACGCCCAATTAGGACTCCGTTAAACAAAATCCAAAATAACACAAAAATACCCGCAGAAAGAACCATATACGTAACATATACCTTTTGGCGCAACTTGCACAGACTCAGCATCTTTGATGCTGGCTATGCAATTCCCAGCCAACCGATCCTGGTGTCCCTCATCAAACCCAATGACTAGCAAGCCCCCGAATCCCCGAAACTCGAAGCCGAATACTGACGCCCCTGTCCCCGCTACCACTGCTACGTCGTACCCGAAACTCGACATCGCAGAGCTTATTAAACGCAAGAAGGAAGGACTTTGCTTCGAGTGTAACGAGAAGGGACATCGTGGAAGAGACTGCCCTGTTCGTGCTGCCCGACTGGCCGCTGAGGCAAAGAATGCTGCCCTCGTTGCGGAAGTTGCCCAGGTGGTTGAAGATAAAGCTGCTTCCCCCGAATCGGGAAAAGCCTAGGCCTGACACAAGTCTCCTTGTCAGGCGACGCCAATGAGGTATCGCTTACCGAACTGAATCTACAGGATGTATCCACCAGTCAGAAGTTTGTATTGAAGCCCAAGATAGCTTTCAATAAACACTCCTATTCAGTCTCAGCCCTTTGTGATACCGGAGCCACCGGATTTACCTACGCAGACACGACATTTGTTGCGTCCATGGAGAAATATGGACTCAAAAGCACACGACTCCCCAAACCTATAACTCCGAAAGGCTTCGACGGCCACGCCGGCAAGCCGATTACCCATGAAATTCAATTAACGTTAATGATCGATGGCCGAAAGTTGTCAGGATTACCCTTCTTGGTCACCAACCTGGGTCAGCATGACCTTATTCTCGGCCGAGATTGGTTCGCGCATTACCGCGTGCTCGTTGATTGTCATCAGAATCGACTTATCTACCCAGATGAGTCTCCCATGAGCGAAGTAAAGGAATTTAGGTCTGAACTCGAGGAACAAGAAGTCTTGTCTGAGGAACCTCGACTCAAACGAAGCTCCTCGACGAGTCAAGCACGAGACTATCAGGAGTCACAAGAAAAGATGGAGCAAGCGCTGCTGGGACGGACGCCACCTCCACTATTTCGGAAGCTCACGATGACATCTCCAGGACTTGGCCTCCTCCCCCCACCTGAGATCGCCGCCATCGGAGCCGCGGGCTTCTATCGACATATGATCAAGAACGATACTGAGACGTTTATCACCTCCCTGTACGAGATCGATCGAATTATCGAAGAGATGTCCCCTGTCGAACAGGAGGATATCGAGAACAAAAAGAAGATACCCCGAGTGCATTATTCGAAGGCTGCTGCTTTCTCAAAGCTTAAATCAAATGGGATACCTCCGTGGCGATTGGGAACCGACCACGTCGTCCGTGCAGAAGGACAGTTCGACCCAGGATACTGCCCTCTCTACAAACAGTCCCTGGAGCAATTGAAGGTCTACAAGGAATACATCACGGAGAAGCTACATCTTGGCTTCATTGAACCAAGTTCTGCATCCTTTGCATCCCCTGTCCTGATGGCACGGATGCCAAATGGAAAGCTTCGTTTCTGTGTGAATTATCGGAAGCTGAATGCGATTATTAAGAAGGACAAATATCCTCTCCCCTTGATTGATGAGCTGTTACAACGTGTGGTTGGCGCCAAGTTCTTTTTTAAACTCGATATTCGTCAAGGATTTCACCGAATTCGAATGCACCCTGATTCCGAAGACCTCACTACCTTCCGTACACGCTATGGGTCGTTTAAATACAAAGTGATGCCGTTTGGGCTTACGAATGCGCCTGCTACCTTTCAACGCTTTATTAACACTACGTTGGGAGAGTATCTCGATGATTTCTGCACTGCCTACGTTGACGACATCCTGATCTACAGCGATACGATCGAGGAGCACATTGAACACGTGAATCTGGTACTGCAGCGCCTGATCGATGCAGGTCTACAGGCATCCCTGGAGAAGTACGAATTCCATGTCACCCGCACGAAGTTCCTGGGCTTCTTTATCAGCACTGATGGCCTGGAGGTCGACCCCCAGAAGATTGAAGCTATTCAGAACTGGCAACAACCGACGACGGTAAAGAGTGTGCAGTCGTTCCTTGGCTTTGGCAACTTGTATCGCCGCTTCATTAAAAATTATAGCCGCATTGCCAAACCCCTGCATCTCCTGACGAGGAAAGAGGTCCCTTTCGAATGGACCGCAGATTGCCAGACTGCGTTTGATGAAATCAAGCTTCGATTGACGAACGCCCCTGTCCTACAACATTACGATCCTAAGCTGGAGACAAAGGTCGAAACTGACGCCTCTGAAGGTTGTACCGGTACAGTTCTCTCGCAGCGCAGCTCCCCCGATGTCCCGTGGCGCCCAGTCGCTTATTATTCCAAGTCGATGGACCCTGCAGAACGAAACTATGGTACACCTGATCAAGAATTCCTCAAAGCAGATGGCACGGCTGTTCATTCAATATATACTCCCATGGTCCGGCGTCCCAGATACTATCGTCTCGGACCGCGGTCCTCAGTTTATCTCAGAATTCTGGACGGAGCTTACCCGCATCCTCGGCATCACGCGGAAATTATCAACGGCTCACCATGCTCAAACCGATGGGCAAAGTGAGATTGCGAACAAGTATACAGGCGTTCTCGAAATCGGCTTGACCAGTACACACTCAATCACTCTTTCCTGGCCCCACCGCCAAGACCTTAGCGCAGATCATTCATTGAGCAGGCCAGGTTAAATTGAGGGGCAACGTAAAATACGACTTTGTATGGTACCGTATCTTGCTACTGTACAAAACTTGCACAATGCGTAGAGAACTCAATGGAATTCCATGGAAATTGATTGCGGAGCTCTGCAAATCATGTGGGGCGGGCCACCTCGAACATGCCACCTGAACGATCCGCTTAAGCGACTTTGATTTTCCTTCCCTCCCCATACGCATACGCCCGTCGTCACTCCTGAGTGGTGTTTATTCGGCCCAGGGAACATCGTAACGGATTCAATCATCGGTAAACACTGTCTCGGCCACGTTTCTGTTGTTTGCCGGCGAACAACAGCCTCACAGGCAGCCGATGGCGTAGGCCGCAACTAATAATCACTCACCATAAGTCTGTCCTTACAGTAGGCCCAGAATCATGAGGCTCAATTCTCTCATTAGTTATGATGGTTATGGCGTTCACCAAAGTGCAATGTTTGACCCCAGTGACGATACATCACTATATGCCCCAACACCTGGCAACTTTCATCGTTCACCTGCCTCCCCATCCGACATAAGCTGTATCAACGTCGACGTGGCATCCCCCATCGATCGCACCTCTCCACAACAAACTGCTTCGCAAAAGAATAATCTTCCACTACTCCAATTTGGTGACTGGGAAGAAGGTCGGGTATATGACGAGGACCCCCCGGTCTGTATACACTACTTGATTGAGTGGAAGATTGCTCTCAATAATAGGACAGTGGCGAAAGATACAGAACAAGATGTGGTTCTAGCCCCTCGATATCACTATAGACTCTTTCTGCAGCCAAAGCTAAAGGAGCTACTTGCCCGAAAGTACCCACATCGGAAACTTGAATCGGATGACACGTCTGTTGTTATATCAGCCACACGGCAGAAGGCTCTCACCCTGAGGTTTGATGAGACCGATATTGATTGGTCTTCTATCGAGAAACAGCTCGTAAATTGGGGAGATCTTTTTCTCTCTGGCAAGAAATTAAGACTTATTATCTCATTCAATTACACGGAGAATAATACAAGTTCAACCGTCAGTCGCCGGAGGACTGATAAACGAGGCACTTCATCTGCTACTCAA